TGTGAGGTGTGAGGGTGTGTGTCTGTGTGAGTGTGTGAGGGTGTGAGTGGTGTGAGGGTTGTGTCTGTGTTAGTGGGTGAGTGCGTGCATGGTGTGTCTTGGTGAGGTGTGAGGTGTGGTTATGAGGGTGTGTTGTTTGTCGGGTGTCCGTTCTTGGTTGTTGGTCGTCGCTTGGCTCCTTTTTATGTATGTCTGTGGTATGGTGGGTGTTTTTCTGTGTGTAGTGTGTGAGGGTGTGTTGTCTGGGTGAGGGTGTGAGTGTGTGTCTCTGTGTGAGTGTGTGTGTCTCTGTGTGAGTGTGTGTATGGTGTGTGTCCTGTGTTGAGGTGTGTTGTGTCTGTGTATTGGTGTGTCTGTGCTGAGTGTGTGAGGGTGTGTGTGAGTTGTGTGTGGCTGGTGAGTGTGTGAGGGTGGGTGTGTAGGGTGCGTTGTGCGTACCGATGACTTTGACGTTGATGGCGGCGCTGGCGGCTCCCATCTTGTTCTCCAGTGTCACTTTGTACTGTCCCTGCGTCAGAGTGCAGACTGCTGTCGACCCTCCAGGTGACAGGAGACATACTCCTTCCTGTTGAACACACACACACTCTCCCATCAGCCACTGATAACACCTCCACCTCAAACTGTTTACTACTTAACACATTTTATTCAAAGTATATATGTCAAATATTGGCCGAGTATTAAAGTGGTTTAACTGTTTTGTGTGTGAGCGTTAATTTTAGAAAGTGTATCAGAAAACTCAGATAATATACAGAAATGTATTTAAACATAGAGGAAACGTAAATACAAGCTTAGAAGAAACCCTCAGATGTTCTGCTATTTCAAAAGGAGGTCATGATGTGATGCCCAGTAGAAACAGACCTGAATCCCAGGCGCTCGTCGGCCTTCAGCTCCTTGCCGTCTTTGTGCCAGGTGATCCTGGGCGAGGGCACGGCTCTGAAGGGAATGGGGATGTGAAGCTTCTCCGTCTCCACGACAACCAGGTCCAGAGTCTGGAACTCCAGCTGGGGGTTACCTGCAAAAACATAACATCATATAACCAAGTGTTTAAATCAGACTTTAGTTCCACCTGGAGTAAATCCACAAGCTACCCTGCAGTATACAAAGTCATTCAAACTAGCTGCACCTTTACCAGCTTTGAGAACACTTTCATGATCAATCATTATAAAACATATCATAGATATTATTCTGAAATGGACCAATCTGCACAATGACTACTTTTACTGTCTCTACTTTAACTATATTTTGATGAGAATACTTTTCTACTTTTACTTGAGGAACATTTTGAATGCAGGACTTTTACTGTAACAGAGTATTCCTACACTCTGGTACTTCTACTTTTACTCAAGAACAAGATCTGAGTACTTCTACTTTTACTCAAGTACAAGATCTGAGTACTTCTACTTTTACTGAAGTACAAGATCTGAGTACTTCTACTTCTACTCAAGTACAAGATCTGAGTACTTCTACTTTTACTGAAGTACAAGATCTGAGTACTTCTACTTTTACTCAAGTACAAGATCTGAGTACTTCTACTTTTACTCAAGTACACGATCTGAGTACTTCTACTTTTACTCAAGTACAAGATCTGAGTACTTCTACTTTTACTCAAGTACAAGATCTGAGTACTTCTACTTTTACTCAAGTACAAGATCTGAGTACTTCTACTTTTACTCAAGTACAAGATCTGAGTACTTCTACTTTTACTGAAGTACAAGATCTGAGTACTTCTACTTTTACTACAAGACCTGAGTACTTCTACTTTTACTCAAGTACAAGATCTGAGTACTTCTACTTTTACTACAAGATCTGAGTACTTCTACTTTTACTCAAGTACAAGACCTGAGTACTTCTACTTTTACTCAAGTACAAGATCTGAGTACTTCTACTTTTACTACAAGATCTGAGTACGTCTACTTTTACTAAGTACAATATCTGAGTACTTCTACTTTTACTCAAGTCAAAGATCAGAGTACTCTTCTCCACTTGTACTCAAGTACAAAGGCTATCTGAGTACTTTCTACTTCTTACTCAGGGGTGGACACGATCTGAGTACCTTCTACTTTACTCCAAGTACAAGATCTAAGTACTTCTACTTCTACTCAAGTACAAGACCTGAGTACTTCTACTTTTACTCCAAGTACAATACCTGAGAGTCTTACTTCTACTTCTACTCAAGTAACAAGACCTGAGTACTTCTACTTTGACTCAAGTCAAGACCTGAGTACTTCTACTTCTACTCAAGTACAAGATCTGAGTACTTCTACTTTTACTCAAGAACAAGATCTGAGTACTTCTACTTTGACTTAAGACCTGTGTACTTGTACCCGCTCTGAGACGTCCCTGGTGTAGTCACTGATCTGTGTACTTGTACCCGCTCTGAGACGTCCCTGGTGTAGTCACTGATCAGAATCAGGTTTATCACCCGGTGGAACACGTAGGAGGAGTTTGACTTGATGTCATGGTGCATACATGCAAGTCAAACTAAAATGATAATCTGGAGCGTTGGCGCTGCTTACAGTCGGACTCTTTGGCGAACACGTCTCTGAGAGGTCGGAGGCTCGCTGACGCCCACAGAGTTGATGCTCGGACCCTCAGGATGTACTCCTTCTCGGGAACGACGCCCTCCTCCGCCGTCACGCAGAACTTCAGCTCCTTCACGGGGCGAGAGTTGACTCTCATCACTTCTCTGTGCCGGCAGCACAAATCTCCACGTGGTACCCTCTGATGGGGCAGCCGCCGTCCCTCTGGGGGGGCTTCCAGGCGATGGACAGGAAGTCACGGCTGGCTACGGTGACATGGAGCTCCACGGGGGGGGAGGGGATGCCTGGGGGGGGACAGGGGAATTTCATCAGAATTTGATTCATTATTATTATCGAGGAGTTAAATAAAGATGTCTGAGTTCTCTCTACACCCCGGCTCTTAATGTAAATAATAATATTCAGTCCTGAGAGGTGAAGCACTGGACCGGTGGGTCCTCGATGGTCAGGATCTCAGTGGGCTCGCTGGGTGGTCCGGTGCCCCGCCTCGTTCTCCGCGCTGACCTGGAACTGGACCTCAGTTCCCTCGATGACGTCCGTGACCCGGTACTTACAGTCCGGACCCGACGTCTTCCCGCACTTCCACCCAGCGAGTGCCAGCTTCTCCTTCTTCTCCAACGAGTATCTGCAGGAAGAGGACACAGTCATACTGCTGGATCGGCTTGTCAAGGTTTCAAATGTGGAAGTTCAAACATGTTAAAGGAATCGTACTTGAGGATGGGTCTTCCTCCGTCGTTCTTGGGCGCCTCCCACTGCAGGTCCACGTATCTCTTGGAGATGCCGAAGACGCTGAGAGCGTAGGGTGGGCCGGGAGCAGCTGCAGAAAAATGATCAAATAAAGATTATTATTATGATCTCCGTCCTGAACAAGATACCTCATCTGCTCCAAACTCTCTCTGGGACTCACAGAAGTTGTCCTTGGCCATGACGGAGTCTTTGAGCTCGCAGAACTCTCCGACTCCGACGCTGTTCTCTGCAGCGACGCGGAACACGTAGAGCGAGCCCTCGTTGAGCGGAGACACGGTGTACTTCAGCTCCTTCACCGTGGTGTCCACCGCCTGCCAGCCTTTACGCCTGGCGTCCCTCTTCTCCACCACGTAGTTAGTGATGGGGGCGCCGCCAGTCCTCTCCGGCAGAGACCACTTCAGATCAGCGCTGCTGCGGGTGACGCTCATCACATCCAGCCAGCGGGGTGCTGAGGGGGGGTCTGAGGAGGAGGGGGGGAGTTTAATGTGTGCATTTAATTTAAGGTACAACAACCTGAGTTAAGTTTAACTTAACCTGAGTTTAGATTCTTCTGAGTCCCTCCTTGCAGAGTTAAACCTGACTTGAGTTGAACTTAAACCCCTAGTTTAGTGTTTCTTACTAAATCTCTCCTTTCCGAGTTGAACCTGAATTTAAGTTAAACCCGAGTCTTTTACTGAGTCTCTCCTTGCAGAGTTAACCCCTAGTTTAGTGTGTCTTACTGAGAGTCCTCTCCTTGCAGAGTTAAACCCTAGTTTAGTGTCTCTTACTGAGTCTCTCCTTGCAGAGTTAACCTGACTTTAGTGTCTCTTACTGAGTCTCTCTCTTGCAGAGTTAAACCTGACTTTAGTGTCTCTTACTGAGTCTCTCCTTGCAGAGTTAAACCTGACTTAGTGTCTCTTACTGAGTCTCTCCTTGCAGAGTTAAACCTGACTTTAGTGTCTCTTACTGAGTCTCTCCTTGCAGAGCACGGGCTCGCTGGGCTCGCTGGGTTCACTCTCTCCGGCCACATTGACGGCTCGGACCCTGAAGGAGTACTCCTGCTTCTCCATCAGGCCCTTCAGGGAGTGCTCCAGCAGGTTGATGTTCCTCGGCCACCCTGATACCAGTCCGTCTGGTGCTAGCTCTTCAGCCACTCGATCACGTAGCCCCTCGATCTTCGCTCCGCCGTCGTGCTCCGGCTTCGCTCCACATGAGGAAGCAGGAAGTCTTCGCCACGTCCTTCCTGTGGGCTTACCTGGAGCCCAGGGGGAGTCTGGAGGACACAGAGAACAGTGTTTATTAAAAGGTGTGAGACAATCAGGAGTTTATTTCCAATAACTGTGTCTGAGTTGCAGGCTACAGATGGAGCATCTTATTTCAGACAGTTTGAAATAAGATTGCTCCATCTGTTACTAATAGTTATCATCGCAATAAACCGTATTAATTGCTGTCTTAATGTACATTATTTCATTTCATATTCTGTTCTTGAACATATCATACGCTGTTTACATGTATATAGACTTCTTGCACTATTTATTATTTGTATTTTTGTATTTCTATTATACATGTTGCATTGTGGGAGGAGCTCAGGTCAGAAGAATGTCATTGCCTTTCTACACTGTAGCTGCTGAGCATCTGATGATCAAACCTTTGAATTTGAATAGTGTTAGCATTAGCCTCATTAGCATATACAACAAATTCAGTAAACTTGTAATGTAAAAAATAATTGTGTTGACGTCAGAAATGAAGTGGGCGAGTTTCATGGTGATATCTGTTAGTGTCAGTTTGAACCCTATCCCCTGTGTTTCCTACCGATGGGGTCTTTGATCAGGATCTGGTCCGTCTCCGCGCTGGGTTTTCCGGTTCCTGAGAGATTTTCCGCCAGGACTCTGAACTTGTACTTCTTCCTGGTGGGAAGACCTTTGACTCTGCAGAGGGGGATAACAACAACAACGAGCATGTTATTAAAAGATTGGAAACCAACGGAGAAGAGAGAGTTCAGGGGTTTGAGGGCTCACGTTGAAATCTCTTCAGCTTGTGTTAACCACAGACTGTAATTCAGGATAACACCCAAAAACACACTCAGAGCACCATTGACCTCCAGACAGGAAGGTGTTTTGTCTCTCAGGGGGGGGGGGGGGGCCCCACCTGTAGTTGGTGTCCTTGATGGGCAGCTTGTTGCAGCGGATCCACTTGTCGAGGTCGGCCTCGTAGCGCTCCACCCAGTACCCGGTGATCGGGCTGCCTCCGTCCTCGTCCGGCTCGTACCAGGCCAGCGTCACCGAGTCCTTGGCGATGTCCGACGCCTCCAGCTTGTAGGGAGCGCCGGGGGTGTCTGAGGACGGGAGGGGGGGGGGTTAGACACAGTGGAGGTACTGGTACAGGATGTTATACCAAGAAAACACACATGGAATCACTGCACTGGAATCACTGCACTGGTTACCGGTTCCCTTCTGAATTGATTTTAAAGTGCTTTAATGATTTACAAGGCTTTACATAACCTTGCCCCAACATATGTAAGTGACTGTCTCTCATCTGATCAACCAGCAAGGACACTTAGATCCTCAGCTAAACACCTGAGGCTCTGTAAAGTGCCCGATAAACATTCATCTGTTTGTCATCTTGCAATATACTTATTTATATAAGTAGTTATCACCGCAATAAACCGTATTTCATTCTGTCTTAATGTACATTATTTAATTTCACATTCTGTTCTTGTACATATCATATTCTGTTTACATGGATATCGACTTCTAGCACTACTTATTATACATGTTGCATCGTTGGAGGAGCTCAGGTCAGATTGATGTCATCTCCATTTCTCCACTAGCTGCTGAGCATCTGATGAGAACACCTGTGCATTTGAATGTGTTGGTGTGTCGTACCGAAGGGGTATCTGGCGATGATGGGCAAGTGCTCCGCGGGGGGTCCCACTCCGAACTGGTTCTCGGCGAAGACCCTGAAGATGTACTCCTTGAACTTGGTGAGGGCCTACAGCCTTGTAGGTGGTCTGCTTGATGGTGGAGGACAGGCGGGTGCCAGATCTCGCTATCCACGTTTCTGCGCTCCACGATGTAGTTCGTGACCCTCGATCCTCCGTCGTCTCGGGGCGGGTTCCAGGCCAGGAAGCACGTCTCGTTGGTGATCTCTGAGATATCGAAGGCCGCGGGGGGGCCGGGCTTATCTGAGGGGGGGGGCAGGGTGATTATTATCCAGGACATAAGAGAGTAGGGATTATGGAAATGTTTAACCTTCAGACCATATTTGACATTCAGGTACAAATGTTTTTTAAATCAAACTCAAACTTACTGACGGACTGCTTCAAATGTTATCCAGGAAAGAAGAAACTAATACAATACATTTCCATAATTCTGTTTCTTTTACTAAATAAAATAAATTGATATTCGGTCACAGTTTAGCAGTATGTTGTAATACACACAATATTATTCTCTTTGGAAAGTTTAAACCTGTTAGATTAAATCATGCATAACTTTCTAACTTTCTAACTTTCTATTTAATGCACTTGGAGATTTTCAAAGTAAAAGCCTCTTAGTGAACAACCCCTCTCAGTGACACCTGGGTAATCAGGGACAGTGCTGAGGAACAGCCGTATTCAAAGAAAGGCTCCGGATGAAGTCTCTCACCCAGGATGTTGACGTCCACGGTGGCGGTGGCGCGCCCGCTGCTGTTGGTGGCCTCGATGATGTAGGTGGAGCTGTCGTCTCTCTGGGTCTTGGCGATGGTGACGGTGGAGTGTCCGGGGGTGGTGTCGATGGAGACCCGGTCCTCCGCCTTCAGAACCAGGTCTGCTTTGGTCCACTTCAACGCGGGGCTCTGGTTTCCCCCTTCACCTCGGCCGGCAGCTCGATCTTACTGCCCGCCTTGGCCGTGAGGCGGCCAGCAGCTTGGCGTCCAGCTGGATCTCTGGAGCCTCTGCAGGGGGAGAGGACTGTGGTGAGGAGCTGTGCTACTTCATCTCAACTACAACTATTATTTAGAAACCAAACCCTGAATGCTTCTGAGCTGTGAACTCATGCTCGCTATTTCTTTTCGGTGTAAAAGTTATTTGTTTTTGGTTGTTTTGCACAAAGAAATGATTTGTTACTTTTACTGTGAAGGAGCAGGGGGGCTTTTACTGTGAAGGAGCAGGGGGGCTTTTACTGTGAAGGAGCAGGGGGGCTTTTACTGTGAAGGAGCAGGGGGGCTTTTACTGTGAAGGAGCAGGGGGGCTTTTACTGTGAAGGAGCAGGGGGGCTTTTACTGTGAAGGAGCAGGGGGGCTTTTACTGTGAAGGAGCAGGGGGGCTTTTACTGTGAAGGAGCAGGGGGGCTTTTACTGTGAAGGAGCAGGGGGGCTTTTACTGTGAAGGAGCAGGGGGGCTTTTACTGTGAAGGAGCAGGGGGGCTTTTACTGTGAAGGAGCAGGGGGGCTTTTACTGTGAAGGAGCAGGGGGGGCTTTTACTGTGAAGGAGCAGGGGGGCTTTTACTGTGAAGGAGCAGGGGGGCTTTTACTGTGAAGGAGCAGGGGGGCTTTTACTGTGAAGGAGCAGGGGGGCTTTTACTGTGAAGGAGCAGGGGGGCTTTTACTGTGAAGGAGCAGGGGGGCTTTTACTGTGAAGGAGCAGGGGGGCTTTTACTGTGAAGGAGCAGGGGGGCTTTTACTGTGAAGGAGCAGGGGGCTTTTACTGTGAAGGAGCAGGGGGCTTTTACTGTGAAGGAGCAGGGGGGCTTTTACTGTGAAGGAGCAGGGGGGCTTTTACTGTGAAGGAGCAGGGGGCTTTTACTGTGAAGGAGCAGGGGGGCTTTTACTGTGAAGGAGCAGGGGGGCTTTTACTGTGAAGGAGCAGGGGGGCTTTTACTGTGAAGGAGCAGGGGGGCTTTTACTGTGAAGGAGCAGGGGGGCTTTTACTGTGTATTGGGATGAAGAAAGTACATCAGATCAGATCAGATCAGATCAGATCAGATCAGATCTGATCTGATCTGATCTGATCTGATCTGATCTGATCTGATCTGATCTGATCTGATCTGATCTGATCTGATCTGATCTGATCTGATCTGATAAAGAACTTGAGAGGTTTCCTGTCTATGTTCAAAAGAACCCCTGATGGTACCTTTGGGGTCCACGGCCTGGATCTCGTCGGTGGCCTTGCAGGGTCTGCTGGCCCCCAGCTTGTTGAGGGCCCGGACCCTGTAGGCGTACCACTGGCCCTCGGTGAGGCCGGTCACCTGCACCTTCAGCTCGGGGACCATGTCTCCGCAGGGCTCCCACTTGTCGGTGCCTCTCTGCAGGCGGTCCACGTTGTAGCCGCGGATCCCGGCGCCGCCGTCGTACTTCGGAGGCTCCCAGGTCAGGAAGATGCCGCTCGCCGACTTGTCTCTCCAGCGCAGGTTCTCGGGGGGGTCGGGGATCGCTGGGGGGGAGAGAGGGGGAGAGAGAGAGGGGGTTAGGAAGAAACTCTGGACTATAATAATATATAATAACGTTTTATCTTTAATATAGACGACGGAGGAAGACCCATCCTCAAGTACGTGCCCTTTACCATGTTTGGACTTCCACATTTTAACCCTTAAAAAGCCGATACCAACTATGTGCAATATATATATATATATGCCCTAATACCTGTGCAATATATACCTCCATATTCTGACTGAAACTAACAGGATGATCGGGTGGATTGATATAATAACTGAGACCTTTTACCTAACAGAGCCAACATGTGAAATGTGAAGGCTGCGTGTCAAAAGTGTGAGAAAAAATTATTTATCTATTTTGTGATAAAATGACAAACATTTTAACTTTTCTTGGAAAAAATTTGGAAAAATGTACAAATAATAATTTTACGAAAAAGTGGCTTCAAAATGTGTGTTAAAAAAAGTGTAAAATGTTTAACAAGTTGAAGATGAATCCAAACATTTATCCCAGGTCCTAACAGCTGACCCAATCTCCACGTTGGTGAACACATGTTTCTAACGCCTCAGCGACTCACTGGCGGGCGAGGACACGTTGACGGGCTCGTCGATGTACGCCGGCTCTCCTGGTCCACACTTGTTGCAGGCGGTGACTCTGAACAGGTACTCCTTCCCCTCCATCACGTCGGTCACCGTCAGCTCCTGGTCCTGGATCCCAGCGGTCACCTGAGAGGGGGGGGGGGGATTAGTTTAATGAATATCAGACACATGATGAGTCTGAGATACTGGAGGATCTACACATCTATTTACATGGATATAGACTTCTGGCACTATTCTTTATTTGTATTTTGGTATTTTATGATATATGTTGCATCGTTGGAGGAGCTCAGGTCAGAAGAGTTTCTACTCTGAAGCTGCTGAGCCTCTGATGAGAACACCTTTGGATCTTTGGATCTTGAATTGAATAATCATTTAGGATAAACAGTGTTACCTTGACCCAGGTCTTGCGGGACAGGTCTCTCTTCTCCACCTGGTACCCAATCAGAGGGCTTCCTCCGTCGTGCTCCGGCGCCTCCCAGCTCAGCTGCACGTGCTGCCGGGTCACCTCCAGAACCTTGAAGTCCTTCGGGGCGCTGGGCGCCGCTGCAGAGAGCACAGATATATTAATATACACACATTCAAAAGGAAAGGTTTTTAACTGGAACAACCGGACTACTCGGAAACTACTGAGGCTGATCTCAGAACAGTCCAATGTGGCAGAAATATGTTAATAAATTATTTTTGGAAGTGTGAATTTAATAAGAAAATGTGGTAGAATTCTCTGTGACAAATGAAAGGATTATATTAAGAAAACATGTGTCCAAAAAATAAATTAAAATCAGAGCTACGTCAAAGTTAACATGGCTAAATAAATGAACGCCAAGCTGTGAATGCACACTACAAAAAATGTAAATGTTAAAAAATGTGTGATCAAAGTTTCTATTAAAAAACGTGTAAATCTTTGTGAAATCGTACCGATGACGTTGACCTCGATGTCTCCGCTGACGGAGGTCACGTCGTTCTCCAGCGTCAGGGTGTAGGTTCCCTTATCGGGGCGGACGCTCGGCATCACGATGAGCTCCGTGAACGAGGACTTGGTCGTCATGGAGACGCGCTCCTCGTCGGTGCTCAGCTTTTTCTCTCTGAACGTCCACTTGGCGACGGGCGTGGGGTACCCGGTGATCGGGACCCTGATGGTGAGGGGCTGCGGCACGATCACCTCCAGACCGTCTTTGAACGCACTCAGGTCGAAGGAAGGAGCGACTGCAGGGGGGAGAGAGGTGCATGATGGGTACTGGACCTTTTACTGTATTTATATTTGATCATTTTTAGAGTCAGTGATAATTACAACACTCACAGTGTGTGTCGTCGGCCAGCAGGGGGCCGATGGTGTTGGACGGGTCGGACAGTCCGGCAGCGTTCTCAGCGAACACTTTGTAGTTGTACTTCTTCCCGTATTTCAGACCAGACACCTGAAGGTAACACGTACAGGAACAGGTACAGTGTCAAAATCAAATAAAATAAAAGTTGAACGAAGATACTGGAGGGCTTTTACTTTGAAGGAGCAGGAGGGCTTTTACTTTGAAGGAGCAGGAGGGCTTTTACTTTGAAGGAGCTGGAGGGCTTTTACTTTGAAGGAGCAGGAGGGCTTTTACTTTGAAGGAGCTGGAGGGCTTTTACTTTGAAACCACTGCTGGAGGACTTTTAATGGGGAGAAGCTGCAAAAGACTTTTGTAAAGGGCTTAAAGACTTCACCGTGAAGACCACATGCTTTTAGAAGACTTTTACTTTGAAGGATCCACTGGAGGGCTTTTATTTTGAAGCAGCCAATAGAAGCAAATAACTGTGAAATGATTTTGCAGCTGCACAAATAAGTGTTTAAATAGCCTGACATTTTGGCACTTTTTACTGAAATGATCAGCTTCAAACTTCACAGTAACTTAAGTCCCGTATCAGAAATCATTCAAGATGTATCCGAGGTGTTTTTTTTCCGTACGTTGTAGCAGAGGTCTGGGCAGAGGCGGGTGTTGCACCGCATCCACTTGTCGGTTCCCTCCTCGCAGCGCTGGATGATGTATCCGGTGATCGTACTGCCTCCGTTCCTCAGCGGCGTCTCCCAGCTCAGCTGCACAGAGTTCTTGTTCTGGTCCTGCGAGACCAGGTTCAGGGGCACACTGGGCCTCTCTGCAGGGGGGAATCAGAACATACATATCACTACATGCACTTCAGGGGTTATACCTTTTAGGCCTTGTTTTAACATGCTGCTGTGATGGAGAAATACCCAGGTTGGGATCGATTAAGTAGATCTGATCCCATACTGTCGCAGTGTTTCAGGCCGGGGCAAAGTGGATTTCATAACAGCAGCAAAGAACTTAAATAAACAGTGGTGTAAGTATTGCAGAGATTTATACATTTAATGTGTTGCTTTATGCAAAGTTGTGTTAAAGTCTGTGTGAGTTTGAGAGACTGTGAGGCTTTAAATGTCCACTAGGGGTCCATAAAGTGAATTTGAAGCTAATGCTAGCTTACCGATGGGGTCCATGATCTTAACGGGGCGCGAGGCGGCGCTGGGCTTCCCCTCGCCGGCCTTGTTCTGCGCCTTCACTCTGAAGATGTACTCCTTGTTCTCGATGACGTCGTTGACGATGGCGCTCAGCTCGTCGGCCTTCGTGATCTGCACGGGCGTCCACTTCACGGACGTGCGGTCGCGCAGCTCGATGACGAAGGAGGTGATGGGCGAGCCGCCGTCAGACTCCGGAGGATCCCAGGAGACGGTGCAGCCGAACTTCGTCACGTTTCCAACGATGACGTTCAGAGGAGCCTCGGGAACGTCTGGAAGTCATCGGAGACAGAAAACTAGTCAGGAACCTGAGCACTCATTTTATATAGAACCTCATTTATGAGATGGGTTGCCCTTTCTAAGGCAATATGGATCATTTTTAGGCCATTCCCGTTTCCTCACTGTTGTTTCTTGCTCATTTCTTTTCTTCAACACATATCAACACTTGGAAAACATGTGATCACTTTAGGCCCATTTGAAATGCATAATGCAATTGAAATCCAGTCTTACCAAACTTGTTCTTGGCCTGTACGGGTTTGTCGGTGTCCACGTTGGGTCCGCTGCCGACCCGGTTTCTGGCGCAGACTCTGAACAGATACATGGAGTCCTTCTGGAGTCCGGTCACTGTGTACTCCGGACTCTCGGAGTGATCCGTGGCCAGAGTCCACGTCTTACGCTTCACGTCGCGTCTCTCAACAACGTAGGCAATGAACCTTAGCGCCGCCATCGCTCTCAGGCTCATCCCACGCCAGACTCACCTCGCCGTCGGCGGTGTCGACAACCTGGAAGTTCTTCACGGGTCCAGGGACGTCTGGAGAAACAAGAGGAGGGTCAAGTTAAACAGTGGTGCAGGGAGGTGGTACTTCTCCATGTGATTTTGGATTAAAAAACAAATCTAAATAAAAGGCAGCTAATGTTGGGCTATAAAGGAACTATAGCACGGTCACACGACTCTTCCTAATGTAAGATCAAGTAATGAAGTGTGTTTTTGTTTTTCTGTATGACACCCTGTGTTCAGACTCACCGATGACCTCCAGGTTGATGAAGGCCTCCCCCTGCCCGTGCTTGTTCTTGATGGTGATCTTGTAGCGGCCCTCGTCGGACTTCAGCGGGTCCTTCAGCCTGAGCTCTGTGCGGTCGGCTGAGGTGTGGATGTTGTCCTTGGGCAGACTCAGGTTGTTGTACATCCAGTTGGCCTCGGCCTGAGGGTAGGCGCTGTACGGGACGGCCATGACGATGGGCTTCCTGGCGTCAGTGACGTAGCTCTGGTCTGTTGTCTTGATCTGAGGCACCGCTGCAGGAGGAGGAGGAAACAGGGTCAGAGAGACAACAACACCGGACACACTGTGTTCATGGTAATCAGGTTCCCTCTTTTCATCATTAACATCTTCCGATCCTGGAATATCAATGTATTATCCTTTAATGACTGAGTTTCTGGTGTTCGCTGCACCTCAGTGACAGTGTTTGGTGTTTGCTGCACCTCAGTGATAGTGTTAGGTGTTTGCTGCACCTCAGTGACAGTGTTTGGTGTTTGCTGCACCTCAGTGATAGTGTTAGGTGTTTGCTGCACCTCAGTGATAGTGTTTGGTGTTTGCTGCACCTCAGTGATAGTGTTTGGTGTTTGCTGCACCTCAGGGACAGTGTTTGGGGTTTGCTGCACCTCAGTGATAGTGTTTGGTGTTTGCTGCACCTCAGTGATAGTGTTTGGTGTTTGCTGCACCTCAGTGATAGTGTTAGGTGTTTGCTGCACCTCAGTGACAGTGTTTGGGGTTTGCTGCACCTCAGTGACAGTGTTTGGTGTTTGCTGCACCTCAGTGATAGTGTTTGGTGTTTGCTGCACCTCAGTGATAGTGTTTGGTGTTTGCTGCACCTCAGGGATAGTGTTTGGTGTTTGCTGCACCTCAGGGACAGTGTTTGGTGTTTGCTGCACCTCAGGGACAGTGTTTGGGGTTTGCTGCACCTCAGGGACAGTGTTAGGTGTTTGCTGCACCTCAGTGATAGTGTTTGGTGTTTGCTGCACCTCAGTGATAGTGTTAGGTGTTTGCTGCACCTCAGTGACAGTGTTTGGGGTTTGCTGCACCTCAGTGACAGTGTTTGGTGTTTGCTGCACCTCAGTGATAGTGTTTGGTGTTTGCTGCACCTCAGTGATAGTGTTTGGTGTTTGCTGCACCTCAGTGATAGTGTTTGGTGTTTGCTGCACCTCAGGGACAGTGTTTGGGGTTTGCTGCACCTCAGGGACAGTGTTAGGTGTTTGCTGCACCTCAGTGATAGTGTTTGGTGTTTGCTGCACCTCAGTGATAGTGTTAGGTGTTTGCTGCACCTCAGTGATAGTGTTAGGTGCGTCTCTTACCTGCGAGTTCCAGCTTGGCCTTGGCGTCTTTGTCCTTGACGACGAGTCTGTACTCGCCCTGGTCTCTGGGCCGGATCTCGCAGACCTGCAGCCGGTGGATCTTGCCCTCGCTCATCATCTGGTACTTGTCTCCCTGCACGACTGTCATGTTGTTCCTCAGCCACTTCACCTCCACGCGGTCCTTGTTCAGCTCCACCTCGAACACTACGTCCGAGCCGGGGGCCTGGAACGCGTCCTGGGGGGGTCTGATGATCTCCACTGGGGTCTCTGCAGAACAGGAAGGGATCATGAGCAGGGACTACTTTATCACAAAAACATCCTTTATATTAAAGAGTGAATCCTCACCGTCGATGAAGAGCCGGGCTCTGGATCTCTTGTCGTCGACTCCGCAGGCGTACTCACACTCATCCTCGGGTCTGCACTCCTTAATGCGCAGCGTGCACATCTTCCCTTCTCTCACAAATGTATATCTGGGGAAACAAAAAAAGCACGTTATGAGTCAGTCAGTTGAATTTCTGTTTAACAGAAGAAACAAAAAAACCTTATTTCTAAAATCTAAGTCAATATTTTAAAAAAAAACAAAGGGGCCCAAGTTTGAACCTTGTGGTACCCCTTAAGGACTTGATGAATGCCGTACCTGTGTCCTTCTCTGATCTCCTGTCCAGTTTCTGAACTATTTATGTATATAGCAAACAAAAGAGGGCCCAGGATGGAACCCTGTGGTACCCCCTCAAAAACCTTGGTAATGTTGATTTTTGCTCTATAGATATATTGATAGGAGCCGTACCTGGGTCCTTCTCTGATCTCGCGTCCGTTCCTGTACCACTTGGGGTCTGCCTTGTCTTTGGTGAGTTTGCAGGTGAACTCTGCGTCCTCGAACTCTGTGATGGTCTGGTCCTTCAGCTGTATGCTGAAGTCGGTGGGCGCCTCGCTGATGATCAGCTCCGCCGTGCACTTGCTGTCTCCGGCCATGGCGGTGTACTCGCCCTCGTCGGCAAGCGTACAGTCCTTGATGGTGAGCGTGTGCTTCTCTTTGTCCGCCCGGTATACGATGCGTTTACTGAAGGTGATCTCCTGGCCCGCCTTCATCCACTTCAGCGTGGCGTTGGGCCGGTTCACCTTGCAGGAGAAGACGATTGTGTTCTTCTCCTGGGTGTCGATGTCCTCCAGAGGAACCACGAACCTCATGCTCTCCTCTGAAACACACAAAGGACGCCGTCAGGTCATGTGATCAACCAATTAAAGAGTGATATACATCTTGATTCTACTTCACCACTCTCACCGTGTCACCAGACAACACCTAAACACACATTTGTAGATTTACACAGTTTTTTGTGTATTTTCTACATTATATTATTTATCAACATCTAAAATGAGTCCTCTCTAATTGGCCGGGTTGATGTTTAAGTATACATTTTATATTCTTATCATATATTATTCCCTTATGAAATATCATTACCTTTGACCAAAGATTAATTCATGTTGTATTCTATGTCATTACCTTTGACGGAGAGGTTGCAGGCGCTCTTGGCCTGCTCTCCTCTCTGATTGGTCAGGTTGATGCTGTACTCAGACTCGTCTCCCTTCTGGGCGTCTTTGATCCTCAGCGAGAACACGTTGTCTCTCTGCACCATCACGTACTTGCTGCTCTCGAACACCGTCTCCTCCTTCTTCAGCCACTTGGCCTTCGCGCCCTCTGTGTTCACCTCGCAGTTCAGAACCACTTCCTGTCCCTCCTTGGCCTCCGTGTCCTTCAGCGCCGTGATGATCCTCAGCTTCTCTGCAGGGCCAAACGGATCCATGTTAGTGTTACAAACTCAACGTAAGCTGGAGTATGACATTTAAGAAATAAACAATTCAAAAAGTAAACATCTCAAATAGAAATAAAATAGCATTAAACAAATGCTAACAAAATATAATATATGTGTTTGATTTTTATATTTGCTGTTGTAATTTATTGTCTTCTGTTTGCTATCGCATGTGTTTTTATTGCATGTACAGCACTTTGGCTCGACCAAAGATCGCTTTTGAAATGTGCTTTATAAATAAAATTTGATAAAACTTGATTTGATTTGATTTGATTTGATAAAGCAGGATATTATAAAAACACAAGTGTGTGAAGAATGGAATATTACATCTGAAACAGTGTGAATGCTATACGTCCAGTTGTCTAAGAGACGCTATGGAGCAGAGAGTTCTCTTCCAGCCGGAGGAGATTTGTTATAAAGACTTATTTCAGGAATGGAACTAAATCACTTGAGAAAAATGAGCACTTGGATTCGGACTTCTCTTTGTGCTGTTTCTGATTTTGTGTAAAGCGTCTTTGAGCACTGGGAAAAGCGCTATATATATGACGCTGACCTCAGTGGGCGGGGCTTACCGAGCACGGTGAGGTCTGCGCTGGCGCGCGTCGCTCCGATCATCACCACGTAGGCGCCCTCGTCCTTGGGCTCGCTGTCCTTGATGACCAGCGAGCGTCTCTTCCCGTCGCTCAGCATGCTGAACTTGTCTCCGGCCTGCAGCTCCGAGCCGTCCTTCAGCCACTTCACCTCGAACGTGTCTTTGGAGACGGAGCAGCTGAACTCCGCCTTCTCGCCCTCCACCACCTCCACGCTCTGCGGCCGCGAGATGAACTCTGCAGCCAGCTCTGAGAGGAGGAAGCAGCAGGGGTCAGAGGTCGCATCAAGGTGAACACAGGTTACTTCCCTTTTCGTTTTTATTCTTTCTCCTTCTTATGACGTCATACAAGGACCATTGTAGGAGTAAATCTAAATATGTCTCCTTCTGATCAAAAATATATTTTAAATCATACAAATACAGAAAAAGTTGAGTTCCTAGTAAAAAGCTCCCAATTTCACTGCAGAAAGAACCCTTAAGAAAGTCATGAATAACCTTTTTCTAATAACCTACAATGAGCCTGATATGCTGGCTTTTTCTTGCCTGGTTGCAACATCATTTTTGTAACTTGAGCAGTCCTAAAAAGATAAAGTTATTATAAACAAACATCTTATAGTCTTAATACTAATCTCTAAAGTTATCATGAGAATATTCCTCCTCCCCTCCGTACCGTTGATCTTGAGGGTCCCGGAGGTCTTGATGCTGGCGCTCAGCCTGCAGGTGTACTCCGCGGCGTCGGCCATCTTCAGGTCCTGGATCAGCAGGATCCTCCTCTTCCCGTCCACGATGTGCTCGTAGCGGCCGCCCTCCGGCAGCTCCTCGTCTCCTCTGAACCAGCGCACCTCGGCCGAGGGTTTGGACACCTCGCAGATCAGCTTCACGCTGTCCGTCTCCGTGCCCTCCACGCTGGACAGGTTCTTACTGAAGCGCGTCTCCTCCTCTGTGGACACAACACCCCGTCAGAATCAAGCTCTCAGACACACACTTTATGTAATGGGTTAATAGGAAATAACAAACAATAGAGAAAGTCTTTTTAAGTAGAATCCAACTTATTAAACAATAACATTAAAACAGATAAATAAACTACAAATATGGCCGAAAATATGGAAGTTATTTATGAATTAGCTGAAGGTTAGTATCTTAGTTGATCAGCTGAACCCAAGTTGTTCCCGTAAACATTGTTCTGGATCTGTGATATTTATATATATTAAATATTCCTTACCGACGACAGTGAGCATGCCGGAGGACTTGAGGGTTTTGGCGTCGCACTCGTACTCCGCCTCGTCGTCGAACACAGACTTGTGGACGATGAGGACGTGCTGCCGGCCCTGAGACACCATCTCGTACTTCTTCCCTTTCCTAATTTCACTTCCGTCTTTGAACCAGCGGACCTGAGAGAAGAGGAGGAGGAGGAGGAGCGTGAGACACGTGGTCTTTAAATCAAACCTTTATTGATCTGTTTATCCGTGGACGGACACTCACCTTGACGTCCTGTCTGGACACTTCACACTCAAACCTGGCAGATTCCTTCTCTTTCACTTCCACGTCGTGCAGCGGCTTCGAAAACTCGATGTGTGGAGCTGAGGACGCAAACATATAATTAAACACTTTAAATGATTCCTCATCAGGGTCTATGAGGGTCCCCAAGTCTAATGGGACACTTGATAGGAACTTCTAAAAGTCTTTAAGTGTCTTTTCAAGGGTTTTCATGGGTCATTAACCTCTTACAAGAGATTTCATAACTTTTATAAGGGTTTCTTTATACTTTTGATTAGATATTTAAGTAATATAAAGGGTTGTTTAAAGATTTAAGAGTGTTTCATTGACTCCTAGAGGGGGGGGGTCTAGCATCTTGCTTTCATCATGGTCCTTTAACTCTTTACAAAGGGTTTCCCTGCTGAACAGAAGAGATTCAGATTCGTCCTTAACTCTCATTTCAATTTCATTTTTCAGGAGGGAAAACTTATTGTGAGGGATCTTAAAACCTCCTGAAGACGGTTCCTTAACTAGAACTCTAAGGTAGTTTCTTTATTAGTCTTAAAAAAGGGTCTCTAAAGTTCCCTAGAAGCCCCTTAAGCTTTTTCCAGAGAGGTCTGTTTACTGTAAGACGCCTCTCTTGATATCTAGAGAGTAACCGTTCCCGGCTGGACTCACGCTCCACGTTGAGGAAGCAGGAGGTCTTGAACTGCTTGGCGTCGCAGGCGTACGTCCTGGAGTCGTCCAGCGTGCAGTCGTGGATGATCAGCGCCCTCTTGTGGCCGTCCACGATCATCTCATACTTCTTTGTCTTCCTGATCTCGGTGCCGTCCTTGAACCATCTCACCTCGGCCTTCTCCCGGGACACTTCACACTCCAGTGTGGCGGTGGCCTCTTCCTCCACCGTCTGGTCCTGAAGAGGCTTCGAGAACTCCACCGCCGGCTCTGAACCCCCAACAGAAACACAAGTTATTGAGCTTTACCTATGGACACCTCCATTGGGGAATCAGCAGTTTCTCAGAGTGCCTCAGCAGACCTTTGACGATGAGGTTGGCCTCCGTCTGGAAGTCCTTGGCGGTGAGTTTGATCTGTCCGGCTTCATTGAGCTTGACGTCCCTCAGAGTCAGGCTGTGGACTTTAGCTTCCGACTTCAACACCACCTGTTCAACACACGCAGGTATTAGGAGGGTTTGCACTGCCCTGAGCATCGACTGCCAGGCTCTGCAGAGTCATGCAGCCTTCAGACCGGACGCAGGGTGTTTAACATCAAACGTGCTAATCAAGAGCGCTAGCTAGCCAAAGATGGTCATTGATGCATCACCTATGTATATCAGACTACCCTGCACTCCACCCTTCCTTGCGCTGCTGCTCAGATGCTAACCACATCTTGTTGTCGATGTGCAATGACAATAAAGATCTGATTGAATCCATTCTGATCATGCATTGTTAAAACCCAGCTGCGATTTCAACTTGGTTGGAAACCGGTTTTTTCATCATGTGATTAAACTTGGTGTCATGTATTTGGCGTGGCTATGGCTTAGTGCGCTTATCTGTATATGGGGGGTTACTGGTTCAATCCCCCCACCTGCAGTCAGCACGTCGAAGTTTCCTCGAGTAAGACACTGAACGCCGTATTGCTCCCGTTGGCGTGTCAAAGTATTGAAGTGTCTAAATACCATGTCATGTAATGTATATATACTTTAGGTATTTCTAAATCTATTTTCCATTTACGACTTCTGTAACTGCCTCGTTCCTATTGGCTGCTTTGGACACTCGTCACAGTGTTAAAAAGTGAACCCGTGTTCAACTCTGGCTTTCTGAAGGAAACCATTGCCTGGTTAAGACTTTATATTGAGATTCATAAAACTTTATTCATAATGTGTTGGAACGCTAGCCAATAGGAGCGCTAGCCAATAGGAGCGCTAGCCAATAGGAGCGCTAGCCAATAGGAACGCTAGCCAATAGGAGCGCTAGCCAATAGGAACGCTAGCCAATAGGAACGCTAGCCAATAGGAGCGCTAGCCAATAGGAGCGCTAGCCAATAGGAACGCTAGCCAATAGGAGCGCTAGCCAATAGGAGCGCTAGCCAATAGGAACGCTAGCCAATAGGAGCGCTAGCCAATAGGAGCGCTAGCCAATAGGAGCACTATTAGCCATTGTTCTGTTCTCTAACATAATAACAAAAATGTCTATTATTTAATAGCATTGCATTTCATATTGAGGTAATCCAAAAGAAAGTAATCTGGATACTTTAAAAGTTTGATAACCAGATGTATTTTTACAGGTAACTAGTTTTTGTAACAGATTATATTTTTAAACTGCGACTCCCTGCATACCATATACATGTATGTATATGTGTGTGTGTGTGTGTGTGTGTGTGTGTGTGTGTGTGTGTGTGTGTGTGTGCGTGTGTGTGTGTGTGTGTGTGTGTGTGTGTGTGTGTGTGTGTGTGTGTGTGTGCAGGGTCAGCCTTTAGCCTGACAGCTAAATGAATGCAGGCAGCTGCTCCTCCCCCGATTTAAACTGCGAGGCCCCCTGACACCTGACCCCTGACACCTGACGGCTGACACCTGGCGGCTGCCCCCCCCCCTCAGACTGGATTTCACTTACCTAACACATGCATCACATCATCTCTTATTCTCAATATTTGTTGCATAATACATATTTCTGCTACATATAGTTTCCCTATTTCTCTCACAGGGAGAAATCCTTTCAAAATGAAACTCTTCCCTAAATTCAAATATCTTCACTTTTCGCTTGTTTTAACAATAACAAATATGAATGATAATAAAAGAGTATCTATGTTTCTTTGACATGAGGACATATATGTTATTTGTATAGTTCCCTTGTGTGTTGATATTCATCTCACAGGGTGTGAAACTCTTCAATCAGGACACATCGTAGGAAGACATGTGTTGAAGTCTCTGTTCCATAAATCACAAAGCAGCTCTGGGAAAGGCTCTGGGGTCTAACTCCACAGAATCACCTTTATTATATTCAAGGTGGTTACTAAGGGTCAAATGTTTCTTGTCAGTTTCTATCAAGAGTGTAAAAAGCAAACTGTGATCCAAACGTTATAATGACTTCAAATGCACTTTTATTTTTGGTACTTTTAACAATTACTTTGTGTTTTGTATTTGTATGTATGGTGTGTGTTGGGGGGGGGGGGGGTTTATTGATTTATTGCTCTGCTGGAGGTGTGTGTGCTGCTTAGTGTCGTAAGGACACATCTTAATGTCGTAAGGAAACATCTTAATGACGTAAGGACACATCTTAATGTCGTAAGGACACATCTTAATGTCGTAAGGACACATCTTAATGTCGTAAGGACACATCTTAATGTCGTAAGGAAACATCTTAATGACGTAAGGACACATCTTAATGTCGTAAGGACACATCTTAATGTCGTAAGGACACATCTTAATGACGTAAGGACACATCTTAATGTCGTAAGGACACATCTTAATGTCGTAAGGACACATCTTAATGACGTAAGGACACATCTTAATGTCGTAAGGACACATCTTAATGTCGTAAGGAAACATCTTAATGTCGTAAGGAAACATCTTAACGTCTTAAGGAAACATCGTAACGTCGTTAGGAAACATCTTAACGTCGTTAGGAAACATCTTAACGTCGTAAGGAAACATCTTAACGTCGTTAGGAAACATCTTAACGTCGTTAGGAAACATCTTAACGTCGTTAGGAAACATCTTAACGTCGTTAGGAAACATCTTAACGTCGTAAGGAAACATCTTAATGTCGTAAGGAAACATCTTAACGTCGTAAGGAAACATTGTAACGTCGTTAGGAAACATCGTAACGTCGTAAGGGAACATCGTAACGTCGTAAGGACACATAGTAACGTCGTAAGGAAACATCGTAACGTCGTAAGGGAACATCGTAACGTCGTAAGGAAACATCGTAACGTCGTAAGGGAACATCGTAACGTCGTAAGGGAACATCGTAACGTCGTAAGGGAACATCGTAATGTCGTAAGGGAACATCGTAACGTCGTAAGGGAACATCGTAACGTCGTAAGGACACATAGTAACGTCGTAAGGACACATCGTAACGTCGTAAGGAAACATCGTAACGTCGTTAGGAAACATCTTAACGTCGTAAGGAAACATCTTAATGTCGTAAGGACACATCTTAATGTCGTAAGGAAACATCTTAATGTCGTAAGGAAACATCTTAACGTCGCAAGGAAACATCGTAACGTCGTAAGGAAACATCTTAACGTCGTTAGGAAACATCTTAATGTCGTAAGGAAACATCTTAATGTCGTAAGGACACATCTTAATGTCGTAAGGAAACATCTTAATGTCGTAAGGGAACATCGTAACGTCGTAAGGGAACATCGTAACGTCGTAAGGACACATAGTAACGTCGTAAGGAAACATCGTAACGTCGTAAGGACACATCGTAACGTCGTAAGGAAACATCGTAACGTCGTTAGGAAACATCTTAATGTTGTAAGGAAACATCTTAATGTCGTAAGGACACATCTTAACGTCGTAAGGAAACATCTTAATGTCGTAAGGAAACATCTTAACGTCGCAAGGAAACATCGTAACGTCGTAAGGAAACATCTTAACGTCGCAAGGAAACATCGTAACGTCGTAAGGAAACATCTTAATGACGTAAGGAAACATCTTAACGTCGTAAGGAAACATCGTAACGTTGTTAGGAAACATCGTGTGTGAAAGTGAATCTGAGGCTCAGCGATCAGCTGGTGATTTCAGTAATGTGTGAACACATGAATGTCCTGTAACTCATGGAGAGCTTCAGATCACCATGACGTGTGAACACATGAATGTCCTGTAACTCATGGAGACCTTCAGATCACCATGACGTGTGAACACATGAATGTCCTGTAACTCATGGAGAGCTTCAGATCACCATAACGTGTGAACACATGAATGTCCTGTAACTCATGGAGAGCTTCAGATCACCATGATGTGTGAACACATGAATGTCCTGTAACTCATGGAGAGCTTCAGATCACCATGACGTGTGAACACATGAATGTCCTGTAACTCATGGAGAGCTTCAGATCACCATAACGTGTGAACACATGAATGTCCTGTAACTCATGGAGAGCTTCAGATCACCATGACGTGTGAACACATGAATGTCCTGTAACTCATGGAGAGCTTCAGATCACCATGACGTGTGAACATGTGAATGTCCTGTAACTCATGGAGAGCTTCAGATCACCATGACGTGTGAACACATGAATGTCCTGTAACTCATGGAGAGCTTCAGATCACCATGACGTGTGAACACATGAATGTGTAACTCATGGAGAGCTTCAGATCACCATGACGTGTGAACACATGAATGTCCTGTAACTCATGGAGAGCTTCAGATCACCATGACGTGTGAACACATGAATGTCCTGTAACTCATGGAGAGCTTCAGATCACCATGATGTGTGAACACATGAATGTCCTGTAACTCATGGAGAGCTTCAGATCACCATGACGTGTGAACACATGAATGTCCTGTAACTCATGGAGACCTTCAGATCACCATGACGTGTGAACACATGAATGTCCTGTAACTCATGGAGAGCTTCAGATCACCATGACGTGTGAACACATGAATGTCCTGTAACTCATGGAGAGCTTCAGATCACCATGACGTGTGAACACATGAATGTCCTGTAACTCATGGAGAGCTTCAGATCACCATGACGTGTGAACATGTGAATGTTCTGTAACTCATGGAGAGCTTCAGATCACCATGACGTGTGAACACGTGAATGTCCTGTAACTCATGGAGAGCTTCAGATCACCATGACGTGTGAACACATGAATGTCCTGTAACTCATGGAGAGCTTCAGATCACCATGACGTGTGAACACATGAATGTCCTGTAACTCATGGAGAGCTTCAGATCACCATAACGTGTGAACACATGAATGTCCTGTAACTCATGGAGAGCTTCAGATCACCATGACGTGTGAACACATGAATGTGTAACTCATGGAGAGCTTCAGATCACCATGATGTGTGAACACATGAATATCCTGTAACTCATGGAGAGCTTCAGATCACCATGACGTGTGAACACATGAATGTCCTGTAACTCATGGAGAGCTTCAGATCACCATAACGTGTGAACACATGAATGTGTAACTCATGGAGAGCTTCAGATCACCATGACGTGTGAACACATGAATGTGTAACTCATGGAGAGCTTCAGATCACCATGACGTGTGAACACGTGAATGTCCTGTAACTCATGGAGAGCTTCAGATCACCATGACGTGTGAACACATGAATGTTCTGTAACTCATGGAGAGCTTCAGATCACCATGATGTGTGAACACATGAATGTCCTGTAACTCATGGAGAGCTTCAGATCACCATGATGTGTGAACACATGAATGTCCTGTAACTCATGGAGAGCTTCAGATCACCATGACGTGTGAACACGTGAATGTCCTGTAACTCATGGAGAGCTTCAGATCACCATGACGTGTGAACACGTGAATGTCCTGTAACTCATGGAGAGCTTCAGATCACCATGACGTGTGAACACATGAATGTCCTGTAACTCATGGAGAGCTTCAGATCACCATGACGTGTGAACACATGAATGTCCTGTAACTCATGGAGAGCTTCAGATCACCATGACGTGTGAACACATGAATGTCCTGTAACTCATGGAGAGCTTCAGATGGCTTTTCAGAATGAAACACTTGAATCGTTTCAACACGAGTTTAAGGGCTGACTCTAAAGCCTGGGAACACTTCTCTGAAAGCAACCTGCTAACTTCCACACCAATGAAACCAGAACATTCATATCTGATGTAAACAGGAGCCATCTGACCTCATCTGAATCACCATGACAACCTCTGACCTCATCTGAATCACCATGACAACCTCTGACCTCATCTGAATCACCATGACAACCTTATTAAACAGGATGTGAACTTTACATTGGGATAAAACTAAGCTTATTCAATCTGAGCGTTCACACATTGGAACCCTAACCCTCTAGGCCAGGGCTATTCAATTGGCGGCCCGCGGGCCAAATCCGGCCCCGGGGTGATATTTACTGGCCCTTTGAGTATAATGTTAAAAAGTAATCTTTTTTTTTTTTAAGATTTTTTTTTTTTTTTTTTGTGCCATAGTGCCTTTATTCCAGAGAGGGTGTTACATTGAGAGATAGAGGGGTAGACAATGCCTGAAAACTTCGACGGGCTCGGGTTTCGAACCCACCTACTATACTGTAGTGACAACTCCTGTCATTGATTGCATCTCTGCGTGAATGATTAGATCATTTCACCTAAATGAAATCAAATGAAACATGTAGGCCTACTGAGTTCTGAGCCATTTAGATCTATAAAGGCCTTGGAGCTATGTTGTTTGATTGAATTAAACACAATATATGCACTCCACTATGCTGTTGTAGTATTTACTGTATCTGAAGCTCTTAATATGATTGCTCATATTTCAAGCCATCTTTTTCCCGGCCCCTTGCTTTGGATCATTTTCATCAACCGGCCCCCATTCCAAACTAATTGAATAGCCCTGCTCTAGGCTTTAGTTTTCTACTTCATGGAGCAGCTCGATGTAGGAGCAGCTCGATGTAGGAGCAGCTCGATGTAGGAGCAGCTCGATGTAGGAGCAGCTCGATGTAGGAGCAGCTCGATGTAGGAGCAGCTCGATGTAGGAGCAGCTCGATGTAGGAGCAGTAAATCACATTGCACAACGCGCACAGAGATCATGTGTCAGTCTTCAATTACATCCAGTAATAATCAAACTAATCCCGCGCTATGCCTGATATCCTCTCAGAGAGCGCACTCACACTCCCACGCTCTGAATGATTGAATAAACATTGAAAAACACTTTAAAAGCTGTGGGTCTCAGATGCACCACCTGCCCCGGGACCTGCCCCGTGCCCCGTTAAAAATAACCCCAGAAACGCTTACAGGGCAGAAAGCTCCGGAGCAGATCGAATGCAGCGCAGGAATCCAGGCCCTTATATGCAGACAGACTGAACTGTGTGTGTGTGCAGGTGGACAGCAGGCCTACAGGAAGTGTGTGTGCTCAGGTGTGTGTGTGTGTGTGGACTCACTCTGTCGCTTGGCTCCAGCTTGGTACCCCCAAGGAACCACTCGACGGCGATGCCCTCGTACGACAGCTCGCACTCGAAGGTGGCCGTCTCTCCGGCGGTCACCGAGGCGTCCGCCAGGGGCCGAGCCAGGGCGATGACCCGCGCTTTAGATTGGGGAGAAGACATGGTTAGTCCTCCCCCTTAAAACAGGTCGATGTAAATCCACACAGAGTGCTTAATCCTGGGAGGTGCTGCTCATGGCTGCTGCTGCTGCTCCGAGGCCAGAAGAAGGCTTCAGGACTGAACGCTCTCTCTTGGGGGGTTGACGCTGGGGGGGCGCGCTCATTAGCATTAGCATTACGGCCACCAGTGAGGGCCGGGGTCGCATCCTCCCCCCCGCCAATCCCTGTGAACCTGCTCTACATAAGGCATGTGGCTTCTAAAATAACCGAGGGTCCCGATTGGCTGAGAGCCCAGTGAGAGAAAAAGGAGAAGGGGGGTTGCAAATCTGCTCCTGTCAATCAACACGTGAACATATCCTGGAAAAGAGGAATCTACCTAATGTCCGTCTGCAGGACAATGTGGGTACCTCTGTGTGTGTGTGTGTGTGTGTGTGTGTGTGTGTGTGTGTGTGTGTGTGTGTGTGTGTGTGTGTGTGTGTGTGTGTGTGTGTGTGTGTGTGATGATCCAGGGTGTCAGTTTAGATTAACAAGTAGCATCAAGTATTTACAGCGGCTGCCTCACATGCCTGAATTAAGGCCTGTTTAACGGCCAGTAACAGTTTACACACACACACGCACACGCACACACACACACACACACACACACACACACACACACACACACACACACACACACACACACACACACTCTGACTTGCTGACAGCTCACACACATGTAACTCTGGATTAGATATCTCTAAATATATGAAACAGTAACACACACTGTACGCACGCTCTCCCTAAAGCAGGGGCTTCCTCTTTGGGGAGTTCACGCTCTCCACCCGACCCGCTCGCAGAGTTTAATGATTACTTTATTCTAATTCATTCATGTTTTGTTTGAGTCAGGGAAACATCTGTCACTTTGACGTGTCTCTCTGTCAGTGAGTCAGATGGAGAGCAGCTCTGCGTGTCTCAGTGATAGCGAGGCGTCTCCTGATCTGTTTCTGAATGAGGAAACGCACCTTTCAATGGTTTTAAATCCTGCTTTAAATGACAATTAACATGCAGTTACTCTTTAATGGCAGGTGAAAGAAAGGGCTAGACTTGTTCCTTCATAAGCCAATATGAAACGGTGTCAGACTCCAGGGGGCATTAGGGGTCTGAGTGTCCCCATGAACATAACGCTGTCCATTCAAACCACATTAAAGCTATATTTGAACTATTTCTAGGATAATGTAAATGTCAGATCAACAAATATGAAGCTACTACTAGCTTAGCATAACAACCTCATAAAGCTTCACCTCAAACTAGACATCTAATGAGTTTGAGGCCCATCCTGTACCATTATGAACACATTACACGTTACATCTCTCTTTCATTTTGGCATCACTTTAAGTAAATATAACAAATATATATATTTATTATTTTACTGAAGTGTGCGATATGTGTGTCATTAGGCGAACTTAAAAATGTGACTTCAAAAAGCTGGAAAAGAGTCGCCTTTTCCAGAGAAACACGACGTTAGCCAAAGCAATCAGGATACATGTGATGATGTGCGTTCCTCTAACACAATGTACATTCAGGCATGACAACTAGAATGACATGTGTGCATGGAGTCTAACAGCAAACGGTGTTGGGTGCGTCTGGTGTCAGTGTAGTTCCTGTCACCTTTGACCCTGAGCTGAGCGGGAGGACTTGGCGTTGGCTGCGGAGAAGTCGATGCTTCCTGCCATGTCCATCTTGCAGTTGAAGATGATCAGGATGTGTCTCGCTCCCTCGTCCTTAATCTCCACATCCTGAGACAAAGACATTCAGATTTTACATTTGAAACTTTCAACAGAATACAAGTGAGAGAAGTCTGCCAGAGAGTGACCCTTTGCAACACCTGTCTGCCAGAGAGTGACCCTTTGCAACACCTGTCTGCCAGAGAGTGACCCTTTGCAACACCTGTCTGCCAGAGAGTGACCCTTTGCAAACACCTGTCTGTCAGAGAGTGACCCTTTGCAACACCTGTCTGCCAGAGAGTGACCCTTTGCAACACCTGTCTGCCAGAGAGTGACCCTTTGCAACACCTGTCTGCCAGAGAGTGACCCTTTGCAACACCTGTCTGCCAGAGAGTGACCTTTGCAACACCTGTCTGCCAGAGAGTGACCCTTTGCAACACCTGTCTGCCAGAGAGTGACCCTTTGCAACACCTGTCTGCCAGAGAGTGACCCTTTACAACACCTGTGTGTCAGAGAGTGACCCTTTGCAACACCTGTCTGCCAGAGAGTGACCCTTTACAACACCTGTCTGCCAGAGAGTGACCCTTTGCAACACCTGTTCAGATGGACTGATCATTCCTTCCACTTCTACCAACTTAGCTTCACTTCCCCGAATAAATAACAACACATGTGTTTGTGTTTGCTCGAACAGGGACAGGTGCAGCATCTCATCACTGAGGCAGAAAGCTCTCTAGAATATTTCTAACCCCATTCAAACATTTTAAAGTAAATTATAATAAAAGTCTATCTTTGTGTTGCATCTGACGGAGACGGGTGCAACATTACTAAATAAATGTATCAGGATATGTTCCTGCTGTAATGAATAACACATGGAGTCATCTTACAGGTGAGGGGTGCAGCTGCTCCCCCTTCAGCTTCCAGGTGGCGTGCAGGTCCTCCTCCGAGATCTCCGTCTCAAACTTGGCGGTCTCGGTCTCAGTGACCTCCACGCTGTACAGCGGGCGGACCACCTTGATGTCGCGCTCTGCAGGGGGGGGGGAAACAGACGTCAAGGAGGAGGAAGAGGAGGGGGAGGAGGAGGAGGAGCTCTCAGAAGAACCAGATGAAACCGTTTCATGACGTACAGAAGTATAGAATGACAGAAAGGTGACGAGCAGCTGACGCTCAGAGCAGAAGCATGAAGACGAGTACAGACTGAAACACAGCACATTAGATAAATATCAAGTTTTTCTATAACAGTAAGAAGTACTGAACTGATTTAGGATGTATACATTTTTAAAGATTTCAAAAAGTAAATTATTCAAACATTTCAAACATAGATAATGAATATAAAGGGCGTGTTATTTATCTCTATATTATAATTATAATATAGAGATAATATGTATACCAAGGGTTTATCAGGAAAGCTCATTATCCTGTGCTTGCAATTGTTTTAATGAAATAGTAAAATTCTATTGTTTAAAAATGAAATATATTATATATTAGTTTGAATTAAACTATCATTGGCATGATCATCTGTCAAAAGTAAACTCATACAATGATTTGAATATTCTAAGATGTATATGAACACTTGTATGTGCCTCTGAGTGGAGAGACATTTACATTCTCATGTCTCCGTGTTCAGAGTCCATCAAGTGTTTGTATACAGTTATAATATAGAGTTATAATGGGCGACAAACAAAGATGGAGGATGGAGGGGGCGGGGCATGGGTGGGGGCGTGGTCTCGCTGCATGGTGGTGGGCGGGGCTTGCAGTCCTGCAGGCGTTCAGGGTCTCCGCAGGCTTTACCTTCGATGTTCAGGTGGGCCGTGGTCTTGTCGATGCCACAGTCGCAGGCGTACGACCCGATGCTGCTCCTCGCCGCCTTCTTGATCACCAGCATGCGCCTCCTTCCGTCCGCTTGCATCAGGACGTTCTTGGAGGCAAATATCTCGTTACCGTCTTTGTACCAGCGGACCTCGTCGGTCGGCTTGCTCAGCTCGCAGGACAACACCACCTCGTCTTTCTCGACGGCGGTGTAGTTCTGCAGCTTCACCGTGAAGTACAGGTCGCCCTCTGTAAGAACACACGTCAGCAACACACAGTTAAAGCACAACGGGTTGGAAATGAGCCGGAAAAGTCTGGAGCCATCTGGAGATCTGTAGAAGGCTTCAGCGAATACTCTTGACTGAGCATTCTGTGTCTTTAAGACTTGTTAAACAATCAAATCATTTCTATCACCAGTGAGTGTTATATTCTGAGTGTTAAGCTAACGGATCCTTTTGTTAGGCTTCTGTTTGTTTCACCGTCAGCGTGGTACTGACCGAGCACGGTGAGCATGGCCTCTGAGGTCTTGCTCATGGCCTCCACTTTGATCATGGAGGTGTCGTCGATGGTGACCTCCTTGAAGGCCAGCGTGAAGACCTTCCCGTCCTCCGACATGTGCACCACCTTGCTGGGGTGCAGCCGGACGTCGTTTTTGTACCAGACCACGGGGATCTTATCGTGAGAGAGTTCCACGCTGAACTCTGCCGTCTCACGCTCCTTCACGGTCACATCTTTAATCGGCTTGATAAATTCGAGGCGAATACCTGATGACGAAAGGTTATACACAAAGGGGTTTCAAACTAAAGACAGTAACACAGATGAACATAATGCTGACGGCCTGAAACACACTGTCCCCTCTGATTTAACTCGTAGTCACCTTTGATAATCAACTTCCCAGACGTCCGTTTGTCTTCAGCCTCAAACATGTACTTGGCTTCGTCTTCATATCTGGCAGATTTCACAATAAGAGTGTGTCTCTTGCCCTCCACCTGGATCTCAAACTTATCATCGTTTGCTAACTCCTGAGATCCCTTCAGCCAGCGGAAGCTTTGGGCTCTCTGGACATTTCCAGCTCAAACTTGGCCTCGTCCTTTTCGTACGCGTGGACGTCAGCCAGCGGAGTAATGAACGAGACCGGCGGCTCTGCAGATTCAGACAGATACAGATAACATAAACGGACGGGCCAGGAGAGAAACTGTGGATCAGGGGTTGGGATGCAATAGCATTTATAGATTAAATCACTATTACATTACATTGTTAGACAATAGAACTGAAGGAGCGTAAGACTGAACCCGGGTTTTTCTTTGTTAATAGTTTGAACAAGAGTGGGACGTGAGCGCTCACCCTTCACTTTCAGGTTAGCAGAGCATTTGGCGTTGGCGGCGGTAAACACCAGCTCGCCTGTTTGAGGCACTTTGCAGTTGTACAAGACCAAAGTGTGTTTGGCACCGTCCTCCACGATCTCTACATCCTGCAGACGACCGACAGACGTCAGCATTTCAGTAAAAGAAAACATGAGGACTTTAAAGTGAGCAGGGTGGTCCATTCACTTTCATTTGTGAAAAACACAAGTGGTTTTAAACTAAATGAAAGTGAAGGGAACCACATGTAAGGTAATTATTGTGATGAGACGTACGGCGGATGGACTGAGGACTTCTCCATTTAGCTTCCATTGTCCATGGACATCGTCCTCACTGAGCTCCACTTCAAACCGAGCGGTTTCTCCGTCAAACACCTCAACTCCGTACACCGGCCGCACCACCTTGATGTGGCGCGCTGGCGTTTAAGAGAGGGGACAAAGATGTTTAAATATTCAGACAAACTTCACATTAAAACACAAGACGTAGACGCACACCATACAAGAACTCCTTTGAGATGAGCGTAACTAAGGTGATGGCAGTGGTGATGAGCGTAACTAAGGTGATGGCAGTGGGTGATGAGCGTAACTAAGGTGATGGCAGTGGTGATGAGCGTAACTAAGGTGATGGCAGTGGTGATGAGCGTAACTAAGGTGATGGCAGTGGTGATGAGCGTAACTAAGGTGATGGCAGTATGCAGTGTGATGAGCGTAACTAAGGTGATGGCAGTGGTGATGAACGTAACTAAGGTGATGGCAGTGGTGATGAGCGTAACCAAGGTGATGGCAGTGGTGATGAGCGTAACTAAGGTGATGGCAGTGGTGATGAGCGTAACTAAGGTGATGGCAGTGGTGATGAGCGTAACCAAGGTGATGGCAGTGGTGATGAGCGTAACTAAGGTGATGGCAGTGGTGATGAGCGTAACTAAGGTGCTTCAAAATGCCAGAAAGAGACTTGTGCGATGGAGCTTGAGGTTATGAGGTGAAGGATGAGCTTAAGATGGATGATGAGCCCCATGAAATTACCTTCAATGTGAAGCGTGGCCATCGTCTTATCTGTCCCACAATCACACACGTACTGTCCTTGGTCTTTGTTGGCAACTTTCTTGATGACAAGGGTTCTGCGTTTGCCCTCGGCCTTAATGGCCACCATCTTAGAGGGTTTGACCTCGGCCTCGTTGTGGTACCACATGACCTCCACGTCTTTGCTGAGCTCGCAATCTAGAGCCACCTCGTCTTTCTCCACCGCAGTATAGTCCTGCAGCTTAACCGTGAAGTACGCATCGCCCTCTGGAAGGGGGAAATGTTTGTGTGACTCTCCAGACAGAAACACACATGAATAACAAACAAATACACAGTCCGAGGTAAACAAACAAGATGGGGAACACAAAAACACAACATGTAGAGACAGACAAATGACTCAGGGTGTTCTGTGGAAATACACAACACGTAGAGACAGACAAATGACACACAAACAGGGTGTTCTGTGCAAATACACAACATGTAGAGACAGACACACAAACACACAAACAGGTTGTTCTGTGGAAATACACAACACGTAGAGACACACAAACACACACACATGGACACATATCTGTGGAGAGAAGAAGACGAACAGGAGGAGGACACACATGGGTTTACCTATGACCGTCAGGTTGGCCATGGAGGGCATCCCTTTGGCCTCAGCCTTAATTTGACAAGTATCATCGAGAGTCACTTCCTTCATTTCTAACACGTGTTTCTTCCCGTCCACGTGAGTGAGCACGGTTCTGCTCGGGTGGATTTTGACATCGTTTCTGTACCATGTGACGGGGATGTTCTCATGAGAGAGCTCCAGCTCAAAGCGAGCCGTCGTGCCTTCCTTCACCGTTTGGTCCTTTAGCGGCGAGATCAATTTGAGCCTGATACCTGTAGTGGCATTAGGTGGGAAGAGGAGGCAACTCAATGAGTGCTGTCTGGATCATGAGAAAGGCTCTGCTAGATAATGGCACTCCAGCACTTACCATCCACCGTGAGGCTAGCTGTGGACATTTTGCCCAAAACAGCGATTGTATACGCGTCCTCGTCATCGAACTCGCAGCAGTTTATAATGAGCATATGCTTCTTTCCATCATCGATGATGTCATACTTTTGGTCCGGGGTGATGACATCATCCCCTCTATACCACATGACCTTAGAGACATCCTTCGTGATGGTGCATTCAAACTTTGCCTGTTTCTTTTCAGGCACAGAAACATCCTTCAGCGGGACAACAAAGTCCATCTCGATTTCTGGGTTTAAAGAGGTGACACAGAACATCAACAACACAACAAAACAACAACAACGGTTTACACACAGTGGCCAGTTTACCCGTCGTAAAACATAAATAAAGTCTGCTTGGTAAGGTTCGGTGAAGAACTCGATGTGATCATTCCTCCAAAGGTTTAGTCTTTCGGCAGGACCGGTCCACCACCAACTAGGACTTCAGTTTACTGGGATACTTCAGTTCTTTCTCCACCAGTTACCTACCTGCTTGGACTCAACCCAGTGCCTACTGAACTCTATGATGTTTAACAAATAAACTGGCCACTGTTAACGAACAACATTTAACCACAGACAGTACGAATATCCTGCAAAGTGGCAGCACAAACACACATTTAGACACGTGTCAAATCGGACATATAAACAGACAGGTTTCCATTGAACAGACAACAAATAGAAAACACACAAACACACTGGAAATGGTTGGGATTCTCATCCAAATGTCTCCTGGTCTTCCCGGGCTGCAAGTCTCAAAGAATGGCACACAAAATGCATTTCATTCATCAACCCTTTGAAACAAAGATCTAAGGTCCGCTCCCAAGTGCCTTTAAGCTTTATTGTATTGCCCACGGACCTTACGCCTTTATTTGGACACCTAATATCCTAAAACATTGTACGTCCGGTCCTGGATACCAGGCGCAGGTCTTACCTTTGACGTTGAGCATCGCGCTGGTCATGGCGTTCAGAGCCTGGTACGAAACCTCTCCGGCATGATCCAACTGGCAGTTCTTCAGAGTGAGCTTACGCACCCCGCGCTCCATGTGGATTTCGCACGTCTGGTGAATACATCACAGGATAAAGTAATGAACATGACCATGCAAGAAAAGAAATACCTGCAGTAAGAACCGTGTGACTATTTAACGGAAACAAGTTCATGAAACCGTACCGGGGATCTGGTCAGAACCTCTCCTTTGAGCTTCCATTCGCCGGGAACATCGTGCTCAGAGATCTCCGTCTCAAACACGGCGTCCTGCTTCTCAACCACCTCAACGCTGGCCAGAGGTTTCAGGATCTCAGCCTCGCGCTCTGAGAGAGATGTTGTGTTAGTATTCAGAAACATGGACCAGACTAAAGAAAAGTAAACGAAGCACTTAGGGATGTCACAATACCAGAAAGTCAGTAGTCAATACCAATACCATTTAAACACAGTTCTTGATACCTATAACTAATCGTACCCTTCTTTGTTACCATTAGCATACTGGGTTGGAAATCAAACAGGTCATCATTTCCTAATTACATCTCCTTCCAACACAGTCTCAAGGCATTTCGTGTTATAGTCACGAATTTAATCTATTGATTCGTGTTCACCAACACGATTTCGCCATTGTTTTCGTGTCACACAGAACGATTTTAAAAGCAATGTAAATAATAACAAATTAGAAGGAAAAACAGATTTAAAAAAATACAGATTTAAGTATTCTGACACAGAACGATTTTAGAAGCAATGTATTTATATTGGTAGTATGTTTCGTGCCTGCACCAAATAATAACAAATTAGAAGGATAAAAAGATGACATAAAATACAGATGTCAGTATTCTGAGGCTCTGAGACATTTCTTTTCCTCACTGACGGCAACAAAACTCAGACATTATACAATTTAAAATAAAAGGGATAGGGTTAGGCTTAGGGTAAGATATTGAGTAAGAACATGTTTTTATGAACCACACAGCTTCCGGTCTTCCAAGACCCGACCGGACAAAAAGACGTGTTGCAGGCACGAAACATACTACCAATAGAAATACATTGCATTTAAAATCGTTCTGTGTGACACGAAAAAAAGGTGAAAATCGTGTTGGTGAACACGAATCAATAGATTACATTAATTTCGTGACTATTACACGAAATGCCGTGAGACTGGGTTGGGCCATTAGCATACTGGTTTGGAAATCAAACAGGTCATAATTTCCTAATTACCTCTCCTTCAGACAACTGGATTTATTTACGTTTCTCACACAAGACTACATTAAACACGTCATGATAACGTTATGATTTACCTTTGCCTAATACTTCCATTTGTCTAAAGATGCATCTCAAAGGAGCTTGGCTCAACAGGCTGCTAACAGCTAACAGCTAACGTTAGCTAACTACCTGTAGCTTCTCACTTAAATGTGACCAAGAGATGACATGACCCTGTTAGTCTTGAGTTGAGCTTTGCTCCCCACTTGTTACCAGAGAACTGTTTCTAGTGACATCCCTAAACCAAAAAGCAAGCTAAGTAAGTGGATAGAAAAACCTCCTAGAGTGAGATGGGCGGTGTAAAGGCGTCCTTCCACCTCCATGCAGTACTGCGCCACATCCTCAGGCTGACAGTTCTTGATGGTGAGCGTCAGCTCCTTCCCTTCCTTCTTGATCTCTATCTTGTCTGAAGGAGTGACCTCCTCCTCTCCTTTGAGCCACTTCCAGTTGGGGGACTCCTTGAAGAGCTCGCACTTAAACGTAGCGTTGGCTTTCGGTTTCACATGCTGGTCTCTCAGCGGCTTCACAATCCAATCCCTGATGATTTCTGTTGGAGTGAAACAACGGTTTGCATTAGAAAGAAAAGACGTGCTCCATCATATACAACATATTAAGAAGGTGTATTCTAAGATAAAGCAGAAGGCCCAAAACAGGCTTAGTCTGAATTAGTTTATCTAACTTTGTGGCGGTTTCAAGAATGTTTGAAATTTGAAATGAGGTTCAGGTTCAGGTTCAGGTTCAGGTTCAGGTTCAGGTTCAGGGGAGAATTCAAAGCTGCTTCCCTGAATCTGCAGATATCTGAATGTAGCTGCAGGACAATCAGTGATTTGGCTTCATGGTGATTACATTTTTAAATAAGAATGGACAATACCAGATCTCTACCTGTATCCACTACTTATAAAACAGCTGGATTGATGGATGCGTCTGTCTTTAGGGTTCACTGCTTACCAATGATTTTGACATTTGTTGAGGTCTTGACGTCCTCCTGGCCGGACGCCTCACAGCTGATGAGCCCGGTGTCGGCCTCAGTGGAGTTCTGGATGGTCAGAGCGTGCTGCATGCCGATGACGTTGATCTGAATCTTCCCGGCCTGTTTCTTCAGGACCTCACCGTTCTTCTTCCATATCGCATCCTTCTCTTTGTTCAACTCACAGGTCATGTACAGAGGCTGACCCTTCATAGCCGAGGTCTCCTCCTCCAGCTCCTTGATCCATTTCAATGGAAGCTCTGTGCCCAGATAAAAAGGCAATGAGTGGCGAATGCTTGGATAATGATTAGGAGAAAGATATTCAGGACAGAACTAAATATAAATACCTTCAACAATGAGCTTGGCTTTGCATGATATCTCCTTGCCGGCATTCTTGGCTATACACGTGTAATCCCCGGTGTCAGAGAGCTGGACATCAATGATGTTCAGCTTGCGGTCTTTGCCGTCAGAGGTGAACTTGTGCTTGGGGCTCTCGCGAAGGTTACAGTCGTCTTTCATCCAGGTAGTGATGGCGGTGGAGGGCGAAACCTCGCACTCGAACACCGCAGCCGATCCGATGGACTCGGCTTCCTTCAACACGATGTCCTGAAGCTTCTTGATGAACTTCAGAGGGACGGCTTTGAGCTTGAACCCTGCGAACGGTTCCTCTGGTGGCGTGGGACCCTTTCCTCCGGGCCTCAGACCACGGCCCCTACCTTCTCCGGGGGACGGGGTCTGCTTGGCTGAAATACAAATGGACGGTCATTTCATGAAGGACTCTTTGGAATCACTTCATTACAAGACATTAAGAAAAGACTTACGTTTCAGTCCTCGACCTCGACCTCCACCTGCTGCTGCTGCTTCTCCTGCTGGTGATCCCTCTGTTCATGAAAAACACAAATGAGTTTCCTGCACACAACGTCATCAGGTGTCTCCATGAACATGCCAGAGAGATGTGTAATGTCCACTCCAATGGATTGGGGAATATGATGTCATAGTGATGGTTGAATAATGACATAATGGAAAGGAAAGGCACATGAATGACTTTCACATCATGAAGAGATGGAACAACAAAACCGAAGGTGGAGATGTCATGGGAACACGTGTTGGACGGATGGAAATGACGGACACACAAATGACAGTTGACAAACAGATTCAACACAAACACAAGAACAAGATGGTGTGAGCCGGGTCACGTTTGAGATGAGTGATTGGGATGGAGGCATGATGGTGGGAATGGGGAGCGATTATTCAGGGCATGAAGGCAGCGTTTGTCTCCGTCACCCAACGAGTTAGGGTCGCCACCATCTCACCTCTCCTGGAGACCCCGGGCACCTCCAGGGCACCTTCCTCTCCTTCACCCTCCCAGTCGTAACTGTCCCGGCGAACCATCTCCCAGCCCCAGGCCTCATCTTCCTCCTGCTCCACACCTTCCTCGTCCTCCTCTTCATACACCTCCTCCTCAGGCTGGGTGGCTATCTTCCTCATCTGCACGGCTCCAGGAGACACCTCCTTCCCCAGGGGAACCTTTCCTTTCCCGGGCTTCGCTGGTTCTGCAGCCTCCTCGGGGGACGGCTTCTTCGGGACCTTCTTCAGAGTCACAGCTTCCACAGAGTCTTTTGGTGAAACTGCTTTAGGAACCCTTTTAAGTGGATCCATACTGGGCCTCCTCTCAGCGGGGACTTTCTCTGCGTCTTTCAGCTTCTCCACCTGAGGAGATGGTGTCTTTCTCAGCTCCACCTTCTTGAGCTGCTCCAAAGGCTTCAGAGCCACCTCTTCCTTCTCCTCTTTTGGCCTCGGGGTGACTCCCTTCTTCAGCTGCAGAGGTTTGGGCTCCTCAGGAACCTTTTTCTGGTTTCTTAACAGGAGTCCTTTTCTTCTCAGCTGGAGCTGCCTCCACCACCTTCGCCGGCTTCTTCTCTGGAGTCTCTGCCATCTCAGGTTTCATCGGTTTAGCCTCAGGCTCTCGTTCTTTAGGTTTGTCCTCTGGACTGGTGCGACGGCGCTGCAGGTCATCAGCCGGCTTCCTCTCTGTCTCCTCCGCTGGCTTCTTCTCAGGCTCTGCAGCCTCTTTGGACGGCCTGGAGAAAGGCTTCAGCTTGACGCTCTCCACCTCTTGTTCCTGTGTTGGGATCTTCTTAACCTTAGTGGGCGCTTTGACCTCCTCAGGCTCTTTCTCCGGAGTTCTCTTTTGATCTACTGGCTTTGACACCTTGGCTGGTGGCTCTTTGACCTCTGGAGGAGCTTTCTCAGGCTTCTTGGAAGGCTCTTTAGTTTCCAGCTCTTTAGGGACTCTGTCTAGCTTCTGGAAAGGCACAGAGTCCCTGTCTAGCCTCTCTTTCTTGTCTTTCTCCGGCTCCTCAGATGGTTTAACAGGTTTCTCAAACGGTTTTAATGTGATCACTTCTGGTTGCACTTCATCTGAAGGCAGTGTCCTCACCTTCTTTAAGGCTGCAGTAGGCGGGGCAGGTTCCTCTTGCTTTGGGGCTTTGGGAGTTTTCTTCAAAGAACTCTTCTCTTCTGGTTTCTCATCCTTTGGGACAGGTGTGTGACGGGTCCAGGCTCCTCCAGGTGCTTCTTCCTGGTCCTTTTCTTTAGGCTTCAGAACTTCAGGCTTCTTCACCACCTCTGCTTTGTCTCGAGGCTTCTTCTCCTCTGCGGGTCTCCTGGTGGCGATGGACATCTCCACCGCCTCCTCCCTGTGCAGCTCCTCCACCTGGAACACTGTGGTCTTCGTGACCTTCTGAGGTCTCTCCTCTTCCTCAACCTCTTTCAGTTGAACTGAAGGAATCTTCTTCAGTTTGATTATCTCCTGCTCTTCTTCTACTTCTCTCATGACTCTGCTCGTCTTCCTCAAAGTGGGAATCTCCTCTTCAGTCTGAACTTTACCTTTTCTCTGCAGAAGAGGTTCTGAGGTGGCAAAGGTTTGACATTACTTATGAAACGTAACGAATGACACCACACTTTGTACACACACACACTTATCACCATATATAAAACTGATAGATAAAGATGACAGTACAACAGTAACCAAAAAGACAACAGGACACAACAGACAGACATGTATTGTGTGTATGCATTTAGTATTCTTTAAACAAGTAAGATCTTTTGATGTCCCAACATCTCCAACTGTTGCTGTTGTGAACCTGGGGTAGGTTTAGAGTTGGTGGCGCTATACAAGTATCATGCTGTGTATTTCTTTAGCTGTTAGTAACTGTGTACTGAATGTACTGAGGTGAGCGGGAACCGGTGCTCCTACCTTTCTTCACTCCTCCCGGTGCTTGGACGGGTCCCTTGGTTTGATCTAATACAGGATTATAGTTCAGACAGTTGTTAGTTAGAACATTTCATCGCTCATAAATAGCAGTTTCACTGATTTATAAGTCGGAAGACCTTCCCAAGCGCACTCAAAGAAATGATAGCTGATGGGATTTGTGGTAAAGATGTGACTGAGTATGCAGAGTGGTCTAGTCTCACGTGGTTTAGTGGAATGACATGGGGAATAAGTAAAGAGATGACATGAAGAGTCCAAGGACAGCTGTGGCATGCTTCAGTTAGATGTGTGGTGAATGAACAAACAGGACACACAACATGAACAGACAAACATCCCAATGAGAAGGCCGGACCGACCAAGATTAACGGTGGAAACACACAAGTGGGGGGGGGGGGGGTCAGTCAACATTTCCAGTGATGAAAATGGAAGTGTAAAAGATGGATAGGACTGGAAATCTCAAACAAAGAGGATGTTTCAAGTTCTTCCTATACCTCTACCTGTTTCAGGAGATCTCTTTTCCACCACGGCTGGTTGTTCTTCTTCTGCAACCTTCCTGGTTGCTTCTTCAGCCTTTGGCTTGGCCACTTGATAAAAGAGGGGATTGTAAAGTAAACACACTTTTCTTTGGAAGACGCACAAGGTCTTAGTACAAACTCTTTCCAAGTTATTATCTGTATACCTGGCTTTGCTTCTTCCTGGGGAGTTCTTCTCGTCTCTATCTTCTTGCTCTTGTCTGTGACTTCAGGCTTTTTGGCAGCTTCTTGAACTTTTACAGCCGCCTGCGGTTTGCTCTCTTCAAGTACAAAGTCAAAAGGGAATTCAACAGAAAGCTCTCCACAAACACAAATATATGTTGGCTCTAAGAGCTTGAAACCATAAAAAGGCAAAGTTCATATTTCTATGAAGAAAACCTTTTTCCATTGTCCTTTTGATAAAGATTCAAAGATCATGTTCGCTCAAGAGTGACATTCTTCTTTCACGAATGCCTCACAGACAGAAACACAGAGACAGACACACCATTAAGACATTTAAAAGAGAGGTCGGTACCTTCTTGAGGAGCAGCTGGCTTTACCAGTGCTTCTGTGACTTGTGGTGGAGACTCCATTCCCTTCACAGGAACTTTGAAATGAAATGATACGACAATCAGAAACTCAGTAAGACTGATGGGGTGAGCACTGGACCAGCATGCAAACACAAACAGAACGAACAAGATCCAGGATGGAAACATACAAGGGCGGACAAGTTGCAGAAAACTTCTCACCTCATTTGTGTAATGAAATCTCTCAGGTAAAAATAAACATCAAGGACACGACAAACATAATTAGACAAAGCAATGAAGAGAAACCCAAGGTGGAAGCGTGGTGATATCAGGTGATCAGAAACCAAGAGTCTGTCTGAGGCGACAGGAGGACGGTTCTTCACAATGAGCAGGAGTACAGTTTGTGACGACACAGAATGGGTGGTGTGACATGGATGTCTTCTTGAAATGGTCGAAAGAGGTATGAATCTAATAGAGGTGCACAAGGGTGTGTGGTGCTCAGGTAAAGTAAAACACGTGCTCGGTGACACATAACATATCTCCCTCTATACCTCTGGAAGACTCTTGAAGGGTGACTCGTTCTTTTCCTTCTGGTTTCAAAGACAACACTTCCTGAGCAGGGAGGTACCGGACGTCTGCTTTGAGACAAGACTGCTCCACCTCTGACTTCCTATTGACACTTTCTCCGTATTCTGGAGTCTTTTTCTGAACCATCTTTGGCTTGGTTGTATCTGTTACTGAGGGCTCTCTGATCGTTGCTGGTTGGTATTTCCCAGACATCTCTTGGGTTTTATGCATTTCCACAATCGTTTTTGTGGGTTTAAGTAACTGACCTCCTTTTATTTCTACTTGTCTAATCTCAAGCTTTTCTTTTTCAGGAAGTTCTTTGAGGATTTTGTTTGTTCCTACCATTACTTCAGTCTTTATGTCTTTGGGTTTAGCCAACTTCAGGCGTCTTTCTAAAGGTGCTTCCTCTACATGGGATGACATTGGATGTTGTTGTTTGGCAGCTTGGTCTCCAAAAGAGACACATTTTGGTCTTTCTTCTATATATTTAAAGTCTTGTTCGGCTGACATTGTTCTAACGTCCTTGAGAATTTCTCTTTTGGTATATTCTTCTGCAATAAGTGATTCTTTAGACGTCACAGGTGTTACTGTAGCTCTCTTATCTGTAACCATGACGACCTTTGGCTGAATCCCTTCTATTGTATCAGATTTATTCAAAGCCTTTTTAAAAGATTCTGTTTGAGTAGTTTCTCCAGTTCTTGCATATGTGTCTAAATGGTCTTTGCCTCGCAGTGATCCTTTAGTGGTGGTTGTTTGCATGGGAGTAACTTTGGTAGTTTTGTCAACAAGTGTTCCAACCTTGGACTTTCTTCCTTGAGCTCTAAACTCTTCAGTTTGACCTAGCGTCAGGCTGGTACCTGTTGTGTGTTCCACTTTCTTTAAAGGAACATCCACTGGCTGTGTTTTACTTGATGTAATGTCTTTAACAAGATCGTCAGGGGTAATAAACCTCTGTGGAGTCTCAAATTTAAACTCATGTTGTTTCATAATCAATGGTTTTTCATAAGCAACATCCATGACAGGTGTCCTTGAAGCTTTCCTCTCTATTTGGTCCTGCTTTGTTTCTACATGTGGAGCAGCACTGAGGAAAGGCTCTTTCACTGTGTCTCTTCTGGACTGAATGCTTTTCATTGGAGACCGTTCTTGGTCTCCTTTCAATGTTTTCCGAGTCTTTTGTTGAGTAACAGCTGACGCTTCTGCCTGTTGTTGAGTTTGTTTCTGTTCTGTTAGCATTTTATTATCTTTGTCTGTAATCGTTTGTTTCTCAGCCTCCACCCTTCCCTTGGTGGACTCAAGAGAAGCCTCACTGGACTCATAAACGTCCTCTCTACTGGATCCAACGTCTTTCACACGCGTGCCAGGTGCAACACATCTTTGCAGGGTGTCTGATTTCACATCTCCATCTTTAACTATCTGGTGTTTTCCAGCTGCGACCTCCATCACAGGAGCAGCTGAGACCATTCTCTCAGCTGGTTGTGTTTCTGTTTCCTCAAGTGGAGTAATACTACCGTATTCATCTGTCACTGTAACTGACTTAGACTGCACTTCTTCAGAGGAACGTTTGTCCAACTTCAGTGCTTTCTCTTTTAGGGATTTTGATTTCTTTGACTTAATGTGTTCAGTCTCTGCGTGGGTTCTGCCTGTCTGCTCTTCACGGGTTTGTATCTCTTCAACTGGAAGACCTGCAGTGATTTGATCCTTGACTGTGAGTTCTTCTGAAGCTTCTTGCTCCACCAAAGAGCGTTGATATGCTTCTTCTGGTTGGGATACAGTTAGAGCTTTTCTTTCAATGTTCTGTTTATCAGGTAAATCCTCTTTAATGGGAGAAACCTTTTCTGTCTGATCTTGAACTACGTCTACTTTTGAAAAGACTGGATGTACTGTAGTATCTTTTGAAGACTCCTTTGACTTTGTAGGAACATCGTCAGACTTGTAAACATCCTGTTTTGTTGACCTAATGTCTTTAATGAGCTCATCAGGTGTGATATATCTTTGGAGAGTGTCTGATCTAACGTCTCCTTCTGTCACTATCAGACATCTTTCAGAAGCAACCTCCATCACAGGAGCCAATGAAACCTGTGTTCCACTTGTTCTGGATTTGCTTCTGGGACGAATGGAGTAACACTACCATATTCATCTTTCACTACCACTGTCTTAGACTGCACTTCCTTTAGGGGAGTTGGTATAGTTTTGTCCAACCTTTTGCCTTTCTCTTTAAGGGATTTATTAGTCTGGAAATCTTCCATTTGCATTTTAGTTGCTTCTTTCTTTTTGGAAATGTGTCCATACTCATCTGGTGCATTGGATGCATCTTGTTCCATCGCTATGTCTGTTTTCATTTCCTCCATCACAGGAGGAACGACAGTTGGACAATCTGTGGTAGTTTTGTCCGTTATTGGAAGTTTTTCTTCTGGTTTACTTGAAACCTTTCTTTTTGGAGATGTATCTTCAGCAATGTCTTCCATGGGTTTGGATTGGACTATCTTATGTTTAAAAGTATCAGACGTTTCACTTGCAACCTCCATGGCAGGAGCTTCTTTAAACTTTCTTTGAACTTGTTTAGTGTCTGAGACTTCCAAGGGTGCAACACTTCCATATTCATCCTTAACTTGAACTACTTTGGACTGGATCTGTTCTGCTTCAGAGGGTTTGTCTTGCAGAGCTCTCACAGAATCATGGATCTCCGTTTGTCTGGGCCTTTTTGCTTTTATCTTTACAGTTTCATCTTGAATTGTTTGGACTAATATCCTGTCTTCTTCTTGAGAAATGTCTAACTTTGTCTTTTTTCTTTGATCTCAGGTTTAACTTCTACTTTAGTTTCAGTTGTATCGTGTTCACGAGGAACACTTGTGTCTATTTTGTCTTTCTTTGGATACCCTACAGTCTGAATGTCTTCCACAGTCTTTGCTGACTCATCTCGTCTCCTGGTCTGCCATATGTCTTTCTTTGGACGAGTGCTTTCAAATGGACTGATTGTTTTCTCTGGAACATAAGTTACTTCAGGCTCAGTTGTCTCCAAGGGTATGCTGTCAATTTGCTCCAGTCTTTTTAGGGTCTTCTTCTCAATGGGAGCCAACATGGGTGTCTTACTTTCAATTGGGACTAACTTGGACCTGATTTCGTCCTTAACGTCTTCAGACGAGATCATGTGTCGAGGAATAACAGTGTTAGTGTCTTGTTGTCTGTCCATTGCCTCCTCCATCACAGGTGCCTCTGAAGTCCTTCTTAGGACATGTTCTTGTTTGATTTGTGTAGTTTCAAAAGGTGTAGTACGACCATATTCATGTGAAACTGCAACGGTCCTGACCTCTTCAACGGTCCTGGCCTCTTCAACGGTCCTGACCTCTTCAACGGTCCTGACCTCTTCAATGGTCCTGACCTCTTCAACGGTCCTGGCCTCTGCAACGGTAGTCTGTTTGGATTGGTCTGACAGTTGATCTGTTTGAGCTTTACCTTTCTTATGATGTTCTTCAGGTCCAGTTTGGACTTTTTGATCTTTAATCTGGACGCCAAATTCATCATCGGAGACTTTCATCTTAACATGTGTTTCCAGTTGTTTTGGGGCCCCATCTTCAGCGGGTGTTACTTTAACAATGTTCTCTTTAACTCTTATGGATTTCAATGGGATGTGTTCATCTGGAACCTCTTCACGTCTGGCTCCCTGCGGTCCTCTCTCATTCAGGGGAATACATTCAGAAGCTGTTTCTTCAAAGAACTCAGTTTCTTCCACTGTTGCTAATTCAGTTCCTCTGGTTTCTGCTAGTCTTTCAGGAGCTACTGCAAGTTCTCTAGAACTTTCCTCCACTAAAAGTGTATCTGAAGCCCTTCTGTCCGCTTGTTCCTGTGTTGTTTTAAGTTGAAATGGTTTCACTTTAAAGGTTTTATCTCTAACTGTGCTGAGCTTTACCTGGTTCTGTTGAACGATAATCTTTTGAGGTTTCTGTTGTTGTTGTTGTTGTTGAGATACTGATTCACTATCTGTTAGTTCCTCATCAGATGTTGCACGCTTTGTGGCAAAGTCTTTAGTCTCTGCATGTTTTTCAGGCGTACCATGTTTAATGAGAGGCAGCTTTTCAGTGTTCTCTTCCACAGTGATGGGTTCTGTTGGGATGTGTTCATCTGGAACCTCTTCACGTCTGGCTCCCTGCTGTCCTCTCTCATTCAGGGGAATACATTCAGAAGCTGTTTCTTCAAAGAACTCAATGTCCTCTTCCACTGTTGCTAATTCAGTTCCTCTGGTTTCTGCTAGTCTTTCAGGAGCTACTGCAAGTTCTCTAGAACTTTCCTCCACTAAAAGTGTATCTGAAGCCCTTCTGTCCGCTTGTTCCTGTGTTGTTTTAAGTTTAAATGGTTTCACTTTAAAGGTTTTATTGCTAACTGTGCTGTGCTTTACCTGGTCTCGTTCAACGATCATCTTTTGAGTTTTCTGTTCGCTATCTGTCGTTTCAATATCACTAGTTGTGTCCATCACAGGCGTGTCGACACCCTTTCCTCCGCCTTCCTTTCCCGCTGGTCCCTTCTGTTTGATGAGAGGACCTGAGGCAGCTCTGTCATGGAGTATCTGGCCTTTGTTTTGAGCTAACTCGATCATCTCTTTACGTGGTGCCGTTTCTACAGGTTGCACATCTGTCATCTGGGTTTGTTGGAGTCTTGGTTTTGTGCCTTTAGAAGGTCTGTCTTTACCCTTGTTACCGCCTGACTGTAATGACTCTTCATGTTCGACTAACTTCTGTGTTTTGCCGGTCGGTGTTTCTTTAGAGGATTCTTCTGTCAAATCTGAAACTGATGTTTGCTTTTTGGGTTTCTCCTGTCCAATCCCAGCAGTCCCTCTAGTTTTCATAGAAGTATCTGCATCTACTGATGAAATGGGATCCTTTGTTTTAGCACTTTTGTCAGTGACTGTTGATTCAACGTCTTTGTCTTTAAGGGATTTGACTTTGTTTTTAGTAACACCAGCTGGCTTGTCAGCGTCATATTGTTCATCAGATTTACATAACACGAGTGTTTGTATGGCCTCTCCTTTGTTTAACCCTTCAGGTGGAAGTAATTTAGTGTACTTGCTGTTAGCTTTGACTTTTACCTGAGCTTTCGGAGGTTTCTGCATTAGTGATGGTTTGATCCCCGCAGAGACACCTAACCCAATGTCCTCTCTGTCTGCAGTGCCTTGTATATCTCCTATTGGTGCTTCTCTGTCAGATAACTGGATCATTGGAGAGGTTGCTTCAATGACTTCTTGCTCTGTAACGTCCTTTACTTTAATAGCAGGGACTTCACCTTTAGTTCGGACTCTTGTCTTTGACTGTTCATCCTCAGCTTCACCTTTGATTGGCTTCTGCTGCCTCTGTTTGTGAGGAAAGGCCTCAGGAGTAAATGTATCTGTAACGTCTTCAGATTGAAGTGGAATTCGTTCAGTTTGAGACGTTTCTAACAACATTTGTTCTTTTCCTTTTTCAGATTTGGATGCGATTGGTTTCAAATGAATTTCTTTATCTGTAGTTTCTTCACTTGTGGCTCGCATTGGTTCTTTTTTCTTTTTAGGCACCTTTCTCTCAATGGATTCCTGTTTTCTCAGTGATTTTGGTTTCTTTGTTTTCTCAACAACAGGAGAAGTTATTTCTTCCCTTGTTTTACCCTTTTCACTTTTAGCCGGAGGGTCTCCAGTTGTTACCATCTCAAACCCTATTTGATCAGCTATCTCTTTACTACCAGTGTCTCCTTCTTCAGTGGTAGCTTGCTCTGAGATCAGATGCTCTACCGACTTACCGGAGACATGTTCACTTTGCTCTTGTCTTGGTTTTGTCTTTTCTTGCCGACTAACTTGGACTTTTTTAACTACAGCGTCCTCGTCTTCAACCGCTGCCTGCCGTCTCACTTTCTGCGCCACATCAGTCCTGCTCTTTGACAAGATCTCAGGTTCTTTAGTTTCAGTTTCTTTCTCTTGAGGTTTGACTTCTATTTCAGGAGAAACTGAACGTCTCATCTTAACTGTTCCTTCAATCGGACTGACTTTGACTGCTTCACCTTTATGGAGAGCTTCTTTATACCCTTTAGCATCTTTTTGAAGGTCTTTTATTTCTTTTAGAGAATCAGGTTTTTGGACAGAAGACTCCTCCTGAACTTTCCTCTCACATTCACTTCCTGTCATGCTGAGCCTGTCTCTAGTTTTTGAAATGCCTCTTGTTTTAACAGCTCGTCTCTTTGAGCCATCAGTAACAGATACTTCACCACTTATTTCAGACACTTCTTCCATCGCACTTAAAACCTCTTCTTCCTGCAAAGATGTAGGACCCTCGCCTTCTTCATGCTTGCCATATACTTGTGCTTCAACCTCTTCTCTTGATCTGGAATCAGTGTGACGTCCGGCTCTCTCCCCAGCCTTTAACAGACCGCTGGCTGCCGCTTGAGGACGGAAGATGTTAAGAGTTTTGAAGAGAAAGCACCATGAAGCGGTGCCAAGAGGTTAGAGGGGAACAACAAGAGTTAGACGAGACAAACACAGGTAATAAGAAAAGGAGCTGACAGGAAAATGTGCCGTGGATGTTGTACCTCTTTTTCCTTCTTCAGGAGTCCGAGCAGCAGGAGGAGGAGGAGGAAGGGTCGTGGGAATCGTCTCGGCCTCAAATTCTGGTTCTTTAAAGAATAATAGTTTTATGTTTAACGCAAGATATGAGCATGACAGGAAAGGGATGAAAGAGAACCCCTTTACAACAAGGTACAAGGAGGGTTTGACAATGGGGTTACAATGAGTCTGAAAGGATGATTCAGACTCATTCTCATACCCCTGGTGGTCAAGAGCAAACCTGAACAAAGATAAGACAATGTGAGTGTTATCATGATGTTAGGTGGTCTGTTTGTACCTCTGGGAGATGCTGCTTTTGAAGGTTTTGTCCGAAGACTTCCCTCAAATAAAACACTCGTTTCCTCTGTTCTCTTGTGATCTGTTCCAGTTCTTGCAGAAACAACTCCAGTCTCCTTTTTGACCACTTTGGTGTCTCAGGTTTGATATCTGTTACGGACTCTTTGGGTTTGACCTCTGGCGTCACGTCTTCAGAAACTCTGTCCTTCTTCTTACTAAATATCTCCTCAGATGTTTGCTGCTTCTCTTGTTTCTTTACCAAGACTCTCCCTGGAGCACTGCTCTCATCCTTTGGGGGAATGACCTTTTGACTTTCTTCTACCATCTTTACCTGAGACAAACTCACTTTGGTTGTTTCTCTTCAACTGTGACTTCCCTCTTTTGAATAGTCATGTCCTCACTTCTCCTGTAATCTTCTTTGGGAATATCTGATATGATCTGGCGTCGTGACTCAGTCAAATGCTTTCCTTCAAGCGCTTCAGTCTGTTTTCTAGTTGCTGTGCTGATAATAACGGCTTTATCTATTTCTTTGACTGGACTCTTGACTTCCTGTTGCCCTCTGTATGCTTTCTGTTTCAATGCTCATCTCTCTTCCCTCCTGTATGGAGATGTCCCTTCTTTCTTGTCTGACCGCCTCGCTGTCTTTCCTCTCGTCTGTTAAAGACAAGATGGACTGAATACTGAACTCTTCTTCAGTGGTTTCTATCTGAGGTCTAACCTCCCTACCCTGGGTCAGATTTCTGGACTACAACAACAATGGTTTCTTGTGTTTTTGAGACTCTGTGTTTGGACGCCCGGGTGTCTTTCCTCCCTGCAGAGTCAGTAACAGATATCTCGCCTCGCACTTCAGACTTCTCTGGACGTAAGAGGTCTGATGTCGGCTCTACGGTCTCGCCAAGACGAGCCTCTTTGCCTTTGGCGTGTTCTTGGTGTTCCCACACTTCCTCTTCGACGTGATAAACGTCCCGAGTCTCCTGAGCTGCTCTCCTGAGCTCGATCTTAACGAGACTCTCAGTTTCTGGGAGTTTTAAGAGTTGTAGAAGAAGAAGAAAAGGCGTCATGCGGCGGCGCCAAGAGGTGAGAACAAAACACAAGGATTAGGAACACAGATGAAGCACTTGGTTAAAGCTTCAGGTGATCATGTTTATCACCAAGAGTTAAAGTGGTTAAAGTACTCCATCAGGGTTTCAGATGGTCGGTACCTGTTTCTGCAGGAGAGACTTTTCTCTCTTGTTCCATCTTCACAATCTTCTTGGTTTCTTTTAAAGATAATCCAGTGAGAAGGTCGAAGATCATTTTAAAAGAAGAGAATTAAGACGTTTAACAAACATAAGGAAATAAACAACGTACATGTAATAACACGAAACACAGCAAGAGATTAGAAATCAAAGAGGGATGTCCGAGGTTTTTAAAGAAGTGGCAGCAGCTCAGTTTGTATTTAAATACTCCTTACATCTGCTATACACCCAAACAAAAGTCAATGGTTCATAGTTTGTATATATATATTCAGTATAGTCAACTGAAGCTTATTCAAAGGTGAAATTAGATCAGTTATAATCTCTTACGTGTGATTAAAACACTTTTCTTGGTTTGCATTGCTGGATTTCTTTTGGACCAAGTTTTCCATAAAAACATTCAAGCCTTTTTTTGCTTGACATGTTTTGTAAGGCTCCACAGGGACCCTGCTCTCCTCTGGTGCTAGACAGAGGAGAGCAGGATAGCAGGGACAAAGGGCACTAAGACTGTACATTGAATATCATTAAATATCATCAAACTGAAACCTAAGTTTGATCCTTCAATGTATTCATGAGAAAGAAACGTGATCCTACCACTGGGTGGCGCCAAAGTAGCCAATGCACATCAAATACGTTTAAAACATCATTTTGAAGTATAGTCAGCATTTTAGCAAATAAAACATTTGACTCGTGGTCAAATAAAGCCTTTGTCAATGAATATTATTCCATTTAAATCATCAAAGAGGTTTCATTACTTACAATAATTAGTTTTGAGTGTACATTTAGATGCCATATAGTGAGTGAGCTGCTGGTTCTCATGCATGAAGAAGACGTGTTTAATGAAAGAGTTGAGGTCTGCCTCGGCTGTACCTTTAGTTTCAGACACCTGCTCAGGTGTTCTATCTACAGAGACCCTCTCTGGTCCTTTCTGAGACACCGGTTCAGGTGTTCTATCTACAGAGACCCTCTCTGGGCCTTTCTGAGACACCGGTTCAGGTGTTCTATCTACAGAGACCCTCTCTGGTCCAGGTTTGACTTCCTCAGGAGTCCGCTCTTCTTCAGACACTTTCTGAGAAACCTTTACAGACTTCCTCTCAGGAGGAGCCTTCTCCACGGCTCGTTTTTCTGGAACCTTCTTTGGTATTTCATCTGCTTTTCTCTGGGGTGCCAGCACTTTCTCTGGGACCCTCTCTGGGACCCTCTCAGGGACCCTCTCTGGGACCCTCTCTGGGACCCTCTCAGGGACCCTCTCTGGGACCCTCTCAGGGGTCTTTTCCTTCACCTCAGCCTTCCCTGGCGGTTCAGGTATTTCATCTGGACGCCTCTCAGGTTCAAACACCTTCTGAGGGACTGACTCAGACACCTCTTCAGGCACCACTTGTTTGGGCATCACAGCTTTAAGAGGGTTAGACACAAACACATGCACAAGACATGACTAGAAAGAATGTTGCAATGTGCTGGCGCACAAACAAAGATCGTTTTAAACCAACGTGGAGTTACTTCACTCAAATGACCCTTTTCTTTGGTCAATTGTCTTAAAGTGCCAATAGTTTGGTTCTCATCATATCATTGTTCAAAGTGATGGAAAGTTGAGTGGCGTAACTCCAGAGTCAAAGGACCCAGAACAGAGTCTGGGAACATTAAGGTACCTTTGTGTTTCTGTGTCGGCTCTTCTTTGGGAGGAGCAGCAGCTGCTGGTTTCCTTGCTGCTTTGGGAGCCACAGGTCTGTCTTCCTCCACAGGTCTGTCTTCCTCCACAGGTCTGTCTTCCTCCACAGGTCTGTCTTCCTCCACAGGTCTGTCTTCCTCCACAGGTCTGTCTTCCTCCACAGGTCTGTCTTCCTCCACAGGTCTGTCTTCCTCCACAGGTCTGTCTTCCTCCACAGGTCTGTCTTCCTCCACAGGTCTGTCTTCCTCCACAGGAACTTTAAAGAGTATCATTTACAAGCATTAACAGCCTTTACATGTACAGAAGAGTTTGTAAGATGCAAACACTCTAACGAGTGCAAGACAAGACACAAGACGTGCATCCCCATGGTAACCACAGTTAGACGTTAGACGAAACAAACCAGGAGCCGGAGAGAGGTTAAGATGAAGGTAAGAGTTTGGGTTTTAGGGTTACGGTGATGATGAAGAACTTTGTTTTACTCCAAACAAACACAAAAAAGATCATTAGGCGTGGAGTTAAGACACATCTCACTCAGAGACGCTGTGTACCTTGCTTTGGAGGTTCCTTCGGAGCAGGCTTCGGTTCTGGTTTGGCTTTCTGAGGTTCTGGTTTTGGCACTTTCACTTCAGGTTCAGCTTTCTTAACTGCTGGTTCAGGTTTGGAGACCTTTGCAGGTTCAGGTTTGGAGACCTTTGCAGGTTCAGGTTTGGAGACCTTTGCAGGTTCAGGTTTGGAGACCTTTGCAGGTTCAGGTTTGGAGACCTTTGCAGGTTCAGGTTTGGAGACCTTTGCAGGTTCAGGTTTTGGAACGGGCAGTTCTGGCTCCGGTTTACGAACTTCTGGTTTGGCTTTTGGAGCCTCTGGTTCTGGTTTGGCTTTTGGAGCGTCTGGTTCTGGCTTTTTCACCACCGGTTCAGGCTTGACCTTTGCCGGCTGTGGTGTTGCAGCCTCTTCGGGGACTTAAAGCAACATTTAGTTTAGACTCAACAATCAGGACACACAGAAAGTCAAAGATTCGCTTCCACACTCGAAGCTAAACACATGAGCCGTCTAAACACTCAGGACGGAGAAAACAGACACACAGTTACACTCAATACGTTTCAAATGAACCCACAAAGGAGGGAAGGAAATACCTTTGGAGGGGGGGGTAGCCGGCTTCTTTACCGCCACTGGCTTAGCTTCCGGCTCCACCTTCACCGCCGGTTTGGCTTCAGGTTCTGCTCTCTGCTTGAGCTTGGGCTCAGGCTCAGGTTGAGCTGCAGCTGGTGCCTGAGGCTTGGGCTCAGCTTCAGGTAGGCAAGACAGACATTAGCTAATGTTAGCATTACGTTGTGGTAGCATTTAAGAGTTATGAAGAGTCTTCAAAACAAGAGTTCAGACACTGATAAAGAGTGGAACAGTTTAGAGCTACAGAGCACACACAGGAAGACAGACATGAAGAGGTTAGCGGCTACGTAGCGTGAGGACGATAAGCTGCTACTGAAGACGTCTGAAAGTACCTTTCTTTGGCAGTCCAGGCTTCTCCGCAGGGGGTGAGGGCACAGCAGCAGGCTTCTGAACCTCCTCTGCTTCTTGTAAGATACATTTAAACACATTATCAACCAGAGAGTCAAAGAACAGCAGACAGAGATCAGTCAGAAAGCATGAGGCGAGTGTCGTCAGTGCAACAGAGTGTCGTCTGCACAGAGTAGGTCGTCTGCACAGAGTGAGACTGCACAGAGTGTCGTCTGCACAGAGTGAGACTGCACAGAGTGTCGTCTGCACAGAGTGAGACTGCACAGAGTGTCGTCTGCACAGAGTGAGACTGCACAGAGTGTCGTCTGCACAGAGGTGAGACTGCACAGAGTGTCGATCTGCACAGAGTGTCGTACTGCACAGAGTGAGACTGCACAGAGTGTCGTCTGCACAGAGTGAGACTGCACAGAGTGTCGTCTGCACAGAGTGAGACTGCACAGAGTGTAGTCTGCACAGAGTGAGACTGCACAGAGTGTGTCTGCACAGAGTGTCGTCTGCACAGAGTGTCGTCTGCACAGAGTGTAGACTGCACAGAGTGAGACTGCACAGAGTGTCGTCTGCACAGAGTGAGACTGCACAGAGTGTCGTCTGCACAGAGTGAGACTGCACAGAGTGTCGTCTGCACAGAGTGTCGTCTGCACAGAGTGTCGTCTGCACAGAGTGTCGTCTGCAACAGAGTGAGAGTGTCGTCCTGCACAGAGTGAGACTGCACAGAGTGAGACTGCACAGAGTGTCGTCTGCACAGAGTGAGACTGCACAGAGTGTCGTCTGCACAGAGTGAGACTGCACAGAGTGTCGTCTGCACAGAGTGTCGTCTGCACAGAGTGTCGTCTGCACAGAGTGTCGTCTGCACAGAGTGAGACTGCACAGAGTGTCGTCTGCACAGAGTGAGACTTTCAGGAGAGAGATGTGAGAGAGGGAGACGTCTCTACCTTTAGAAGAGGCTTTCTTCTGCTCGGCTTCTGAAGCGGCAGCAACCTTTCTCTCCACCGGCTTTCTGGCTTCTTTAAAATGTCAATACATTTAAGTGAACATTCACAAAAAACCACATTTCCAGTTCAAACACACAGAGGAGCAAAGTGTGAGAAAGCTTGATAGATATGAACCAGGTGCATGCTGGTACCTTCAGGGGGGGGGGGCTCCTTCAGTGACGCCCTCGGCTTCTCCTCAGGCTTTCTCTCAGCTTTGGGAACTTGAAAAAGACACCGATTGTGTTAACAACACAAGAGAGGAGCGTTTGCAGGTGAAGCAAAGAAGCGTCAGAAGATAATAAAACAACTTCAGCAAAGAACGTCTCAGAGATGAAGAGTGCTCAGGGACAAACAGACAAAGATTTTAGTGGTGGACGACACACGGGTGAGTTTGCGTTTCCTGAAGCGCGGAGCTGAGCAGGAAGTCAGGTGTTCATTACCTTTGGATGGAATTCCTTCTCTCATTTCAACTTTCTTGGTCTCTACTTTCTCCTCCACTGCCACTCTGGAAGCTGCAAGGAAGCACAGAGGAACCAGAACCATCAGCACTGTCTGTCACAAAAAGAGTTTATCTCCTATATGTCTGTCACTAATGTGTATATTACCTTCTGTAATGTCATGCAAACAGACTCAAATGGTCTCTATGTGTTGATAGATGGTGTTACAGCAGGTTATCAGAGCAATGCAAGTTAGAAAACTAAATAATACAACACTCTAATACAACAAGAATCAGGTATAAACATTTCAAATGTAAGCAGGAATTAGACGTGGAATCCAATGCAAAGCAATTATTACAATGCATTGTGGGTAAGAAATTAGAGTGTATAAGGGAAGCAGAAAAATGACCTGAGACTGAAATAAGGAACCAAGAGGAGACACACACACACACACACACACACACACACACACACACACACACACACACACACACACACACACACACACACACACACACACACACACACACACACACACACACACACACACACACACACACACACACACACACACACACACACACACACACACAAAGAGTTTTAATCCCAGATCGACACGAGAAAAGACTTTGTCTGTGAAACGGCGACAAGACGAGAAGTCAGTGAGTGTGTGACGGAGAGATGGAAGACACAAAGTTTGGAGACAAACAAACAAACAGACAAAGCACAGTGTATTATACAGAGGCCACGTGGTGGTGGGTTAGGGTGAACGCAAGAGGCAGGTTTGGGACCATTCACAAGTTGAGACCTAGATCTAGGAATGATCAGAAATGTTTAAATAACTTCTTAGTTATCATTCAGATATACCGCATATGTGTTTCCCATATATGACTTCAAAGGAGCCAAACTGCAGGTTCTGTTGTTACACTGTCTCACAGACATTAAGTAATGTACTCGTTCACATTTACACATGAACGAGTACATTCAAAAAACTTCTTAATATTTACACTTTTCTTTTTTTTTATTATGAGTGCTATATTATTTGTGCAGATATACACAAACGTTTCTGATCAGATTATTGATCTTGTTTTCCCAGATCTGCTCGGTTGTTTGAATGGAGGATGAAGATGATGAAGATGAGGAAATACAACATGGTGTACCTCTCTGCTGCACCTGCACCTCTTCTTCATAGTGATATGAATATTCGGCCGATTCTTAAACAAACAAAGGGTTAATATCTGGATTAGTTTGATCGTCAGTGAGGGGGAACAACAGAGGGTTGTTACATCTGATGTGTAATTAAGATCTATTCATACGATTATTCATTCATTTGTTTTTGGTCAAATCTCAAGTGAGCAAAAACATAATAAATACCTTGTTTTTGTTCAAACTCTTCTTCATATTGAAAGAATTCAGAAGTTTCTTTAAAGGTAAAAGAACACATGCGTTAATTGAGATATTAAAGAGTTTAGTAGTTGATTCAGAAAGATTCTCACTTTTCTGGAACTTTCTTTAAACTCTGGTTAAATGTTAGAAATGGTTTTCTTATTGTTGGTTTGAAGTCTTACCTTGCATTGCCACGGATGAAGGCACTTCAGGCCTCTGAACTGAGGAGTCTGGGACATCTAAAGAATATGGAATATGCTTTTATAACCAAGCTTTATTTAAAAGAAGCTCACAGTACTCCGTGTACAGAAGAAAAACACTGATGGTAACTGTTCTCCAATCAAGGAACAGTTTGACATTTTGGAAAATCCTCTTGTTTCCCAACATTTTGGGATTTGGATGATAAATAAAAGGTAACATCAGCCAACTGCAAACTGCTAGTATACTGCCGCTTAACCAAAGACTTTGAGATGTCCGTAACATTCAGTAGTTGTACACATTAACCCTGAAACCCCAATAGTCCAAAACATTTGTAGAACAGCACGTTATCCCCAAACAACGGGCCATTGCTCTGAAACCACACACTGCGGGGAGTGAGTGGTTTCTGAACCATTTAGAGCAACGACTGGTTTGTTTTCAGGATAACATTTTGTTGGACAGTCGGCTTTCGCTATAGTTGGAGATTTGAGTCTATTGGGATATTGGAATGATGGGTAGTCCCAAGATTATGCTATTTGTCGGGACGCTGGGTGGCAGTTTTCCCAAATGTCCACTCTTTGTTCTGAGCTAGGCTAACATGTCTACAGGGATGAAACGGATGAACTCAGAGAACAAGAGGATTCACCTTCAATGTCGCTAATAGATTGAAGTTGTTGAATAAATGAATGACTTACCCATGGGCACCATTGCTAATTCAATTTCTGTGAAAGAGGGGGGAAGAGTGAACAACGTGTTAAAGGCTTCACCAGACAGGAACAGAAACAGAGAAAGATGGCGGCGTCTGACTGTACCTTTGCCAGACAAATAAAGCTCAGCAGTGCTCTTAGCCTCTCCTCGGGGCTCCAACCTCACAATCACTGAGTACACGCCTACACGGGATTATTAATGAAGACGTTTAACACTCAAGGCATCAAAAACAATGAGGTAAAAAATCTCTGTGGGCTCTGTGTCGGGCCTCGTGGCGCTCTACACACCTTCGTCTTCGGTGGCCACGTTTCGGATGACCATGAAATGTCTTCGGCCCTCGCTTGTGAAGTTGTACTTCGGGCTCTCTCGCAGTTCCCAGGTGTCTTTGTACCACGAAACGATTGCGTTGTCGAAGGACACCTCGCACTCAAAGGTGGCCGACTGGCGCTCGTTGACTTCGATGTTGTGGATGCGTTTGGTGAAATGAATTTGTTCAGCTAAAACAGATAAAGACGGGAATGGGTCAACGGGTTTGGCATCACAACCAGGAATGTAAGACAACACTTGAATGGTAGTTGTTTTGGTTTTTTATCGACACAACATCCACACGGTTAGAGATGATGATCAGAGGGCGAGGGATGCACCGATCCGATTAACGAGCTGGATCCGTGATGTTCGGGACGATCTATTCTACCTTTACGACTGATTACACCTGTACTACGTCTGAGGAACACCTGTGCTACGTCTGAGGAACACCTGTGCTACGTCTGAGGAACACCTGTGCTACGTCTGAGGAACACCTGTGCTACGTCTGAGGAACACATGTACTACGCCTGAGGAGGAACACCTGTGCTGCGTCTGAGGAACACCTGTCCTACGTCTGAGGAACACCTGTGCTACGTCTGAGGAACACCTGTGCTACGTCTGAGGAACACATGTACTACGCCTGAGGAGGAACACCTGTGCTACGTCTGAGGAACACCTGTGCTACGTCAGAGGAACACCTGTCCTACGTCTGAGGAACACATGTACTACGCCTGAGGAGGAACACCTGTGCTGCGTCTGAGGAACACCTGTGCTACGTCTGAGGAGGAACACCTGTGCTGCGTCTGAGGAACACCTGTGCTACGTCTGAGGAACACCTGTGCTGCGTCTGAGGAACACCTGTGCTGCATCTGAGGAACACCTGTCCTACGTCTGAGGAACACCTGTGCTGCATCTGAGGAACACCTGTGCTACGTCTGAGGAACACCTGTGCTACGTCTGAGGAACACCTGTGCTACGTCTGAGGAACACCTGTGCTACGTCTGAGGAACACCTGTGCTACGTCTGAGGAACACCTGTGCTGCGTCTGAGGAACACCTGTGCTGCATCTGAGGAACACCTGTCCTACGTCTGAGGAACACCTGTGCTGCATCTGAGGAACACCTGTGCTACGTCTGAGGAACACCTGTGCTACGTCTGAGGAACACCTGTGCTACGTCTGAGGAACACCTGTGCTACGTCTGAGGAACACCTGTGCTACGTCAGAGGAACACCTGTGCTACGTCTGAGGAACACATGTACTACGCCTGAGGAGGAACACCTGTGCTACGTCTGAGGAACACCTGTGCTACGTCAGAGGAACACCTGTGCTACGTCTGAGGAACACATGTATTACGCCTGAGGAGGAACACCTGTGCTGCGTCTGAGGAACACCTGTGCTGCATCTGAGGAACACCTGTCCTACGTCTGAGGAACACCTGTGCTACGTCTGAGGAACACATGTACTACGCCTGAGGAGGAACACCTGTGCTGCGTCTGAGGAACACCTGTCCTACGTCTGAGGAACACCTGTGCTACGTCTGAGGAACACCTGTGCTACGTCAGAGGAACACCTGTGCTACGTCTGAGGAACACATGTACTACGCCTGAGGAGGAACACCTGTGCTACGTCTGAGGAACACCTGTGCTACGTCAGAGGAACACCTGTCCTACGTCTGAGGAACACATGTACTACGCCTGAGGAGGAACACCTGTGCTGCGTCTGAGGAACACCTGTGCTACGTCTGAGGAACACCTGTGCTGCGTCTGAGGAACACCTGTGCTGCATCTGAGGAACACCTGTGCTACGTCTGAGGAACACCTGTGCTACGTCTGAGGAACACCTGTGCTACGTCAGAGGAACACCTGTGCTACGTCTGAGGAACACATGTACTACGCCTGAGGAGGAACACCTGTGCTACGTCTGAGGAACACCTGTGCTACGTCAGAGGAACACCTGTGCTACGTCTGAGGAACACCTGTGCTACGTCTGAGGAACACCTGTGCTACGTCTGAGGAACACCTGTGCTGCGTCTGAGGAACACCTGTGCTGCATCTGAGGAACACCTGTCCTACGTCTGAGGAACACCTGTGCTGCATCTGAGGAACACCTGTTGGCTACGTCTGAGGAACACCTGTGCTACGTCTGAGGAACACCTGTGCTAACGTCTGAGGAACACCTGTGCTACGTCTGAGGAACACCTGTGGCTACGTCAGAGGAACACCTGTGCTACGTCTGAGGAACACATGTACTACGCCTGAAGGAGGAACACCTGTGCTACGTCTGAGGAACACCTGTGCTACGTCAGAGGAACACCTGTGCTACGTCTGAGGAACACATGTATTACGCCTGAGGAGGAACACCTGTGCTGCGTCTGAGGAACACCTGTGCTGCATCTGAGGAACACCTGTCCTACGTCTGAGGAACACCTGTGCTACGTCTGAGGAACACATGTACTACGCCTGAGGAGGAACACCTGTGCTACGTCTGAGGAACACCTGTGCTACGTCAGAGGAACACCTGTGCTACGTCTGAGGAACACATGTACTACGCCTGAGGAGGAACACCTGTGCTACGTCTGAGGAACACCTGTGCTACGTCAGAGGAACACCTGTCCTACGTCTGAGGAACACATGTACTACGCCTGAGGAGGAACACCTGTGCTGCGTCTGAGGAACACCTGTGCTACGTCTGAGGAACACCTGTGCTGCGTCTGAGGAACACCTGTGCTGCATCTGAGGAACACCTGTGCTACGTCTGAGGAACACCTGTGCTACGTCTGAGGAACACCTGTGCTACGTCAGAGGAACACCTGTGCTACGTCTGAGGAACACATGTACTACGCCTGAGGAGGAACACCTGTGCTACGTCTGAGGAACACCTGTGCTACGTCAGAGGAACACCTGTCCTACGTCTGAGGAACACATGTATTACGCCTGAGGAACACCTGTGCTGCGTCTGAGGAACACCTGTGCTACATCTGAGGAACACCTGTGCTACGTCTGAGGAACACCTGTGCTGCGTCTGAGGAACACCTGTGCTGCATCTGAGGAACACCTGTCCTACGTCTGAGGAACACCTGTGCTACGTCTGAGGAACACCTGTGCTACGTCTGAGGAACACCTGTGCTACATCTGAGGAACACCTGTACTACGTCTGAGGAACACATGTACTACGCCTGAGGAGGAACACCTGTGCTGCGTCTGAGGAACACCTGTCCTACGTCTGAGGAACACCTGTGCTACGTCTGAGGAACACCTGTGCTACGTCTGAGGAACACATGTACTACGCCTGAGGAGGAACACCTGTGCTACGTCTGAGGAACACCTGTGCTACGTCAGAGGAACACCTGTCCTACGTCTGAGGAACACATGTACTACGCCTGAGGAGGAACACCTGTGCTGCGTCTGAGGAACACCTGTGCTACGTCTGAGGAACACCTGTGCTGCGTCTGAGGAACACCTGTGCTGCATCTGAGGAACACCTGTCCTACGTCTGAGGAACACCTGTGCTGCATCTGAGGAACACCTGTGCTACGTCTGAGGAACACCTGTGCTACGTCTGAGGAACACCTGTGCTACGTCTGAGGAACACCTGTGCTACGTCTGAGGAACACCTGTGCTACGTCTGAGGAACACCTGTGCTGCGTCTGAGGAACACCTGTGCTGCATCTGAGGAACACCTGTCCTACGTCTGAGGAACACCTGTGCTGCATCTGAGGAACACCTGTGCTACGTCTGAGGAACACCTGTGCTACGTCTGAGGAACACCTGTGCTACGTCTGAGGAACACCTGTGCTACGTCTGAGGAACACCTGTGCTACGTCAGAGGAACACCTGTGCTACGTCTGAGGAACACATGTACTACGCCTGAGGAGGAACACCTGTGCTACGTCTGAGGAACACCTGTGCTACGTCTGAGGAACACCTGTGCTACGTCAGAGGAACACCTGTCCTACGTCTGAGGAACACATGTATTACGCCTGAGGAGGAACACCTGTGCTGCGTCTGAGGAACACCTGTGCTACATCTGAGGAACACCTGTGCTACGTCTGAGGAACACCTGTGCTGCGTCTGAGGAACACCTGTGCTGCATCTGAGGAACACCTGTCCTACGTCTGAGGAACACCTGTGCTACGTCTGAGGAACACATGTACTACGCCTGAGGAGGAACACCTGTGCTGCGTCTGAGGAACACCTGTCCTACGTCTGAGGAACACCTGTGCTACGTCTGAGGAACACCTGTGCTACGTCAGAGGAACACCTGTGCTACGTCTGAGGAACACATGTACTACGCCTGAGGAGGAACACCTGTGCTACGTCTGAGGAACACCTGTGCTACGTCAGAGGAACACCTGTCCTACGTCTGAGGAACACATGTACTACGCCTGAGGAGGAACACCTGTGCTGCGTCTGAGGAACACCTGTGCTACGTCTGAGGAACACCTGTGCTGCGTCTGAGGAACACCTGTGCTGCATCTGAGGAACACCTGTGCTACGTCTGAGGAACACCTGTGCTACGTCTGAGGAACACCTGTGGCTACGTCAGAGGAAACACCTGTGCTACGTCTGAGGAACACATGTACTACGCCTGAGGAGGAACACCTGTGCTACGTCTGAGGAACACCTGTGCTACGTCAGAGGAACACCTGTCCTACGTCTGAGGAACACATGTATTACGCCTGAGGAGGAACACCTGTGCTGCGTCTGAGGAACACCTGTGCTACATCTGAGGAACACCTGTGCTACGTCTGAGGAACACCTGTGCTGCGTCTGAGGAACACCTGTGCTGCATCTGAGGAACACCTGTCCTACGTCTGAGGAACACCTGTGCTACGTCTGAGGAACACCTGTGCTACGTCTGAGGAACACCTGTGCTACGTCTGAGGAACACCTGTACTACGTCTGAGGAACACATGTACTACGCCTGAGGAGGAACACCTGTGCTGCGTCTGAGGAACACCTGTGCTACGTCTGAGGAACACCTGTGCTACGTCTGAGGAACACCTGTGCTACGTCTGAGGAACACCTGTGCTACGTCTGAGGAACACCTGTGCTACATCTGAGGAACACCTGTACTACGTCTGAGGAACACATGTACTACGCCTGAGGAACACCTGTACTACGTCTGAGGAACACCTGTACTACGTCTGAGGAACACCTGTACTACAGCTGTACTACGTCTGAGGAACACCTGTGCTACGTCTGAGGAACACCTGTGCTACGTCTGAGGAACACCTGTGCTACGTCTGAGGAACACCTGTGCTACGTCTGAGGAACACCTGTACTACAGCTGTACTACGTCTGAGGAACACCTGTGCTACGTCTGAGGAACACCTGTACTACGTCTGAGGAACACCTGTACTACGTCTGAGGAACAGCTGTACTGCGTCTGAGGAACACCTGTGCTACGTCTGAGGAACACCTGTGCTACGTCTGAGGAACACCTGTGCTACGTCTGAGGAACACCTGTACTACGTCTGAGGAACACCTGTACTACGTCTGAGGAACAGCTGTACTGCGTCTGAGGAACACCTGTGCTACGTCTGAGGAACACCTGTGCTACGTCTGAGGAACACCTGTGCTACGTCTGAGGAACACCTGTACTACGTCTGAGGAACACCTGTACTACGTCTGAGGAACACCTGTACTACGTCTGAGGAACACCTGTGCTGCGTCTGAGGAACACCTGTACTACGTCTGAGGAACACCTGTGCTGCGTCTGAGGAACACCTGTGCTGCATCTGAGGAACACCTGTGCTACGTCTGAGGAACACCTGTGCTACGTCTGAGGAACACCTGTGCTACGTCAGAGGAACACCTGTGCTACGTCTGAGGAACACATGTACTACGCCTGAGGAGGAACACCTGTGCTACGTCTGAGGAACACCTGTGCTACGTCAGAGGAACACCTGTCCTACGTCTGAGGAACACATGTATTACGCCTGAGGAGGAACACCTGTGCTGCGTCTGAGGAACACCTGTGCTACATCTGAGGAACACCTGTGCTACGTCTGAGGAACACCTGTGCTGCGTCTGAGGAACACCTGTGCTGCATCTGAGGAACACCTGTCCTACGTCTGAGGAACACCTGTGCTACGTCTGAGGAACACCTGTGCTACGTCTGAGGAACACCTGTGCTACATCTGAGGAACACCTGTACTACGTCTGAGGAACACATGTACTACGCCTGAGGAGGAACACCTGTGCTGCGTCTGAGGAACACCTGTCCTACGTCTGAGGAACACCTGTGCTACGTCTGAGGAACACCTGTGCTACGTCTGAGGAACACCTGTGCTACGTCTGAGGAACACCTGTGCTACATCTGAGGAACACCTGTACTACGTCTGAGGAACACATGTACTACGCCTGAGGAACACCTGTACTACGTCTGAGGAACACCTGTACTACGTCTGAGGAACACCTGTACTACAGCTGTACTACGTCTGAGGAACACCTGTGCTACGTCTGAGGAACACCTGTGCTACGTCTGAGGAACACCTGTGCTACGTCTGAGGAACACCTGTGCTACGTCTGAGGAACACCTGTACTACAGCTGTACTACGTCTGAGGAACACCTGTGCTACGTCTGAGGAACACCTGTACTACGTCTGAGGAACACCTGTACTACGTCTGAGGAACAGCTGTACTGCGTCTGAGGAACACCTGTGCTACGTCTGAGGAACACCTGTGCTACGTCTGAGGAACACCTGTGCTACGTCTGAGGAACACCTGTACTACGTCTGAGGAACACCTGTACTACGTCTGAGGAACAGCTGTACTGCGTCTGAGGAACACCTGTGCTACGTCTGAGGAACACCTGTGCTACGTCTGAGGAACACCTGTGCTACGTCTGAGGAACACCTGTACTACGTCTGAGGAACACCTGTACTACGTCTGAGGAACACCTGTACTACGTCTGAGGAACACCTGTGCTGCGTCTGAGGAACACCTGTACTACGTCTGAGGAACACCTGTGCTACGTCTGAGGAACACCTGTGCTACGTCTGAGGAACACTGAGGAACACCTGTGCTACGTCTGAGGAACACCTGTGCTGCGTCTGAGGAACACCTGTGCTACGTCTGAGGAACACCTGTGCTACGTCTGAGGAACACCTGTGCTACGTCTGAGGAACACCTGTACTACGTCTGAGGAACACCTGTACTACGTCTGAGGAACACCTGTACTACGTCTGAGGAACACCTGTGCTGCGTCTGAGGAACACCTGTACTACGTCTGAGGAACACCTGTGCTACGTCTGAGGAACACCTGTGCTACGTCTGAGGAACACCTGTGCTACGTCTGAGGAACACTGAGGAACACCTGTGCTACGTCTGAGGAACACTGAGGAACACCTGTGCTACGTCTGAGGAACACCTGTGCTACGTCTGAGGAACACCTGTGCTACGTCTGAGGAACACTGAGGAACACCTGTGCTACGTCTGAGGAACACCTGTGCTACGTCTGAGGAACACCTGTGCTACGTCTGAGGAACACCTGTACACCTGCAACACCTGTACACACCACTGAACCAGGCAACATCTGGGGCCGTCACCCAATAAAAAGTCTGTCTGGCTTTTAAACAATGTCTCTGTTTTTAGAATTTCTATCTCAAATAACCACCAAAATGACTGTTTTTCACTCTTTGCAAGGAGAGTGCATCGACTCTTTTCAGTTTGTTGTGTTCTCCTTAGAGCTTGAATCCTGTTTTAACATAAACGGGTAACGGGACCAATCGGGGTTTGGAATAATGGGACATTATGAAATAGCAGATTTTTGTCGAAAACCAGGTATCGATGCCTTTTTCAGGCAAATAGGGATAATGATGGGCAATAGACGGAACATGTTTCAGACTGCTCAAGTTCAGAGTAACGGGCCATCGGGACAACGACCGTTTGCTTTCAAGGATATCTGACAAAACTACTACGATGGGTCAATTGTTTGCATCAAATAAATTGCTTCTTCAACTGACTGTTAATATCTTTAATAGACATCATATCATCTGGACTGCAGCTGCAACATTAAGGAGAGTTTGGACCACAAAAGTAAAGCCAAAGACCTGCACCGCCCCCTGGTGGTCAGCTGTTTAGGAACTGCTGGATAGCGATTTCTATTACCTTGGTGGTGTAGCACTATCCGATGTTGCTTTGACTTTAAAGATAACCTCTCTTCCACACAATACAATGCAGAATCCAGATCGGTGCATCCCTGCTGATGATGGCTGGATGTTTGAGGGGGGGGGGGGGGGGGGGGGGGGGTGGGGTTTGATGGATTTCAGTCGTAAGAAGACAACCGAATGAGATGATGGCGGGACGTTTTGTTTTTTGCAAGATAATCCAGAGCGTGAAGAGTTAAGACAGAAGGAGTGACCCCAGAAGAAAGAGAGAAAAAAGAGTCGGGCGTTAGTCTCAGATGGGGGGGGGGGGTCTGAAGAGGTTAGTGAAGACGCTAGCAGGACGGTTCCTGTACAAACCTTCCACCCACAGGTCGGCCGAGGACTCCAGGGTCTGGTACCTGCAGGAGTACCGGCCCTGGTCTTGGGTCTTCAGGTCTCGGATCAGAAGCTTCTGAACCTTGTGCTTCACCTCCGACGTGTACCTGCCCTTCATCTCTAAACGCTTCCCGTTTTTAAACCACTGAGCTTCTACATTAGGGATGGACAACTGACAAGACAGCGAGCATGACTGGCCTTTCTTACCCGAGGTCTCCTGCAGGTGCTTCTCAACCTCCGCCTCTGCAACACACAGCAGAGAAACACAGCGTGAGAAAATATGCTGACAAAGTCAAACTCTTACTACACATTTTTGAAGCTTTTCTCATTACTCTGACATTCAAGTGCTTCAGCTTTCTGCTCAGTGTGCGTTGGTTGTGTTTAGAGGCAGAGCGAATGACACGCTTTGTTATAAAAGGTAGAGAGAGCATTTGATCAGAATTTCTATTTTTTCTCAGATTTTCAATCTTTTTTCTAGGATTTCAATTTCTTCTCCGAATTGAGTTTTTTTTTTAAATGTTGACTTTTTTTATCAGTTTTTTTATCAGTTTTTTGACTTTTTTCTCATGATTGTACTTATTTTCAGATTTGTCCTTTTTTTTCCTCATATTTCACTTTTTTCAAATTTCTTATTTTTCCTCAGATTTCTGACTATTTGTCTTTTTTTTCATTTTTGAAGTTTTTCTCATAATTTTGATTTTTTTTCACAGATTTAGATTTTTTTCAGAATTTAGATTATTTTTCAGATTTATGACTTTTTTTCTCAGAATTAAACATTTTTTCAGAATGTTGACTTTTTCTAATTTCAATCTTTTTTCTAAGATTGGAATTTTTGACTTTTCCTCCGATTAATGCGTATTCGTTGCACTTTTTAACATTTACCTTGCAGGACTGTTACTGGTTTAGAGTATTTATGCGCTGAGTATCTGAGTATCTGAGTATCTGAGTATGTGAGTATGTGAGTATCTGAGTATCTGAGTATCTGAGTATCTGAGTATGTGAGTATGTGAGTATCTGAGTATCTGAGTATCTGAGTATGTGAGTATCTGAGTATCTGAGTATCTGAGTATCTGAGTATGTGAGTATCTGAGTATCTGAGTCTCTGAGTCTCTGAGTCTCTGAGTATCTGAGTATCTGAGTATGTGAGTATGTGAGTATCTGAGTATCTGAGTATCTGAGTATCTGAGTATCTGAGTATGTGAGTATCTGAGTATCTGAGTATCTGAGTATCTGAGTATCTGAGTATGTGAGTATGTGAGTATCTGAGTATCTGAGTCTCTGAGTCTCTGAGTATCTGAGTATCTGAGTCTCTGAGTCTCTGAGTATCTGAGTATCTGAGTATCTGAGTATCTGAGTATCTGAGTATCTGAGTATCTGAGTGTCTGAGTGTCTGAGTACTGACCGGCGACGGCAAGTTTGGCGCTGGAGATGTGCGGCCCGCAGACGACCCGGTAGTTCCCCTGGTCGGCGGGCTGGCAGTTCTTGATCTTCAGCAGGTGACGGTCTCCGCTGATGCTGATGTCGTACTTGTCGCTGGAGTCCAGTTTCTGCGTTCCCTTGTACCAGGACAGCGTGATCTCAGGGTAGTTGATCTTCACCTCGCACTCGAACAGCGCCTCCTTTTGGGTGAAGATGCACTGATCCGAGATGTCCTTCATCACCGTCACCGGCTGCAGCGGAGAAAACACATTATTGTAGAGACACTTTTAGATTCAGTTGTTATCTGTGCACGGTGAGTGTGTGTGTATGAATGCATAGATTAAGTGTGCATGTCGGTTTATTTATCAATTTAATTCAATTATTTCAGTTTGATCTCTTTGCAAGAAGTGTCCTATATTTCTGAATTAGTTATTTATTATTATTATTTATCTCACATTCCAATCACAGAGATTATTTATAGTTTTTTCTCAGAAATCTGTGATTTATTTGTACTATTTTTACTACTATCCCATAAACTATATAGGGACCCCTTTAACTGCCTCTACTTGGATCCATAATTATTTAATATTTAACCGTTAATGTCGTAGAATTTACATTCTCAAGTTTTTTAATTGTTCTGCATCAAATAAAATGTGTCTGGAGATCAGTTTAAAATATCCTCAGTGTGATCAAAAATACATTTGATTTGTGTTTTGTAACAGATCATCTGTGTTTTCCCAGCGGTCAGTGAACGCCTCCTGACCTCTGTGCGCTCCATCCTCTTCTGAAGGTCGGCCACCAGGCGAGCCATGTCCTCATCCGACTCTCTGTCCGCACGCTCCACTTCCTGCAGAACACACACCGCGTTATCCATCAGGACGTCCACACACACACACACACACACACACACACACACACACACACACAGACACACACACACACACACACAGACACAGACACAGACACAGACACAACACAGACACAGACACAGACACACACACACACACACACACACAGACACAGACACAGACACAGACACAGACACACAGACACACAGACACACAGACACAGACACAGACACAGACACAGACACACAGACACAGACACACACACACACACACACACACACACACACACACACACACACACACACACACACACACACACACACACACACACACACCACACACACACACACACACACACACACACACACACACACACACACACACACTCACCGGTCTGCCGCTCTCCTCTGCCTTCTCCTTCTTCAGCTGCTCGATGGCCTGCAGGAGGCCGCGGTAGTCTGTGATTCCGTACATGCGAGCGTACTTCTCGTACTCTTTGGGGTCCACGTTCCTCAGCAAATCCACGATGTCGATGTCCTTCTCCTCCTGAGGACTCTTCTGCTTCGACGGCGTCCTGACAAACACACCGGCAGAGGTTAGAGATCAATACAACCAAAGATTTAGATGAAATACGAAAGACGTGGAGTTGGGATGAAGAACTGGAAACTTTGAATGGGAAATAAAATTAAAATTCCCCGAACAAACGGCCAGAAATGTGTGAACTCTTTGTAACCATCGGCAAAAGAAATTGTTTCTAAAAATCCCAGAATTGCTGCTTGGCTTTTGAGATGAATTTAAGACTAACTGGTATATGATTACAGAAAGGTTATTGGATTCTCATTTACACAAGTTGCTGAGTTTTTATTGAAATGGTGAGATGTTCCTGATCTGATGTCCCTCTGGTCAGAGCTGACCAGAGGTGGGGACTCGAGTCACATGACTTGACTCGAGTCCCCACCTCTGGTCGGAGCTTAGTCATAGATGAAAGAAAATGCTCTCAGAAGCTGAACCCTTCCTGTCAGCTGAACACTCACTTCTTGAGTTTGGCGCGCAGGTCTCCCTCGAGATGCGCCGACCCCTTCTTCTCGTCCACCTGCAGGTCGGCGCTGCTCTCGATCTCTCCGTGCTTGTTGTTGGCGACGCAGCGGTACTGACCCGAGTCCGACTTGGTGACCTCCCTGATCTCCAGCCGGGCCTCCTGGCCCTTCTGCTCCATGGAGATGCGTCCGCCGTGCGTCACCTGACGCCATTTCCCCTTCATCCACTTCACGCTGGGGATCGGGTCTCCGCCCACTTTAGCGATGAAGGTGGCTGTTCCCTCTGAGGGGGGGGGTGGGGGGGGGGGGGGGTAGAGACTCGTCAATATATTGGGTTTAAAGATGACAGGTTTGTTTGTGGCTAAATAAAGAATATCGCCCTCATGGATCTGTTTATGTCACAGAAATATGTTGCACAAAAATGCCATCTATCCACCTATCTCTCTATCTCTCTATCTCTCTATCTATCTATCTATCTATCTACCTATCTATCTATCCACCTATCTATCTCTCCATCCATCCATGTTTAATATGTAGTGTGTTTGCTCCTCACTCTCTGTGACGTGGATGGTCTGTGGCTCCTCGATGAAGAACAGGTTGTCCAGTTTCTTGGCAGCAGCCGGAGCTTCAGCCGGAGCAGGGACTCCAGCTTTCTCTGCACAAACAACAACAACAATAACAATATTACAACAACTGATGAACTACCTTTATACATTTAAGAATGAGTAAATGCATTTTAAAATACACGCACAATGATATTAAAACATTGTATAAATGATGGAATTAATAAATAAACAGGAAATGTAATATCAATGGGAATGATTAGATATATAAATACATGAAAAAGCAAAAAGAAACAGAAATATCAATAATAATGCGATCCTTTACTGATACTATAACTTGTGGTTCATTTATTCGTCTATGAATTGATTCTATATGTTGTCAGCGTCTCTATATGAGACCACCTTCCAGCTTGAATCAGCAGCATGTGGTCAGAGCAACAGAAGCAGGTGGGTCTGTAGAGTGAGTCTATCAGAGAGCTTTCTGTTCCTTACCTTTCACGGTGACCTTGGCCTTGCAGAACTCGCTGCCGGCATCGCTGCTGGCCTTGCAGAGGTAGTCCCCGGCGTCGTGTCGGGAGGCGGGGCTTATCTCCAGAGAGGCCGTCCCCTCGGAGAAGCTGATCTTCGTGCTGCCGGCCGACGTCAGGTCCTTCCTGTCCTTCATCCAGCTGATCGTCAGCGGGGGGGAACCAACAACGTGGCAGCGCAGACTCAGCTTCTCTCCTTCGTCCACAGTCTGAGGCTTCAGAGGCACGTCGAACACCGGGGCCTTCTTCGCCTCTGCAGGAGGAGGAGGAGGAGGAGGAGGGGGAGGAGGAGGAGAAAAGGGTCAATGCAAAGACCAAATCACTCACAGGTGACCCATGACTAATGCGTAGGAGAGTAAGAGACAAAGAAGACGGCTATAAAGAGACAAATCATAACGCCTTCAAAGAGGCACACAGCAACAAAGAGAGGCTAAAGAGCTGAAGCGCTGCCTCTCCCCCCTCTCGCAGCGTCACGGGGGTCCCAGCAGACCCACCTCTGATCCCCACAGTGACGTCGCAGCAGGACTCCCCCGCCTCGTTGGAGGCGCGGCATTGGTAGGACCCGCTGTCCGTCACCCGGCTGCTCTTGATGCACAGCACCGACACGTTGCTCTTGAAGCTGACGTCGTACTGGTCCGAGCTGAGGATCTCCGAGCCGCCTCGGAACCAGCGCACCGAGATGGGCTGAGAGCCCGACACCCGGCCCTCCATCTTCACCAGCCGGCCCTCCGTGTCCTCCATGTGCTCTGACGGCTTTTTAGTGAACACGGGGGGGGGTCTTACGCTCTGAGAACAAGAGAAGAAGAAGTGAGGAAGAAGTGCCCAGAAAGGGGCCGGGGTTAGTGAAGAAACGGGTTAGAGAAGAGGTTAAAGGTTAAACACGCCCACAGACGGCCTGAGGCAACACAAGAACACCTGGAGGACTTTAGGTCCACTGCATCGCTCTTTGGCTGTTCTCTCACATGGGACTACTTTTAGACCCTCATGGTAAAAAGTCCTCGTAGTTTCAAGAAACATAAATGATAATCTGATTTAAAGTGTCTTTCCCAATGGGGAAAAGTATTTTGTAAGGTTAGAGAAGAGGGTCTAAGGTTAGAGAAGAGGGTCTAAGGTTAGAGAAGAGGGTCTAAGGTTGGAGAAGAGGGTCTAAGGTTAGATAAGAGGGTCTAAGGTTAGAGAAGAGGGTCTAAGGTTGGAGAAGAGGGTCTAAGGTTAGAGAAGAGGGTCTAAGAGGGTCTACGGTTGGAGAAGAGGGTCTAAGGTTGGAGAAGAGGGTCTAAGGTTGGAGAAGAGGGTCTAAGGTTAGATAAGAGGGTCTAAGGTTGGAGAAGAGGGTCTAAGGTTAGATAAGAGGGTCTAAGGTTAGAGAAGAGGGTCTAAGGTTAGAGAAGAGGGTCTAAGAAGAGGGTCTAAGGTTGGAGAAGAGGGTCTAAGGTTAGATAAGAGGGTCTAAGAAGAGGGTCTAAGGTTGGAGAAGAGGGTCTAAGGTTAGATAAGAGGGTCTAAGAAGAGGGTCTAAGGTTGGAGAAGAGGGTCTAAGGTTGGAGAAGAGGGTCTAAGGTTGGAGAAGAGGGTCTAAGGTTAGATAAGAGGGTCTAAGGTTAAAGAAGAGGGGGTCCCGGGGTAACCCTAAGTACCTTTGACCGTGATGTCGCAGGAGCACGAGTCCTTGCCCGTGTCGTTGGAGGCGTGGCAGAAGTATTTTCCGGTGTCGCCTTTATCGGCCTTCGTGATGGTGAGGTGGGGGGTGTTTTCCACGCAGCTCATCTTATAGTTCCCCCCACTGCGAATGTCTTTGTGGTCTTTGGACCATGTGACTTTGATGGGGGCGGAGCCGGTCATGTGACACTCGAGCTCGATGCTGTCGCCCACTGTCACCTCCTGAGGGGACAACTTCCTGTCGAATATCGGTGGGAAACGAGGCGCTGCGAAGTCCGAGGAAGAGCGTGAGGAAGAGGAGGAAGATGAGGAAGAGGAGGAAGAGTCAAGACAAGAGGAAACATTACAGTCAGGTCGACGAGGATCTGCTGAGACCTCTGATCATTTAACCTCACATCAAACCAACATAAGAAAGAGATATGACAACCAACGGACAGACAAAAGTGTTTTCTATCAGTTTCAGGTACCTATCAGGTGTTTTCTATCAGACTCAGGTACCTGTCAGGTGTTTTCTATCAGACTCTGGTACCTGTCAGGTGTTTTCTATCAGACTCAGGTACCTGTCAGGTGTTTTCTATCAGTCTCTGGTACCTATCAGGTGTTTTCTATCAGACTCAGGTACCTGTCAGGTGTTTTCTATCAGACTCAGGTACCTGTCAGGTGTTTTCTATCAGACTCAGGTACCTGTCAGGTGTTTTCTATCAGACTCAGGTACCTGTCAGGTGTTTTCTATCAGACTCAGGTACCTGTCAGGTGTTTTCTATCAGACTCAGGTACCTGTCAGGTGTTTTCTATCAGACTCAGGTACCTGTCAGGTGTTTTCTATCAGACTCAGGTACCTGTCAGGTGTTTTCTATCAGACTCAGGTACCTATCAGGTGTTTTCTATCAGACTCAGGTACCTGTCAGGTGTTTCTATCAGACTCAGGTACCTGTCAGGTGTTTTCTATCAGACTCAGGTACCTGTCAGGTGTTTTCTATCAGACTCAGGTACCTGTCAGGTGTTTTCTATCAGACTCAGGTACCTGTCAGGTGTTTTCTATCAGTCTCAGGTACCTGTCAGGTGTTTTCTATCAGACTCAGGTACCTATCAGGTGTTTTCTATCAGACTCAGGTACCTGTCAGGTGTTTTCTATCAGACTCAGGTACCTGTCAGGTGTTTTCTATCAGACTCAGGTACCTGTCAGGTGTTTTCTATCAGACTCAGGTACCTGTCAGGTGTTTTCTATCAGACTCAGGTACCTGTCAGGTGTTTTCTATCAGACTCAGGTACCTGTCAGGTGTTTTCTATCAGACTCAGGTACCTGTCAGGTGTTTTCTATCAGTCTCAGGTACCTGTCAGGTGTTTTCTATCAGACTCAGGTACCTGTCAGGTGTTTTCTATCAGACTCAGGTACCTGTCAGGTGTTTTCTATCAGACTCAGGTACCTGTCAGGTGTTTTCTATCAGACTCAGGTACCTGTCAGGTGTTTTCTATCAGACTCAGGTACCTGTCAGGTGTTTTCTATCAGACTCAGGTACCTGTCAGGTGTTTTCTATCAGACTCTGGTACCTGTCAGGGTGTTTTCTATCAGTCTCTGGTACCTGTCAGGTGTTTTCTATCAGACTCAGGTACCTGTCAGGTGTTTTCTATCAGACTCAGGTACCTGTCAGGTGTTTTCTATCAGACTCAGGTACCTGTCAGGTGTTTTCTATCAGTCTCTGGTACCTGTCAGGTGTTTTCTATCAGTCTCTGGTACCTGTCAGGTGTTTTCTATCAGACTCAGGTACCTGTCAGGTGTTTTCTATCAGACTCAGGTACCTGTCAGGTGTTTTCTATCAGACTCAGGTACCTGTCAGGTGTTTTCTATCAGACTCAGGTACCTGTCAGGTGTTTTCTATCAGACTCAGGTACCTGTCAGGTGTTTTCTATCAGACTCAGGTACCTGTCAGGTGTTTTCTATCAGACTCAGGTACCTGTCAGGTGTTTTCTATCAGACTCAGGTACCTGTCAGGTGTTTTCTATCAGACTCAGGTACCTGTCAGGTGTTTTCTATCAGACTCAGGTACCTGTCAGGTGTTTTCTATCAGACTCAGGTACCTGTCAGGGTGAGCTTGGCTCTGCAGGAGGCGGACCCCACGCTGTTGGTGGCTGAGCAGGTGTACTCCCCAGAGTGCCTCATCTCTCCGTGGGCGATCTCCAGTGCCGCCGTGTTGTCGTTGTACGTCATGGTGAAGTCTCCGCCCTGCTTTAGGGGCTCTCCGTCTCTCAGCCAGGTGACCTCCAGCGGAGAGGAGCCGGCCACGCGGCACTCGAACCGCACCGCCTGGCCCTCCGTCTGCTGGAGGCTGGTCATCTTCTTCGGGAAGGAGGGCGGGGATTTGGCCTCTGGGGGAGAAAAGGTGGAGGAAGTTAACCAGGTGTAGTTACAAGGTGCAGTAACCAGGTGTAGTAACCAGGTGTAGTAACCAGGTGTAGTAACCAGGTGTAGTAACCAGGTGTAATAACCAGGTGTAGTAACCAGGTGTAGTAACCAGGTGTAGTAACCAGGTGCAGTAACCAGGTGTAGTAAGCAGGTGTAGTAACCAGGTGTAGTAACCAGGTGCAGTAACCAGGTGTAATAACCAGGTGTAGTAATCAGGTGCAGTAACCAGGTGTAGTTACAAGGTGCAGTAACCAGGTGTAGTTACAAGGTGCAGTAACCAGGTGTAATAACCAGGTGTAGTAACCAGGTGTAGGAACCAGGTGTAGTAACCAGGTGTAGTAACCAGGTGTAGTAACCAGGTGTAGTAATCAGGTGCAGTAACCAGATGTAGTTACAAGGTGCAGTAACCAGGTGTAGTAATCAGGTGTAGTAACCAGGTGTAGTAATCAGGTGCAGTAACCAGATGTAGTTACAAGGTTCAGTAACCAGGTGTCGTTACAAGGTGCAGTAACCAGGTGTCGTTACAAGGTGCAGTAACCAGGTGTAGTTACAAGGTGCAGTAACCATGTGTAGTTACCAGGTGCAGTAACCAGGTGTAATAACCAGGTGCAGTAACCCGGTGTCGTTACAAGGTGCAGTAACCAGGTGTAGTTACAAGGTGCAGTAACCAGGTGTCGTTACAAGGTGCAGTAACCATGTGTAGTTACCAGGTGCAGTAACCATGTGTAGGAACCAGGTGTCGTTACAAGGTGCAGTAACCATGTGTAGTTACCAGGTGCAGTAACCATGTGTAGTAACCAGGTGTCGTTACAAGGTGCAGTAACCAGGTGTCGTTACAAGGTGCAGTAACCAGGTGTCGTTACAAGGTGCAGTAACCAGGTGTAGTTACAAGGTGCAGTAACCATGTGTAGTTACCAGGTGCAGTAACCAGGTGTAATAACCAGGTGCAGTAACCCGGTGTCGTTACAAGGTGCAGTAACCAGGTGTAGTTACAAGGTGCAGTAACCAGGTGTCGTTACAAGGTGCAGTAACCATGTGTAGTTACCAGGTGCAGTAACCAGGTGTAGGAACCAGGTGCAGTAACCAGGTGTAATAACCAGGTGCAGTAACCAGGTGCAGTAACCAGGTGCAGTAACCAGGTGTAGTTACAAGGTGCAGTAACAAGGTGTAGTAACCAGGTGTAATAACCAGGTGCAGTAACCAGGTGTAGTTACAAGGTGCAGTAACAAGGTGTAGTAACCAGGTGTAATAACCAGGTGCAGTAACCAGGTGTAATAAAAAGGTAAAGTAACCAGGTGTAGTAACCAGGTGCAGTAACCAGGTGCAGGAACCAGGTGCAGGAACCAGGTGTAGGAACCAGGTGTAGGAACCAGGTGTAGGAACCAGGTGTAGTAACCAGGTGTAGTAACCAGGTGCAGTAACCAGGTGTAGTTACAAGGTGCAGTAACCAGGTGTAGTTACAAGGTGCAGTAACCAGGTGTAGTAACCAGGTGTAGTAACCAGGTGCAGGAACCAGGTGCAGTAACCAGGTGTAGGAACCAGGTGCAGTAACCAGGTGTAATAACCAGGTGCAGTAACCAGGTGTAATAAAAAGGTAAAGTAACCAGGTGTAGTAACCAGGTGCAGGAACCAGGTGCAGTAACCAGGTGTAGGAACCAGGTGTAGTAACCAGGTGCAGGAACCAGATGTAGTAATCAGGTGTAGTAACCAGGTGCAGTAACCAGGTGCAGTAACCAGGTGTAGTAACCAGGTGTAGTAACCAGGTGTAGTAACCAGGTGTAGTAAACAGATGTAGTAACCAGGTGCTCACCTATCACGTTGAGTCTGCAGGTGGAGGAGGCGGACCCGATGGAGTTCTCTGCCTTGCAGGTGTATTCTCCGATGTCGGCCTTGCCGGCCTTGCTGAGCTTCAGGCAGGCTGTGCCGCGGCTGAACTCCAGCCTGCAGGTGGCGCTGGAGCGCACCTTCCCGTCGGCCTTGAACCAGAACACCTTGATCTCAGGTGTGCCGCCCACCTGGCACTTCAGACACACGGCGTCACCTGTAGTCACCTCCATCGGCTCCAGGGACTCCACGAAGTACGGAGGCTCTGCAGGGACAAACAGCAGGGACACAGTGAGGAGGAGCCTGACACCTGCTGGACAGAGCCGGTACTGCATACACACTAAAACTGAGTATTACTCAATATCTACTGCGTATTATTCTGAATATCTTCATATTGATCCAAACATTTCCCAAATCAGGATCATAAAGTACATGTGGAATGTCTGGAAATTAAAGAATATACGTTGTTATTATCAGGACTAAAGTTTGTTAAACACTTTAACTCAGTTTAGGTAGAAAATAATATGTATTCAAAATGATGCAAAGACGTCCCCATAAAGACAGTGAGATCTCTTGTTTTCTCACCGAGGATGGACACGTTAGCGTCACACTGGTCCTTCCCGGCATCGTTGGACACCTCGCAGGAATATTTCCCAGCAGCCTCTTTGTCGTCGGTGCTCAGGCACTCGAGGATGCAGGAGCTCTCGGTGGTGGTGATGTTGTATTTGTACGAAGCGAAGATCTGCTGGCCGTCTTTGAACCAGTTCACGGTGATTTTAGGAGTTCCTGTGTAGGTGCACTCCAGGGTCAACGGTTTCCCCTTCTCCACCGAAACGTCCTTCAGCTTCTTAGAGAAGGCTGCTGGATCTGAGAGGAAATATAAAGTATTTAAGTTTAGTTTAAAGTTTGTTAACAGAAGAGAAAAGCAGAGGCACTATTTTACTGATCCAGTCTTTGTTATCTCAATACGGTACGATAGCAAAAAGGAATTACCCGGGGGACATTTGCTTGAGAAAACATAATTTTAGAATAAAATAACTTCAGATTTATTTCCATGCAAAAGTTTACATTTCTTCTTTGTTAACTTATAATAAGATTATATGTGCAAAATAGTTATCCTATTGTTCTTCCTTTTGTTGTCCCATTGTCTGCAAATGTTCCCATTGAGGGGCTAATAAAGAATAATTAACTGCTTTTAAAACTGATATACTTTTTTCAGTACTTTATTAAATGCTTATAGTAAATGTTGATGGTGTAAAATTACTTTCACCACCCTTTAGCAGGTTCAATGTATATTAAGAGTTGTCTGGATCTACTTAATGAGGCGAAAACAGTGAAACTTCACTTATAAATGCTGGTTTAATAGAAGAGACATATAATGTTAGTCTGTCACGTCATGGCTTCACATGCCTATTGTTGTGCGAATAACAGCTTCAACAACATTTTGGAAATGAAGCTCTGAAGTCCCAGGCTCCTTCAACAATGCAACATACAATATTCTCAAGATATAGGAGAATATTAGTAACAGACACGTGAGACAGACCTTTGACGGTGAGGTTGACGGGGCTGCTCTCCTTGCCGGCGTCGTTGATGATCTGGCAGGTGTACTCCCCTGCGTGGGTCCGGTCCACCGTGAACAGCTCCAGGACCACCTGGTTGTCCTTCAGGGAGAAACTGCAGTCGCGTCCGGGCAGGATCTCCTTCGCTCCTCTGAACCACTTCAGTTTGAGCGGCGCGCTGCCTTTCACCATCGCAGAGAACGTCACGTTGGAGCCCGGCATGGCCTCCACCGGCTGGGGGGGAACCACGAAGGATGGGGGCTCTGGAGGGTAGCAAGCAGAGGGTAACATGTTAAACATGGAGGAAGTCTCAAACTATATAAGGGAATACATGTACTAAAATCAGGAGAATTTAAACTTGAACTCTACCTACTTGGAGCCACCATTCACTGAGCAATGAAGAGTTGAACTACAGCTATTGTCTGAATAAATACCACCAATACTAATTTCTGGCGTTAATATTGTACATTTACAAGAAAGTAAATACATTTTCTGAGAAGTAAGTGTTGGTGTGGTGTGAAGAGGTTGATCCCACCTTGCAAAGTGACGGTTCCTCGACAAGAGAAAAACAGAGCTGAGAAACTCATTAAAAGTTGAAGAACATCTGATGATCTCATGAAATATAATGCATACTAGCCAGCAGACTATATAGGAGTTCATATCTATATCTCACCAGACTCCCTGGTCAGATCTGGCTGCTAAATGGGCTAGCTTGGTGTTAGCAAATGACTTTGGCAGCTAATGTTACATAGCAACCAAAAATAGATCCTGCCGTTCAGTTAAGTTTCAGCTAGCTAGCTCATAAGTTAGTTTGCCCGCTCACAATCTTTATCACCGGCAAAATACTAATATCAGGGTTGCCAACTTTGGGTACCTGGCTGGAGTGAGATTTTGATATCATGGGTTTAATTCGGTTTAATTACACATATGCGCACGAAATGACTGCTATCGTGTCAGCAGCGGGACCTTAGCATATATATAGGATATATATACAATATATACAAATACACAATAATGGACACAGACTATAAAGGGCACACAGTTTCATTCACTAATGAAAGTCAAACATGTTTGTTTCCACTGTTTTATTGTGTGCCTGTCGCGATAAGCAATTAATTGACTTATCGTACGATAAATAAAAATGAACTCGATAACTTTTCTGACCTCGATAAATTGCCATTTACATGAGGATGTGACTAGCAGTTTGAAAGGATGTACTTGAATTATTATTATATATTATCATTATGTCAGTGGTCTAAAATGGTCATACAACGGTGCCGACAATATTATCGTTTATCGCAATAATTTCCGGGAAAATGTATCCAACAAAATTAATTATCGTGAGAGGCCTATACATGAAACACACACACACACATCTATAGACTTACTCCAAACTGCCAAATATATTAATGAACACACTCTCACTCTCATATACTCTTTGACTCTATTTTGGCCTAGTAGAACAATAAGCAGCAGACTTTTACTTTTTTATCATTTCTACTGGATCTTAGATCTGCGCATGCGCTCCAGAGTATTTTTGTTGGGTAATCTATGGTAGGGCTAACCCATACAGTGGTGGGGCTCAGTATTTGCAATGTAATTACATACACGCTCCCCCCGACAGTGAAACGCCACGCGTGAGGTTTAGATTATTTCCCTGTCTCAATCCAAATTGAACTGTATGAAATAAAAAGGCACATTTGTCTTGTAGTAAATAAAAAGGGCGACCTGGAGCCAATCCTGCAATTTCCCCACAGGTGAAAGAGTTGACATGCTGAAGACCCAACCCCTGCAGGGGGGTCTGGGGGGATTTTTTAAAAATACTAACATCAAATACACATTCTGGTACTCTCTTGAGAAGAATAATAAATATATCTATTACTACACGACACATTTAAAAAATGAATGCCATATTAGTTTTGTGTGACTTTGTTCTGAAAGCTGAACCTGCTGCTCCTCACAGAGAGAAGAGGGAAGAGGCTGTGTGAATTACTTTACATTGTGGATAAGGGTGGATAGCCCCCATTGTTCTGTGTGTCAAGATGAAAGACACACCTATCAATCATCAAACCGTGGGGTCTTATTTCATTACGTGTTGATTTCTATCAACACGTAATGTTGTATCGATGTATAAAGAGATGTACTACCGCAAAAGTATTCTCCGTCGGGACTTCCTGCAACAACACCACGCCGTTATCGTGATTCTGATTGGCCAGAAGACATTATCAAAGATGTTCTATTGAGAAGACGATCACTACGTGACAAAAGTTTTCAAAACCGTTTCTAGTCTTCGGTATTCTTGCTTTTGGCGTGAGAATAGTTTGGGCAGCGTGAGAGCGTGAGATTGAGAGTGAAAGCGTGTGTCACACGCCAGATGCGTGAGAGTTGGCAACCCTGTAATATTATCTGCTAAATGTAAAGGGAAAGTCTGTAGTTTGCAAAACTGAATATGACAAATGGAGTCGTTTTGTCAAATAATAACCTGCTTTCTACTAGCCGACAGCGATGCAAGGCATTGTGTAGCTAACTCACTAACTTACCATAACCTAAGTTAGGGTTAGCTAGCTAGCTTTACTTCAGCTAAGCCGCTTGGATCTGGTGTTGGTTGCTCTGTAAGTGAACTGATACAAGTCATTTGATAACGGCAAGCTAGCAAGTATCATTTAGCCAATAGTGGAAATATTATACATGAATATTTCAGATAGAGCCATCATTCCTAATATGATATATGACTTTAAAGTAATATCGCATGGCTTTTTTTGGCCAATGCTCAGAGTGTTAGCGAGCAACAGGAAGCTGATAGCAGTTCACTAAATGGCCACCGGGGTCATTAATAACAAGGATTTCCTGGAGAATGAAAGTGAGCATGCAGGGTGTCTCTGTGTGTATTTCCTGACCTTTCACAAACATAGAGGCCGAGGTCTCGCTGGATCCAGCCTTGTTCAGAGCTTTGCATTTATACAGTCCAGAGTCGGACAGCTTCAGCGTGGACACTTTGAGCGTGCAGCTGTTGTTGCTGAAGTTGATCTCATAGTTGGGTCCGCTCTGTATCTCCTCCCCATCGTGGTACCAGGAGATGGTGAAAGGTGGGGAGCCCGACACTTTGCACTCCATCTCTCCGGCTGCTCCGACCACTGTGTTGAGATCCTTCAACTTCCTTGAGAACGATGCAGGAATGATCTTATCTGTTAGCGAGGGAATGAGGAGTTAGCGGTAGGACACATGAGGACAAATACAAGAGGCAATGTCATTTGAGAAACTTGGTGTTATGTAGTCAATGCTCTTGTGTGATGCTTGAGTTTAGACAACATTTAGCATTTGAGAAATTGTTGGCAGTTTACCAACTTCTGCAGATATTTTCGTATATTTTTCTAAATGAGTATTAAAGGGTTTATTGTTGTGGATTGTTGGAGAACCAAACCAATTGTGTCATAGTATCTAACAGTTATGTTAAATCTAATTGGTACCGCTGAAATAGCAATGTAGACCCCTTCTGGTAACCTCAATTTCAAATGACCTAGATCCACCACTGTTTGTAAAAACCCACTTTTATATTTCTCAAATAAATACAGAAAGAAGATATCAACAATTACTTTGATATTGGTACCAAATCTAAGGTATCATAGACCTTTCACTTGGGGTTAGATGCTAATATGTGTTGTCTTAGTACTTAGTGAAATGTCAATACAGTTGAATCTAATCCAACCATAAAAGCAATAACCATAAATTCAAACAATACCCAGCCCTCGTCACATTTAGGTAAATGACACCAACCTAAGACTGTGAGGTTAATCTTGCTTAGGTCCTTCCCGACCTCGTTCATAACCTCAAAAGTATATTCTCCAGAGTCCACCTTCTCAGCAGAGAGGACGTTCAGGCTGGAAATCATCTCAGAAAATGAGATCTTGTACTTCCTGCCGGAGGCCAGCTCCACCCCGTCCTTGAACCACTTGGGTATGAGCTGAGGGGTTCCACACACTTTGACCTCCAGGGCGGCCATGTCGCCCGCCGTCACGCTCAGAGCGTCGGGCTTGTCCACTATCTTAGCGGGTTCTGGAAACAACAGAGAAGAAGCAGAACATGTTCTTAATCAAACCTGCAGGAGGAAGGATGGGAGAAAAGAAACTGTATGAGAAAGAGAGAATTATATGATTACAAACCTAGAACAGTCAAGTTAGCGAAACACTCCACACTCCCAGCATCGTTTCTGAGGTGGCAGGTGTATTTGCCTGCCGTGGTCGCATCAGCCTTAAAGACTTTAAGAGCGACCTGGTTGTTCTCAAGGGTGATTTTCCTGTTGTCACCGTCCCTGAGAATGTGATCCTTGTCTTGAACCCAGGACACAGTAATGGGTTCAGAGCCTTTAATAGTGGCCACAATGGTCACCTCCTCCCCCAGAATCACTGTCTTGTTTGACAGTTTCTTCACAAACGACGGCGGCTCTGAATAGAGGAGAAAAACAGCGCAAAATGGAAAGTCAGCAATGTGACAAAGTAACTTGAAAATCTATTGATTGTGATTTTCATTTGAGACTGTCACTACTGACCTCTGAGTTTAACTGACGTCTGGCAGGTGTCACTTCCTACACTGTTAGTCACTTTGCACTCGTACTCGCCGGCATCCGAGGCCTCTATCCCAATGACATGCAGCGTGACCGAGCTGCCCTCGCTCACCATCTTATACTTCCTGCTCTCCATCAGAGGCTTCCTGTCTTTGAACCAGGTGATCTGGAACGGAGCTGAACCGCTCATCTCGCAGTACAGACTCACGTCCTTCCCCTTCAGCCCTTCAACGGGCTGGGGTACTTTAGTAAATGATGGGGCGTCTACAGAAAGATCAGGAAACTGTTAAAGAGGCATACATGGCAGAAGAATCCATGATGAAGTCTTAAAGCTGAAACCCGTAACATGTTCTCAGTTCTCGCGCTCTGCAACTGTTGAGAACGAGCTTTTACGTTTTTTGGAAAAGCAGCTAACGTGGCGGGACGATCATCACGATGGCCAAGCTGGGAATGTTTGCGCAATTATAGCCTATATGTCAGATTTTTGTGAAAATGAAAACTAAGAGATGGCAATAGTAATAACACAAGGCCAAGGATTTACAGCTACGGAAGTTTAATTTTCTGTAGGAGTTTGTTGGGACTACAACTAAGATGTCTGAGTTGATTTGTAAGTGGTGCGTTGTTATTGGAACTGAAGTAATGACTGCAGAGTTGAACATATTGGATAAAACTACAATTAAAATGGGGGCAATCCTGTAAGAGATGGCAACATGTATGTGGAATAGCTTGAAACTACAGAAAAGAGGGGAAATGGTTATGTAATTGGTTGTATCTAAAGCTAATTGCATAATTGATGTGGAATAGTTTGGGAACTACAGATAATCTGGCAGATGTTTTCTGAAAATTGCGGGAACTACAGTCCAGATGGCGGACGTGTGAATGTTTGGTAGAACTACAGCTAAAATGGTGGGGATGTTGTGGAAGGAGGATGGAATTATAGCTAAGATGGCGGATGTATTGTTGAAAAGTGTGTATTCTTCCTGATTATTTGAGGTTCCAGCATGTTTTTATCAAGATAAAAGAGCCAACCCAACCAGCTGAGAAACATCTCTCAAAAGCACAAAATAAGAAACGAGTCTCGGACCAAAGTGAGGATCCTCCAGCAGACCGGATATATGAAGAACTTGAATGTTACGTATTCCAGCTTCAAGCAACACAACAGCACACTGAAGAGCCAGTGCACCAGAAAGACCATGTGATGAATGATGATGAGGAAGTCAGGAAGGGGCTGACCTTTAACGGTAAGTGTGGTGCTGCAGCTGACACTGCCAGCATCATTCTGAGCTTCACAGGTGTAAACTCCATCATCATTAAAGCTCGTTGACAGCAGTTCCAGGACTGCTACCGAGTCAACAAATGATGTCCTGTAGTTGCCCCCATCCATGACCTTGGTGTCCTGTTTGTACCAGGTCACTCTCAGAGGAGCTGTGCCAGTGACTTTGCACTCCAGGCGGAGTGACTCTCCCTGCTTCACAAACTTAGTGGCAGGGAGTTTCAGCACAAACTCGGGGGGTTCTGGAAAGCCAAAATACAGACATATTAGCTGCCGGCAGCAAGTAGGGTCACTTGAGATAGGTTGTTACAACAGGCAGATGAGATAAGCTGACGATGATGGGTTAGCAGCAGAGACAGGATGCGGTGACAAACAGCTTTGAATATGAAAGAACGGCAGAAACTGTAAAATGTGACAGCGATGCAGATGTGAGATGAAAACAGCCACGCAAGAGTTTGAAAGAGGCCAACCTTTGACTGTCAAGTCTGCACTACAGCGCACAGAACCAGCATCGTTGCTGACTTGGCAAGAGTAAGCTCCACTGTGGGTGACCCCCACTTTATAGAGCTCCATGAAGCAAGAGAGCCCCTCCAGCCCGGTGAAACATGAGGGCCCGGTCATGAGCTCAGAGTCGTCCTTGAACCATTTGACTGTGAAGGGAGGCGTTCCCTTAAATGTGCATTTGAAGCGCATAGTGCCGTTGGGTACAGCCGCCTGGGACTCAGGCAGCGTCACAAAGCTGGGAGGCTCTGAAGAGAATAAGACGGATCACGTTAAAGAGGGTACTCACCTTTGATTTGCACGATCAATCACGTTGGAGAGCAATGTCTAACCTTTAACCATGAGGGATCCGCTGCTTTCACAACTCCCCGCTGCGTTGGTCAGTTTGCAAGAGTAGGACCCTGCGTCAGATCGCTCGAGCTGTTCGATCTCCACGGACACAGAGTTGTCCTGCTGGATCAGTTTGTGTTTCACACCACTAGAGATCTTGCTCCCGTCTTTCTGCCACTCCACAGAGATGGGCAGCGAACCAGATATTTTGCAACTGATCTGAACAAAGGAGCCCAATATCTCTCCCATGTCTACCAGAGGTTTGATGAAGCTCGGGGGAATGACTTGTTCTGTTACCAAAAGACATTTTTAGAAAAAAGTAATTAGACTTTATTCAACATGGACTCCAGGAGTTTTACGTTTTGCACACCAACCTAGAACGATCACTTTGACTTTGCAGCTGCAGCTACTGATGTGGTTTTCCACCTGGAACACATACTCTCCTTCGTCCTCTTTCTGAGCGCACTGAACCCTGAGGCTGCTCATGTTGTTCTCAAAGGTCAGCTTGTGCTGCCTAATGGACTGAAGCTCCTTTCCATTTTTCATCCATTTCACTTTGAGCTCAGGGGAGCCCGTCACCTTACAGTCCAGACTGACTGGATCTCCGACTGTAACCTTAATCACTTCAGGTTGTTCTGTGATCTGAGGTGGCTCTACAATGCAAAAGGACATTCAAACAGTTATAACGTTCCCAACAGAGTTAGAAAAGATTGGAAGCCATCATTAGTTTAGCAAAAGTATACCTTGCACAGTTAGCGTGGCAAAGCACTTCTCCTGCCCGGCCTCGTTCACCACCTGGCAGGTGTACTTCCCGCCATGTGTTGCTTCACAGGCGGGAATCCTGAGAGTGGCCACATTGTTCTCAAATGTTCTCTCAATCTTTGCATTCTCCAAAATCCAGTTCTCATCTTTTTGCCATTGTACAGAGAGAGTTGGAGAACCCTTCACAACACACTTAAACTCTGCCATTTCACCGAGCACAGTGGCAGTGTCCTCGAGCCTCTGGGTAAATGTTGGTGGTTCTATTACAATCAAAAACAATGAAGGGTTAAAGGAAACGTTGAGTTTTGACCTCAGGAGATAGATATGTGGAGTTGTATTTCTGATTAGACCGACCTTTGAGGTTTAGCGTAGTCTTACAAGTACAGTTCCCGACCTCATTAGAAACCGTGCACTGGTATTCACCGACGTCTACAGCGTCACATTTGTGCACCTCGAGCCTCACAGTGTCGTTCAGCTGGGAGAAGCCATGCTTAGCACTAGGTTTGATCTCCTTTGCATCTTTGTGCCATGTTATCTCAAATGGACCGGTCCCAGCGACCTGACACTCAAAGCAGGCGCTGGAGGCCTTCACAACATCCGCCACAGACAGGTCTCTAATAAATGATGGCGGTTCTGAGACGGGAAAACAAACTGTTAACTCACTTTTTTTCGTAAGAGTGGATTATTTCCTCAATATGTTAAAATGCAGACTATGTTTACATTTGGAGGCAAAGTTTCCCAAATAAAAGTTTCTATATGGTTTAAGTCAGAACTTGGACCGACCCAATAAGCAAGTTAACATCAACTCGGGCTGGGCGATAGAAACAAGGGTCATTTCATATCTAGATAACGCTATATACCGTATACCATGAATGACCACCTGGTTAAACCAATTGTCTACACAACTGTGTGAACTGAAATGTATTATCTCATTTAATTCCAAACTTAAATTCAGTTCAGCTGGAGACCAGTTTGCTACTGGCATCTAACTGAGCATTTAACAGAAATCTTAAAATGATACTTCCTCAACATTTATTTAGTAAATGCCTTGTTATCTTAAATCAAGAAAAGGTTAGTAGGTATGTTTGATTTTTGCAAATTATAATTCAATTGACCAAATAAAAAGATAATATTAAATGAACGCCCAGCCCTACTCCGGACCAGAATTCCTAGCGGTAAAGTGTCTACAAGTACAACAGCAATCAATTGCCTGGATCAAACCATCTGGAACACGTGGCCTCTAAAGTGTTTGGGAACCAATGCCTCCATCCTATATTCTTAAAACTCTGCTTTCAGTCTTCTGACTGGACTAACCTTTGACCTTGAGCTCCATGCTACAGCTCTCGCTGCCGGCCTCGTTGCGGGCCTCGCAGTAGTAAAGCCCGCTGTCTTTGGTTTCAGCACCACACACCTCCAGCGTGGCCACAGAGTTAACAAACACCATCTTGTACCGATCGCTGGGGCTGATCTCAGAGCCTTCCCTGAACCAGCACATGTCTATCTCAGGTGTGCCGGTCACCTGGCACTCAAACATTTTACTCTGACCGGGACGGACCACGGACAACCGAGCGGGGGTCCGTGTGAACTTAGGGGGCTCTAAGGAACAACATAAAATGATAAATGTGACTTTCACAAAGACGACAAGGAAAAACTGATCTCTATGAAGTTCACAAAATATGTTTCCATCCAAGTGTTGCTCAAAGCCTTTGGGGAGAGATTTGGTGAGTTTCTTAAGAGCCTTCTTGTAGCCCTCTTCTCTTTGACTGACGGAGCCTGAAACCTGTTTGCACAGTTTAAGCTTATGGAAATACTTCCTGTCATTTTGGAGTTGTCCAAAAAGATCCATATATTCCATGTATTAAAATCTGTATGAACTTATTTCTTCTTCGTAAATGTAATGCTGTTTCAATGTTCCCTTTTTTCTTGTACCATTTGCAGGCGATTTGCTCACCACTGAAAGGCAAGCTGATGGTGCGACGGTTTAAAGTCACCTCCTACAGCAGTGAAAACACTACTGTCTTTAAATGGATTACTTAGTATAGGGATCAAACTGATTGTGTAACAAATGGATGGAGACATATTCACTGACTCAGTTTCACAAAGGGAATATGAACCTTTCACAAAGAGTGTTGCCTGACAGGAAGTGGAGCCCACATCGTTCTGTATCTCACAGACAAACTCTCCAGAATCAGAGGTTTTTGCAAAGAAAAGCTCCAAAGAGCTTGAGGTATTGTCTTTGAGCACATTGCAGTCAGCACTGGATATAATCTCCTTCTTGTTTTTAAACCATTTGGTGGTGAGCGGCGGTGTGCCAGACATCAGAACATTAAACTGGACCTTTGAGCCCGGCAACACATTCATGGATTCAGGCTTTTCAAGAATGCATGGTGGTTCTGGAAGAGAAAACACGAAATAATGCTTGAGATAAAAACCTTTGTGTAGTTGTGTACCTACTGATGAATACCACATATGAAATGTGTGTGCAAACCTTTGACGAACAAGATGCCGGAGCACTGCACGGTCCCCGCTTTGTTTTTAGCGATGCAGGTATAGCTGCCGCTCTCTTTACCGTTCAGGTTAGAGATTTCCAGAAAAGCAACATTTTCAAAGAATGTGCTTTTGTGTTTCTCATCAGTCTGGATCTCTTTCTCATCTTTGTACCATTGAATGGTTATCGGCAGAGAGCCGGATACAAGGCACTCCAGATGAGCAAACGACCCTTTGAGACCTTCTGTCTGCTTCAGTTTTCTCGTAAAAGAAGGGGGAATGATTTGATCTGACATCGATGGAGGAAGAGAGAGGTGAGAAACAAATCTTTAAAGTTAGATGTTATTAAATTAAACTGATATTAGGTACTCATTAACCACTGACCGAGGACGGTGAGTGTGGCCTCGCAAGAACTTTGTCCGACATCATTTGAGACCTCGAAGGTGTAGTCACCACTGTCACCTTTCTCAGTTTTGATCATCTTGAGCACGGAGCTGGTGTCTGTGCTCTGAACTTTATATCTCTGGCCTGAGCTCAGCTCCTTGCCGGCCTTCAGCCATCTGGCCTTCAGCGGCTTGGTGCCTATGAACCGGGCCTCCAGCGTGGCCGGATCGCCCTGAGTGACACTGATGGACTTGGCCTCCTCTGTGACCTTCGCCGGCTCTGAGACGCCAAACAAAACAGTCAGCAACGAATTTAAAATCTGACCAATAACTGAACTCAATGAAAATGTTAAGATTTGAGAGTTGCATTTGGTCCTTCTCAACTTGTTCGGTCGTACAATTATCGTCCGACAAATGTCTGTTGAGGAATTTAAAGTTCAAAAGGCGTAATGTCATGATTCGTAACATTCCTATCGATGTCTTAAACACCTTGTTGGCCATTTGAGGGACATTTCCTTTGAGTAAACTTATAAATGTGTGACTTCACAAGTTGATAAGGATTTCCTGCGCCAATCAAAAGAGTTCTCGAGGTTCCTAACAAACCTTTGACTGTCACCGCAGCAGAGCAGGTCTGGCTGCCGGCCTGGTTCTGCGCCTGGCACGAGTATTTTCCGCCATGTTTGCTCTGCAGGTTGGTGAGGTGCAGCAGCGCCGTGTTGTTCTCGTAAGTAATCTGAATGTTTTCAGCCTCTTTGAGCTCGTGGTTGTCTTTGGTCCAGGACACGCTCATGGGCTCAGAGCCCTTCAGAGAGCACTGCAGAGAAACCTCGCTGCCAACCAGGGAGCTGAGGTTCTCCAGCTTTTTCACAAACGACGGTGGTTCTACGGGGAAGCATTTTATATTTAATACTGGCTTCTCTATGTTAGCCTCGCAAAGTCAGAACCCATCCTGCAAGCTCAGTCTTTTCTGTGGTATCTTAGTGGACTTTCCACTTCCCAACCGCATCTAACTGTCAAAGGAGATCATTTAAGATTGGGATGTTGAAGGTCGAACCTTGTTTTTTTAACAGAAGCAAAAGCCAATTAGCCCCTAGAAGTCCAACATATTCATCTAATCGGGTGTAGAAAGGGTACTTCTGTCTACCCTTAATATACAGAGCAAGTCTGTCCTTCCCACATTTGGAAACCTTCAACCTATGAGAGATTTCCTCTGATCCGAATTGAGGATCTATGGCTTGAGGGTGAACAGTGACATCTTTGTCCTTTCAGGATCCTTACTTTAAGTTGATCAAGAAACAAAGCATCCTTAAGCAAATGCCTTCTGAGCGTTGCCAGTTCAGGGTGAGTCTTTGCGAGGCTACGTGTTGGATTATCAAATGATCAATAGCTTCTAAACCAACCTTTTAGCGTTACTTGACAATCGCAGGAGGCCTTCCCCACCTCATTCTCTACAGTACACTGGTACAACCCCACGTCTCCTGCCTCCACTGCCAGCACCTGCAGCGCGATCAGCTCGTCCTTCACTGTGATCCTGTGTCTCTTGTCATTCCTAATCGGCTTAGTGTTTTTATAAAAGGACACCGTGAAGGGGACTGAGCCGGAGACCTGGCCCTCCAGCATCATCTCAGAGCCTTTCACAACATCTCTGGGCTCCAAGCTACGCACAAACAATGGCGGCTCTAGAAGAGAACAGCGGATACAGGTTTGACATATGATGATGCCACACAATCAAAATGACAAGATTCAACTAGAGTTTTATTGTGGAGATGAAGATTATTGTTCTGATTTCTTATCCCTATGGAAAGGCCACGCCCACTTTAAGCTACACTCTCGACAGCGGTTTTCAATGATGTCCTCGTCCACCAGGGGGCGTGGTGTCTTTACATGATAATGGTGTGTTCTGGTTAGAGAAACCCAAACGTACGGCTCCTTGAAGTCTGATTTTCAACTCTAACATGAGGGTTATGATTCAGACTGAAATGTGTGTGTCATACAGGAGTGCTCTTCTGTACACATGTCACAACGTTGTTCGTATGCATACGTAATGAAAACCTAACTCAACTTGTTTAGCTAACAATGGCTAATGATTTCTAACTCAAGGTAAAAAACATAAATGCTGACGGTCCTTTGAACCGAAGAAAGAAAAAAAGGTCTTCAATGCCACAATAAAACTCTTCATTTCCTAAAAGTATTGGAGTGAAATGATTCCTGAAACTAACCTTTGATAGTCACTGTGCTGCTGCAGCGGTCACTACCAGCCTCGCTGGACGCCACGCACACATATTCTCCACTATCCTCCACTGCACTGTTGACTATTTCCAGAGAGGCCACTAAGTCAGTTAAAGTCATTTTGTATTTAGCACTGGAGCTGATCTCCATCTCGTCCTTGAACCATTTAAAAGAGATGACGGGGCTGCCCGTTACTTTGCACTCCAGCATGGCGGAGTTGCCGCTGGTAACAAGTTTGGTCGCCTCGAGTTTCCTCACGAACACGGGCGGTTCTGAGAGAAGAGGTTAACATTCATTATCAGACAGAAGACATTATGTTAGTATCCAAAGAGACATGTTCATGCAGCTGCACGCGTAAACACCTTTCACAAAGAGGACTGCGGTGCAATCCACCTTCCCAGCATCATTGGACACTTGGCATGTGTACTTCCCAGAGTCACTGGGTTTCACTGAGTTTAGCTCCAAAGAGCTGGAAGAGGCATCTTTCTTTATGAAATATGAGCCTCCAGACACAATCTCTTTCTCCTCTCTGAACCACTTCACAGCTAACGGAGCTGTTCCAGTGAAGCCTGTTTTGAAGGACACTGTGGTTCCTGGTTTAACATCCTGGTTGTTTGGTGTTGCTGTAAACAATGGGGGCTCTAGAGGCCATGAAATAAACAAATATACATTTCATGTTAGCATGAAATAACTCAAGGATTGTACTGAAAAAAATAAAAGCACAACATTAGCCAAGTGTTTATAACCTTTGACATAGAGCGTGCCGCTGGTTTCCTTAAAGCCGGCAGAATTGGTTGCTCTGCATTTGTAAACTCCAGAGTCGGGCTTCTCCAGCTTTATAACTCTTAGCGAAGCAGAGCTGTCTTTGAATTCAGGCTGGAATTTGGATCCAGACTTGATCTCCTGGTCGTCTTTGAACCATGATATGGTCATGGGTTGGGACCCAGACACTTTACAATCCATGGAGACGTCATTACCAATGTTACCGTCAACCCTTTTCAGGGACTTGGTGAACGTTGGAGGCATTATCCGATCTGGTTGTTGAAGAAAAAACATGCATTATCACCATTTCATACAGTTTTCAAAAAGAGTCACTCAACTCAAATCTAAAAGACAACACTTTGCACCCTGTGTTTGGTTTTAGGTTTAAGACTTGATGTTAGTCCATGGGAATACAGTTTGTCAAAGTCCGGTTCCTTTTAGTCATGAACATAATCAACAACTTTAATATATATATAAATATTAAAGAAGAGTCAAACCGGGAGCTAACCTAAGATGGTGACCGAGCACGTGCACTGGTCTTTCCCGACTTTATTGGACACCTCCATCTTGTACTCTGAAGTGTCTCCTCTTTCTGCCGTGAGGATCTTCATGGTGGCCACATTGTCCTTCAGAGTCATCTTATATTTACGGCCACTGATCATCTCCTTCCCGTCTTTAAACCACTTCACTTTCAGGTCTGGGCTTCCAGAGATTGTGCACTCCAAGGTGGCTGAATCCCCTGCGGTCACACTAATGGACTCTGCAGGTTCTACCACTCTCGCAGGTTCTGGGATAAGACAGATACAATATAAGACACTAGAACCTATAGAACTACAACAACATAGGAAATGAAAAGCATCTGCAGAAACCAACCTTGCACGGTCAAGGTAGCTTCGCATTTCTGTTGGCCAGCCTGGTTCTCAGCTGTGCACGAATACTTTCCACCATGGCTGATGGCCACGGTCGTTATCGACAAGCTAGCAACATTGTTCTCAAACACCATCTTGATGTTTGAATCGTCATCTCTCAGTATCTCAGAGTCTTTCATCCATTTCACTGTGATGGGCGCCGAGCCCTTTATGGTCCCCTGGAGTTTGACTGTATTTCCCAACACCGCTGTAGCACTCTCAACCCTCTTTGAGAAAGTGGGAGGCTCTACAGAAACATTTCAATAGTTAATAAGTGAATTTAAAAGATGAAACTAATAACACCTTTAATCAGCTCAGGAATACTAACCTTTAAGTTTAGCTACAGCCTTCGTGGTGACTTTGCCCACATCATTGGATATGACACACTGATAATCTCCAACATCTGCGCTCTCAAAGGTCTGGATCTCCAGCCTTGATAAAGAATCCTGGGAGATTATTTTATGTTTCTGATCACTGGAGATGGCTTTCTTATTTTTGACCCAGCTGATTTCAAAGGGAGCTGTTCCTGTGATCTCACACTCCATCTGAGTGGATGCTCCCTTCACCGCCTCAACTGTCTGCAGCTCTTTTCTAATGGACGGTGGCTCTGAGAGTCAAAAAGGTGTATGCAGTTAATACCAAAGCTTTCCTGAATTAAACAGAGGGTTCATTTAATGCAAGACTTGACAAACCTTTGACAGCTATAAGGGTGTTGCAGCTCTCGCTGCCGGCATTATTGGACACCTCACAGGTGTAACTCCCACTGTCTGTGATCAGAAGATTCAGTATATCCAAAGAGGCAACGCCACTCTTGAAAGATATTTGATATTTGTCTCCATCACTGAGCTCTCTCTCATTCCAGAACCAGTGGATGTGCAGCTGAGGCGATCCTTTCACGGAGCACTGTAAGCGTGCAGCTATACCTTGTTTCCATGTTATCTTATTTTCCATTTTCTTTACAAAGGTAGGGGGCTCTGAAAGGAGTGTTTAGTTCAAAAACACCAAGATCATTGTCAGAAGAGACACAGGAAGGAAACAAAAGACAGAAAAGTGCGTAAAGAAGACAGAAGACAGAAGGTAGCAGTGCATAGTGTTAGCATCAGCTTGTCAGCAGTAATCTAACGGAGAGATCAGCTTTCAGATCTTACCTTGAACTGATACCTCAGCCTCACAGGATGAGCTGCCTGCCTCATTTGCGGCTGTGCACACATATTTCCCAGAGTCCTTCAGCTTAGACTTGGGTATCTCAACAACAGCCACCTTATCCTCAAAGGACAGTTTACAATCCATGCTCTGGTGGACTTTTTTGCCATCCCTGGTCCAGGTGACGGTCACACCAGTGTCCTCGTCCACCTGGCACTCCAGCCTCAGCGGGTCATTGACAGCGACTGACGCCGGCTCAACGGTCTGAACAAAGCTGGGCTTGTTGACAACCCTGAGCTCTGTGGTGAACGTAGCAGTGCCAACACTGTTGGAGGCCTTGCACAGGTACACCCCCTGGTCAGCCACAGTAAGACTTTTAATCTGAAGCGAATACTTGTTCTTTTCACATTTCATGACATAGTTCCCTCCGGAGGAGACGGCTATGTTGTCCTTGTGCCAGACAACCTCCATGGGTGATGTCCCAGTGAGTGAGCACTGGAGCATGGCCTGTTTGCCCACATACAAAGTCATTGGGTCTGGTTGTGATACAAATACCGGTGGGTACATTTCTATGGAGAGCAGGTAGAACATACAATTAAGAATTTAGTATAATAAAAGGGGGGAAATACACCAACATCAAAATGAACCTGTGGAATCTCAACAGCTTTAAACAAGAGATCCTCAACCTGTTTATATATTGCCAAATGTGACACCAGATCCAATTAATGAACAAACCATTTCCACATTGCACCATAAAGGATTCAGGGGGGAAACAAATGCATATAATTCTCTCTCTCTCAAACAGACACTTGTAAAGCAGTAATTGAAAACAAAAAGGTCCCATCAGGGTCTTACCGGTGACGATGAGCGAAGGCGGTGCAGCTGGCAGTGCCGTGCTGGTTTGAAGCCTTGCAAGTGTATTCACTGCTGTCGGCTTTGATCGGCTTCAGCAGCTCCAGGGAGGAGCTGCTGTGGCGGCTGAGCATCCTGTACTTGTCACTCTGTTTGATCTCGACGGTAGATTTGTACCATTTGAAAGTCACACTTGGAGCATCCTCGATTTCACATTCGAACTTGGCTTGTCCGCCGATGTTTATGTCCAAGGGTTGGATTTTCTGCCTAAAGACAGGTGGCACTGAGGCACAAACAGACACAACAAGGGAAAAAGTCAGTCATGGAATCTATGAAACTCTTAAAAAGAACAACTGACATATCAGGAACAGGAATGGAGGAAAGGTGGAACAATGGTGGATACAGGAGTGACTGTGGAGGAGAAACATAGCAAGAACATTAGCCCCATCATTTCACTGCTTTCATTGTGCAGGATAGTCATGGGGCTAGGGTTCAGGCTAAAGGAAAAGAAAGGTTGTGAAAGATGAAGCAATGTCAGGTTGATCCCTGAGAGCATGCAGAGACACTGTGGAGAGAATGGACCTGAAGGATTGTGATGGGTTTAAACACAAGGAACCTGTGACCATGGAAAGACCGTGAAAGTTACCTAAAGGCCAGGATCATGAAGCTACATTTGAAAGGCTGTGACAATCCTGGTCTTTAGGCATCATACGAAGAGGTGGAAGACACAAGAAATGGTGAGTTAGTACCATCCAGTGACCCGCTGAAGGTGCTCATGCCGAGCTATGAAATGAATAAAGAGACCAAAATGACTAGAGCATCATTTCATGTGAGGTCTTGAATGAACCGGTGAATGATTAGTCGTTCTCGGAGGAAGTGTGATGAATGGATGAATGAAACAATCATTTGATCCTGTTATCAAACCTCTTGAGACCACAGTGAGTCTTGAAGACGTTGTAGTCCTGCCGGCTTCATTCTCAGCCTCACAAACATATTCTCCTTGATGCTTCTCCTTCACAACTTTGTTGATAACCAATGTGTATGTGTCGTGGTCTTTGCAACACTTGAACTCTTTGCCAGATGTTACCAATTGCCCATTGAAAAACCAGTTTACCTTTGTGACGTACTTAATGGTGCTGCTAAAGGTTACTTTACTATCCTCATCTATGGATATGTCTTCGAGGGAGACGACTATAACGGGGATTTCTCTCTGCTCTGACCTGGATACTGTGATTTCCTCTGTAAACATCTCCTCCCTGTGCTCCTGGATGCTAAAGCCCACCACCTGTTCAGTAGGGACGGTGGTGGGAGGCAGGGTCGTGGTTAAAAGAGTAGCACCTACATCTTTCTCCCTGCTTTTCATGGTAACTGACCTCACTTCCTGACTCGACACCTGTACCGACTGCTCAAAAGTCATGTGGGACTGTGTGGAAACTTTGATTTGGGATGTCTGCTCCATCTTTGCTGCCTTGGATTCCTGCACCACAACCCGCTGCTCAGCTGAAGCACTTTTAACCGCCACTTTGGACTCAGTTTTCAGTGCAGCGGCCTGAGATTTAACGGCAGTGAAACCTACGGCACTCTCTGCCACGCTCACAGTCTCCACCATGGATGACAGCATTTGCTTAGAGTGTGCCGAGGCGACCTGCGCCCTCTGAGGTTTGTCTAGCTGCATAGTGCCCGGCTGCTCCGAGGTGAGAACCTGGGCTTCCTGGTACACTATGGAGTGGAAAGCTGCCTGCAGTTCAGTCCTGAGGTCAGCGGTCTGAGGGTATTTGCCCTCAATAGCCAGCGTGATCTCCATGGGGGCACCTGTGGTTGTGATCAGGTATGTAAACATGGCTCGCTTTGGCTCTTTTTGAACCTTGACTTCCTGTACTTCTACAGCCTGCAGCCTCCCTACGACGTCAGCCAGTAACACCGGCTGGTCGCTGGCCACAGCCGACTGCAGAGCGTCTCTGAGCTGGTGCCGGATATTCAGACTGAAGGGTTTAGGGATCTGAATCACAAAGGTCATCTCTTTGGGAAGAGCGGTAGTGTCTTTGGACTCTGACGCCATAAGGGACAGTTTGGGCTGCCTGGTGACAGATACTTTAGTGGACTTAGACTTGGAGATCTCCTGAGAGAGCTCACCGGTCAGCACTCGCTTCTCGTCCATCACGATGGACTGCCTGACTGACTGGCCCTCCTGGATTTGAACAGCAAAGTCCTGTTGGGCCGCCTCTAGAATGACACTACTCTCAGTGGAGATCTCCTTCTCCTCTATCTGGACTGGCTCGGTGGGGAGTTTTGGCTCCACAGCCATCTGGCAGGTGAATTTATCCACCGCTGTAAGACCCTCAGTGTGGCCCTCCTGTAAGGCCCGACTCTCCGCCACAGTGGTGACATGCATCACGTTCGAGCGATCCTCCTTCTGCACCAAAGCTCGCTGCTGCTTTACATCCGAGGTGACTGGCGTCTCCTTTGGGAGCGTCATGGGCTGGAAGTTGAGCTGCAGGATGTTCTGAGGCCTAGGCTCAGTCCGGAGTTGCGACTGAATGCCGGTCACGGACAAATCCAGCTCTGTGTGATAATCTGCTGTCAGCTCCCTTCTCTCCTCTGAGGTAGCTGCATGACTTCTAGTCTTTTCCTGTTTCTGAGCCGCTACCTGCTGGTCAGGCTTCTCAATAACGAGAATACCCTCTTTGGGCAGCGCCTCCACAGGTTGGGTTGACTGCCGATGCAGCAGAGTACGAGACTCTTTCTGGGGCTGGATGGTCATGGAGCTAGCCTTTGCCTCGAATGCTGACGTGTCCTCACAAACTACTGTCCTCTGCTCGTCCTGGCTAACAGCATGCAGCAGAGTCGGGCTCTTCCTGGCTCCTGCCTGCTCTGCTGCTGGTTTCTCACAGGTGAAGCTCTTCTCAGATGGAAGGAGGTCCTGATCTGTGATCACCTGCAGGTGCAACAACTGCTCTCCTTCTACCTGGGACTGAACTGACATGGCACTGTCCAGACTGGGAAGCTGCTGTGTGGGCTCAGCCTGGAGCATTTGCTTCTCTTCAGCAGTTAGAGCACCCTTTATTATTTTATCCTTACAAAGATGGGCTGTCTCCTCAGAGGGCCTCTGCATGGAGAACTTAGTCTCCTTGGAAAGAGTCTGTTTGGACTCGCTAACTGACGCTAAGACAGGTCGGTGCTGTTCTTTCTTTACAGACGGCTTCACAGCAGAATCTGCTGTTGCTAAATCAGTGGTGTGGCCCTCTGAAAGCACCCGTTTCTCTGCAGACTGGGCAGAGTATAAAATCTTAATCCCCTCCTTAACCTTATAACCCTTCTCTGCCTGGGATTCTGGGATCTCCTGAGACTGCTCTCTAAGGATGGGCAGCTGAGACTGGACCTGATGCCCGCTGACTAAATGTTTAGGCTCTGATGTGGGCCTTACAGAAGCGGACTTCCGGTCGGACAGGGGGTCTGTGCTAACAGTAGACAGCGGTGTGAGCTCCTCAGCGACAGCCGACATCACCATTGACCTCCTCTCTCGAGCCGCCTGAAGCTCGATGACCTCAGGGCTCAGAATGCGGTCACAGTGCTGCTCTGTGAAGTCCTGACTCTCCTCGACGGAGGACGTAAACGCCGCCATGTGAAGCTGCTTCACAGGGACTGTGGAAACCTGAGCTGGGTGGGTGGGAACCACCGACACCCGCTCCTCTACCTCATGAGACTGGAGCACTGCTGCCTGGTGGGTCAGCTGCTCGCGGTGGATAGTGGCGGCGGAGATATCTAGTTCTCTAAGCGTGCCCACTTGCTCACTGGGAATGACCTGCCGGTCTTCAGTCCCGATGGTGTAAACCATCTGATCAGACCTGGATCTGTCCTGACCCGGGAGGCTAACCTGGTACAGACGAGACTCTGTTGCTTGTTCTGTCATTGAAACCTTATAGCCTTTCTTCTGAACCGTGGTCACCTGCTCCTGTTTCCGTGAAACAGAGACAGTTTCTCTGAACACAACGAGCTCTGCACTACAGGACGCCTCACCTAACTGGTTGGAGGCCTTGCATGTGTACAGGCCGCTATCTTCCTGTTTGACGCTCTTAATATTGATAAAGCCAGATCCATCTGGGTTGGCTTTAACGATACAGTTTCTACTGGGCTGGATCTGGAAAGCCCCTTTGAACCACCTCACATCGGGCATTGGATCACCGCTGGCTTTGTAACTAAAGGAAACCTCTCCTCCCTCTGAGCAGCGCACAGGTTGGATCTGAACTGTGAACGTTGGAGGTTGACCCGTGATCTTAAACATCTTCTCTACCCATTTCTCCGCCTGGCTAACATCATGCTTCTTAACCTCGAGGTACGTGGTGCAGGTTGTCTGGCCTAATCGGTTGGTGGCGGTGCAGGAGTACTCGCCCTCATACTCGGTTGTGACCTTTGTGATGACTAACGTATACTCCTCTTTCTCCTCTATCAGCCTGTATATGGACGAGCTCTGAATCGCTTTTCCATTGTGAGACCATTTAACGGTCGGTTTTGGAAAGCCGGACAGTCTAACGGTGAGTCTAGCCGTCTCCCCGGCGGTGACCACTGCCGGAGCGAGCTGGCTGAGGAAAACTGGCTTTTCTTTTTTCTTCTCTAAAGAGGAAGAGTAGCGTTTGGACTCTGGCGTGAGTTCAAGTGTTTTAGTTTTCTGAGGTAACTGGACCCCAGAGTAGTAGGTCTCCTCTTGCTCCTCCACAGTGGTGATGGTGGTGCTAGTACGCTCTGTTGGAAATATTGAGCATCACTCAAAACAATATCCACAACACAGAAGCTCGAATATTAACATTGAATTTGGAAATGCAAGAATTAGGGCTGTCCTTAACCACAGAGTCTCTCAAGGTCGATTTAGGATTATTTTTCCAATCAATCAATCATATTTTAAATTAAATGCAATCTACCTAAAAATTCTAAAAAAAGGAGAAATATATCAAAATGAAAAAAGAAAACAACCAAATAAAATAATTATTTATGACTGAGTGCTTGAGGGAGGACAGCCCTACTATAAAAAAGAGCAATGAAATGCATCACAAGATCAACATATTATAAAAAATAAATATTCCCCCAAACGGTTTATGTTTCTTGGACATTTTCTCAGTTCAAAAAAGCAGTTTATTTTTCTGATTGTAAATAAAATCAGAAAAATAAAACACTATTTGGTAATAAGCGTAATTACCAAACTTTTTTTTTGCCAAAACAGACCTCAGCAAAATCAGGAATTGTATTGTATTGGCAATAGGCGCTTTCACACCAAGTACTTTGCCGTACTTAGTTCATCAGAACTTAGTTCATCAGAACTCTTTAGTTCTGATGAACTAAAGAGCAGATCGCGTTCACACCGGAATAAGTCCCTGGGGGAGGATTAGGCAAATGAGCCGCTGACGTCACTTCTTCTTCTTCTGCTTTGGGTTTACTGGCAGGCCGCAAACAACTTCACGGCGTATACTGCCACCCGGAGTCCCCGGCCGGAAGTCCCCGGAGTTGGGGAAGGCTTCTACTGAAGCCTTCTGAGTAAATCGCCAGAACGCCGACACCTCCTCATCTCCACCACTCCCATGTTTTCTTTTGTGTTGCCATAAGTTAGTCTCTCTGTGTTTGTGCGCTGGGCGAATGCTACTGCTAATAATGCTAATGGTAATAATGCTAATGCGAGCAAAGAAAATGGCGGCTTCACAAAACTTTTTGGGAGTTTTATGGGGCGTGGTTTGCAATTTGCCCAGCCAATCAGAAATGGGAACCTTTTTCTCCCACGAAAGTACCTGCTCTCTAGCAGGGACTGAAAAGGGGGTGGAAAGGTTCTCATGGACTAAGTTCTAATTCCGGATTTCTTTGGTGTGAACGCACATTTTCGGAACTATATCGGAACTATACTGGGAAAAGTACTCCGGTGTGAAAGCGCCTATTGGTATTAAAACATATCAAATAAGATTAATTATTACACAATAAATATTGTTTTTGACATCTGCATTTTGATTGGATTATTGATACAGAAACCATGTAAACATCGACCAACAGTTTTAACCTGTATGCATTGATTAAAGAGGCCCTATCCTGCTGATGTTCAGGTGTATATCAGTATGTAGTGTCTCTACTTTAAAGAGTCCTATCCTGCTGATGTTCAGGTGTATATCAGTATGTAGTGTCTCTACTTTAAAGAGTCCTCTCCTGCTGATGTTCAGGTGTATATCAGTATGTTGTGTCTCTACTTTAAAGACTCCTATCCTGCTGATGTTCAGGTGTATATCAGTATGTAGTGTCTCTACTTTAAAGAGTCCTATCCTGCTGATGTTCAGGTGTATATCAGTATGTAGTGTCTCTACTTTAAAGAGTCCTCTCCTGCTGATGTTCAGGTGTATATCAGTATGTAGTGTCTCTACTTTAAAGAGTCCTCTCCTGTTGATGTTCAGGTGTATATCAGTATGTAGTGTCTCTACTTTAAAGACTCCTATCCTGCTGATGTTCAGGTGTATATCAGTATGTAGTGTCTCTACTTTAAAGAGTCCTCTCCTGCTGATGTTCAGGTGTATATCAGTATGTAGTGTCTCTACTTTAAAGAGTCCTCTCCTGCTGATGTTCAGGTGTATATCAGTATGTAGTGTCTCTACTTTAAAGAGTCCTCTCCTGCTGATGTTCAGGTGTATATCAGTATGTAGTGTCTCTACTTTAAAGAGTCCTCTCCTGCTGATGTTCAGGTGTATATCAGTATGTAGTGTCTCTACTTTAAAGAGTCCTCTCCTGCTGATGTTCAGGTGTATATCAGTGTGTAGTGTCTCTACTTTAAAGAGTCCTCTCCTGCTGATGTTCAGGTGTATATCAGTATGTAGTGTCTCTACTTTAAAGAGTCCTCTCCTGCTGATGTTCAGGTGTATATCAGTATGTAGTGTCTGTACTTTAAAGAGTCCTATCCTGCTGATGTTCAGGTGTATATCAGTATGTAGTGTTTCTACTTTAAAGAGTCCTCTCCTGCTGATGTTCAGGTGTATATCAGTATGTAGTGTCTCTACTTTAAAGAGTCCTCTCCTGCTGATGTTCAGGTGTATATCAGTATGTAGTGTCTCTACTTTAAAGAGTCCTCTCCTGCTGATGTTCAGGTGTATATCAGTATGTAGTGTCTCTACTTTAAAGAGTCCTCTCCTGCTGATGTTCAGGTGTATATCAGTATGTAGTGTCTCTACTTTAAAGAGTCCTCTCCTGCTGATGTTCAGGTGTACATCAGTATGTAGTGTCTCTACTTTAAAGAGTCCTCTCCTGCTGATGTTCAGGTGTATATCAGTATGTAGTGTCTCTACTTTAAAGAGTCCTCTCCTGCTGATGTTCAGGTGTATATCAGTATGTAGTGTCTCTACTTTAAAGAGTCCTTTCCTGCTGATATTCAGCGGAAACCAGAGCCCAGTCTGCTCTGATTGGTTAGCTGGCTGGCTCTGTTGTGATTGGTCAACCGCTTAGAGATGTCCCGCCCTCTTAGCCTATCACGTACAATGTCTTGGAGCGCTAGCCAACAGTTGTGTTCCATAGTGACATCACTATGGAACACAACTTAGGGATTTTAGCCATTGCAGACCATTGACATGCACTACCACCTATAGAACAAACGACAGGAGAGGGACCACCACAAAAAGCAGAATACGGCCTCTTTGAAAAACAAAAAGAGAAAACTCAGACTCTGACTTTAAATCATTAAATATTTTATTATATAAACTCTGAAACAAACCAACACGACGTCTGTACAAATACACCATGAATTTCCATCTCAATGCCAGATTTTTAATTTATTCATTTACTTATTTTCCTGTTTCTACTCATACACTCCTAAAATTACACATATTTACAAAACTTCAAAACTTACACTTAACATTTTTTTAAGTTTCACAGTATTATCCATTTTTTTAAATTTGTACTACTTATGATTTACCAGCTCGCTTTAAAATCCTAGAAATATCGTTCTCACTCCAATAAAAAACTAAAAACCTTCTAAATCCCACAGAAACCATAAAACTAATTAGGACAGTTTCCAGATTTACTTTTTTGACAGCATTAAATTTTAATGTGTGAATTACTCTCCTAATAGAGTATCAATAATGCTGTGAAAGTTAAGGGTAAATTAAATAAATTGTTGAATCTATTTTTTATAATAAAAAATGTTTTGGGTTAATATTAATTCGTTTTCTGTCAAGGTGTTCTTTCTTGTTTGAAACTATTTTTTTTTTGTAAAAACATGTTTATTACCCACTGCATGTCATTTTAAGTTATGTAAAATGTGACCGAACAATAACTACTGCCTTCAGCTCAAACCAAAAACGATGAAGGGTGTCACAATGCCGGGATTTATCAAATGTTAAAACACAAACCAACATTTTAAGTTGTATTCTTTTTTAGTTAAGCTACTATAACTAGTACATGCATTTAATTGGATTTAATTTCCAATGCAGATTCTTTTAAAACATATCTACTCTGGCTGTGCAGCTCTCGTCACTAATTTAACAAACTGTTTAAAAATGTAAATGATATGTATTCCTATTTTTCTTCATAACCATGGACCCATTTCTGAGCTTCTCCATTTTAAAAACCTCAAAATACCAATGTATTCTGAGGTCAGTGAGATGTAAAGACTATATACTGTTGTGATTTCATGTTAAAGCAGCTCACTTTAAAGTGTTACCAGAAAACAAAAGCAAACGTAAACCCAGATTTTCTACCAGAACTTTAAAAAGTTGACACAGCTGGCAATAAATAAAGGAAAAAAAGCATTTTAAACTCTGACAAACATTTTAAACTCTGTTTATCCCACATGACTTCGGGCTGGTTGCACAAAGATGACTCTTCTTTTCATAGAGAAGAGTCTCAGCTTAAGTAATTGCGATTTGCAAACAGTTTAAAGCAAACATTGAGAATAGAAAGTCTTAAAATGACTCATAAGGTATTTTCTATTTCTGTTAAGTATTAAATCCGCCAAGGAGCTTTGTGTCTTCGGTTTGGTTAAAAAACAACTGGACTGATTTGTATTCAACTTGGTGGAAGGGTTAATCATGAGCCAATTAAGAAAACGTAAACATTTGGAAAAGTTCTGATAACGGACCAGTTCATGACCGATGAGTTGTAGTCATATATGTATCGCAGTAAACCCTACAGAAGTCAAGCATTAACAATATACAGTCAAATTAATTAGGTAGTAAATGTATCTTCGTGCAACCAGCCCCAGAACCTCAAACCTCTAAAACATCTTTAGCAGCGCGGCAGTCTCAATGTACCCGGCCGTGTTTTGGATCACACATTTGTACTCCCCACCATCACTCTGGGTTGCGTTAGTAATGAGCAGATTGAAATGGCCTGCAGTTTTCTCCTGGATGATACACCTGCCGGTTGTGACTGGGTTTCCATCTTTGTACCACTCTGCGGTCGGGCTTGGTTTACCACTAACGAGACACTGGAGGATAACTGGCGTCCCTACGGCTGCGGTAATGTTAGTCAACGGGATGACGCACTTAGGGGGCGTCTCGGTCACCAGGAACTGGAAGCTACACATATCGGAGGACTTTCCTTTGAACTCTATCTTGTCATCTTTTGCCGGTTCAGCAAACACGTCAAAGTTAATGCTAACGTATTTCTCTCCCTGCTCGTTCATTTCGTGGTCGGTTTTAGCCACCAGCCTCACCGCCCGCTGCGACTCATCTGCCTCCTGCTCAAACTCAAACTCAAGCTCAATTTCAGAGACTTGTTCGCTGTCAAACGACGTGTTGCCAACCACCAAGTCGAACTTCTGCGGCTGAACTTTGGCGCTTCCCAGAGACACAGCAGTCAACTCCCTGCCTCTGGTCTTTCCTGAGAAAGCTTTGGCGTCCAACACGACCAGAGACGCCCGACACAGAGTCTCCCCGACAACGTTAATAGCCCTACAGTTATACACCCCGCTATCCTGTGTTGTGACTTGACAGATCTTCAGGAAGTGGTTGTCTCCGTCGGACGAACACAGGTATTTTTTGTTATTGTGAGGTATTTTCTTGTCACCTTTGAACCAGGACACAATAGGAGAGGGTATTCCCATCAGGGAGCACTCGAACATGACGGTGGTGCCCTCAGGGGTCTCCATGTCACAGATGGGATTAATAAACCTCGGGGGCATCTCAGTGACCTCAAAAGCTATTTTCAAATCATCATGCTCCTGCGTGACAAAGTCCACAGTGCACTCCTCATAAATACTCGGCAGCACGTTCAGAGATATGATCATGCTTTTGTTGTCGGCCGTGTACTCGGGAATGGTGATGATCTTTATTTGCCTCTCAAATTCTTTCACATCGCTTTCATCCAACTCTACTTCGAGCAGAATCTCCTGAGGGGAAGTAGAACGAGAGGAGTCATCGTCCTCAACGTCAAACTCCATCACATGCTGATGGGTGACATTAGGGGGGGCCGGCATGAACCTGACTTCCTGCGATATGACAACCACTAAAGCAACACTTCTAGCTTCCCCAACGTAGTTCACGGCCTCGCAGATGTATTCCCCCTGATCAGCTTTTGTGACATTGTGAATTGTTAGCGAGATGCTATCACCATCTCTCTCCGTTTTGACTCTGTCGTTGGCCAACAGCTGGTTTCCGTTGCAGAACCAATTCACCTGAGGGGAAGGCAGGCCAAACACCTCAGCGTAAAACGTTAGAGAGTCATTTTCAAACACTCTTTTCTTGACGAGAGGTTTGAGAAAGGCCGGAGGGATTCCCTGCACTTTCTCCTGAAGGGTTGACAGGCCTAAAGGTCCTAGTCCCTTGGTGAGGTATAGGTTGTCATCCACTGTCTCAATGCCCTCGTCACCGGGAGACATCAGGAACTGCATTGGTGAGAAAAACCTCTCGCTGGAGCCTCCTGTCGAGGGTCGCTTATGATCCATGGGGGAGAAGGGGTATTCCTTAGGGGTCCTAAACCCACCAGAAGTATCCGAACTTGGAGTTTGAAAGGACATGTGAGACTTGGGGGTTTGGAAGGACTCTGCAATTGGTTGCGAGACCTCGGTGGAAGAGCCTGGGGTGTAGAACCGCTCGGCCATCTCGGCTAGGTCCTCACTCACGGTGCTGCCGATCTCTATGGACATCTCAGACTCAGGGGACAGGGGTCTTCCCCAGTCTGTTGGAGGGTTGTAAAAGTCATACACAGCACCAAAGGTTACCTCCTCTTCCTCCATTGAGCCAGCTGCTGCTGCTCCTCCAGCTTCAGCTTCAGCTTTGTCCAAAAATCCTTCCTGTAAAGATGCAACCTGCCTTTGAGGTCCCTCAGCAGCAGCAGGAGCTTCCTCAAGAGGTTCAAGGTTGTCTCCTTTAGGCTCGACAACAAGTGTTGCAGGTTCTGGCTCCATGACTTCAATCCCCCCATCTTCACTCTTGATTTGTACATGAGGCTCAACTTCATCCCCAGCCACTTCTTCTGCTCCCTCTGTCACGTCAGCCTGGGACTCCGGCATACTGAGGAAGACACCACTGTCCAAGGAGGGCTCTGGATTTGAAACCAGCTCCTCGCCAGAAAGTAGAGTACTGTCAACTTCAGCCTCACTGTGAGGAGAGGAAGACCCTTCTACTGCAATTTGTTTATCAAGTTTGAGAGATTTAGAAATGGTTTTAGGCTTGACGGCTTCTTCAACTGGAGCTGAAGTCTTAACAGCGCGTTTTACTGCAGGGACTTTATCCGGCTTGAAAGGGAAAAAGCTGCCAGTTTTGTCAAATGTACACACTGGCTGATCCCTCAGCATCTCCATTTCACATGCCTCCACTTGTTCTGTTAATGGAGCTGGTTTCTGTGCTTTAGGCCTGACCAAGTCGGGAGACTCCTGTACTTCTTCCACAAATTGTGTAAGTTCACCATGGCTTTCTGCTGAAACGGCACCTTGTTCAACATCCCTAGATATCCCAGAGATCTTGCGTTCTTTCTGCAGAGAGGAGGTTGGATGGGAGGCCTCTGGTGAGTCAGGAAGAGCTTTGGGAGAACTGGGATTTCCTGTCATAGCAGTAGCAAGACTAACTGCATCTTCTGCAGGCAGGGTGTCAATGACTTGGTCCTGCTGGTCAAGGGAAATGGCCACTGCAGGTATAAACTCTTCAGGGAAATGTGTTGCCTCTCTCTGCTCCTCAGGAGAGCTTTGGGTCTGTAATGCAACTGGCGATTCAGACTCAAAAGCTTGTTTAATCTGAGAGACTTTTATAACAGCAGCCGACGCCTGCAGACCACATCCGGATACACTTGGAGGCTCTCTGGAGATACTAGGTCTGGATTTTGGGGCTTTGGCCAACTCTGATGGAGCTTGTGAACTCTGAGTGATCGTGTCTTTAGTGTGAATGATGTCAGCTTTCTTTGTATCTTCGGTTGAGCCAACAGGAGACCTCCTTACTGGAGTAAAACCAGCACCCTCTGCAAATTGCACAGGTTCAGAGATACCTGTGACCACAGCCATGTTGCCCTCAGAACAGCTGATATTCTCAAATGTGCTGACAGCCTGAGGAGCTTCACCAGCCGTATCAAATGAGAAAGTGAATTTGTGTTTGACAGTCTGAGAGGCACCATCGTCGCTTGGCACTTCTGAGATTTTCTCCGAGACCTCCTGAGGTTCGTCCTCTCTGATTTCCTCTCTCATCTCAGGGAGCGGCGTGGCGGCGGTGATTCTGATTTCTACAGGTGAGGAGCTAAAAGACTCATCCGAGGAGCGGCGTTTGTGGATCACCGCTTGAGGCACCTGTAACGTCGCTTTCCCTGAATCCGTGAAGGTCTTAAGTTCTGCTTCGATAAAGCTTTCCTGGGTTTCTGCACCCTCCGTAACTACCACTTCCTGTGTGGCCACTGACATTCTCCTCACCTTTTGGTCAGAGATTTCAAGAGTGCCGCTGCAGATGGATTTTCCATGTTTATTGGTTATGACACTGTCGTATGTCCCCTCGTGGTCTGTAGTTGGATAGAAGACGGTGAGCTTTGATGTGTTAGATTTGCTCATGATATCATAGTCAGGGTTGTGGGCTAATTGGTGTCCGTCTTTGAGCCAGGTGACGGTGGGCAGAGGGTCACCCTGGAACTGGCAGGTAAACTCTGTCATCTCACCAATTTTTACTTGAGCCGAAGATATTCCTTTCACAAATACTGGACGGGATCCTCCGGCACTTGTTTCCCCTTCCTTCATCCTATTAAACTCTTTCAAATCTGCCTCATCTTGGACTCTCCTCTCGTCCTTCTTGATAGCTCCGAGTTCAACGCTTTCTTCACTCATTTCTCCACCCTGTTTTGACCTAATGGACTCTCTGCTTACTTCCTCTCTTTTAACACCTGCAAAATCCTTCCGTTGTCTCCGATCGCTGCTCTCTCTGGTAGTTCCCGTCTCCTCTCTCATCGCCCTCTCCTCTTTTACATCTGACTGGAAACATTTCCTGCTGGATTTATCTGCAGTCATTGCATATTCCTGCCTGCTCCGACTCTTCTCTGCATCTTTTCCCACCTCCTCCTGTGGAAAGCGACTCCCGAGTGGTGAAAACTCTCCTGAAGGCTTACCTGGTCTCTCAAATGGCACAGTAGTAGTTTGGGTTGGAGAGTAACTCTGAACTGGTGAAGCTTCCAGACCCATTCTATCATTTCCTTTGGGCTGGTGTGGTAAACCAGCATATGCAGGAGTTTGCCTTCTTATGGAAGAAGACTCACCAATAGTAGCTTGCTCGTACCCGGCAGTAGTTGTTGACGAGGCTCCACCACCAAGATTTAGAGGTGGAAGTTCACATGGATGAGAAAGGACACCATGGGACTCAAACAGCATCCCGGAGCCAGGCTGTTTTCCTTGATTGTCCAAAGACCACTCGGACTCCAGTTCAGCTACCTCCTCTTGCTCGACACCATCCTGTTGCCACTTCAGGATGCGCTGAGCAAGTGCTTCCTCCTCACTAACAAAGTATTCACTATCCCTTTGCAGCCTGGTCTCCCGGCCCTCTGTAGGCAGAGCCTCAGAGGGCGGCCACTGCAGACTCTCAGCCAGCTGATCTTGGAAACCGGCGGGAACCGTCTCGCTCTGGAGGAACTTCTCTTTGGCTGTTTTGCCCGAGGAGGTTTTCCTGCTTCGGACCACTTCAGGTTGAGGAGCTGATTCTCTTCCGACGTCTGTGGTCTTCTCCGCCTGGATCTTAGAGTAACCCTCCTCCCAGTCGGACTCCAGCTTGACAACTTCCTCTTGTTCCATCAAAACGTTCTCCTGCCACTTCATTATCCGCTGATTCAGAGCCTCCTCTTCACTGACAAACCTCTCACTTTCACTCTTCAGCTCGGATAAGTTCTCTCTCGACAGCTGGAGCTCACGTTCTTCTGTTGTCCTCTCAAACAACATCTTCTCTGCTCTGACTTTAGTTCTTGGTGATGCTCCTACTTCTACGGCCCTTCCTTTTATTCTGGGAGATTTTTGTGCCATTGAAGCCTCAATTTCCAACTCTCCTGGTCTGGATTTCATTCTGGCTTTAGGCGAGGGGGCAGAGGTTTCGTCTTGGCTCAGTTTGACTTTAGGGGACTTTGGTGCCGACACGTCAGCATGTTCTCCAGTCACTCTCTCATCCACTGCCTCCAGATGGGGGTCTCCAGTCACTCTCTCATCCACTGCCTCCAGATGGGGGTCTCCAGTCACTCTCTCATCCACTGCCTCCAGATGGGGGTCTACAGTCACTCTCTCATCCACTGCCTCCAGATGGGGGTCTACAGTCACTCTCTCATCCACTGCCTCCAGATGGGGGTCTACAGTCACTCTCTCATCCACTGCCTCCAGATGGGGGTCTACAGTCACTCTCTCATCCACTGCCTCCAGATGGGGGTTCATGTGCCCTTCAGGCTCCATGTGCTGTGTCTCTTCCTCTGACATTCGAACACCATGCTGCCATTTCCTGATCCGCAGGGCCAGGAGTTTTTCCTCAACCTGCATCCGCTCAGCGTCCAGGCTCTTCTCATACTGCTCCCTCAAAGACTCCCCTCCAGACTCCTCTTCATATTGCTCACCTGTTTCTGGTGTTGCACCTGTACCAAGGAACCTCTCTTTGGTAGTTTTGGCCTGCCTCAGCCTGGGTGATTCTCCAAGTCTGTCCTCCGCCCGGGCTTTTGCTCTTGACGACAACTCCACTTCCATTTCTGCTCTTGCTTTTATTCTGGGAGATTTTGGTGCCAGCATTAGTTGTGCCCCTCCTTCTTCTGATTGGGCTTCTGCTGTGGCACACATCTCTGCTTCGTCTCCTCTGGCTTTTACTTGAGGTGATCTGGGTGTTGTCGCTTCAGGATCTACCATCCTTGCCTTAACTCTGGGTGATTTATGGAAAGATGAGGTTTCACTTTCTACAGTTACTGATTGTGTCGCTTCCTGTTGGGTGTGCATGTGCCCCGCTGGCTCCATGTACTGCACCTGTGCAGGGGTTGGCAGATCAGTTTCAGGGTGAAACGTCTCCTCTTCGGCCATCATACTCCCTTGCTGCCATTTTCTGATGCGCAGGGTTAGGAGCTTTTCCTCACACTGCATCCTCTCTTCATCCAGACTCTTCTCATAGTGAGCCCTCAAAGACCCCCCTTCACCCTCCTCTTCATATTGCTCACCTGTTTCCGTTGTGGACCTATCTTCTGTGGATGCTTCTCCACTGAGGAACTTCTCCCTGCTAGATGTGTCTGTTTTTGGCAGATCAACAGATCCACTGCTTTCGGTGTACGTGGATGTTCCAGGGAACGCTAACCCTTCAGAGTTACGTTGCTCGACCTTTGTTGACTCCATATGTTCCTCCGTAACTACGCCGTGACGTTCACTTACCATTTGCTTGTATCTAGCTTCTAGCCGCGATTCCAAAAAACTCTCAACCTTTTTACCGTGCCGTGTGTCACCTGATCTCCTTTCTGACACCATGGTATCCAACGGCTCACCTCTCATGATCTGAATGGCCCTGGTTCTGGTTTGAGGCTCAAATGAATGCCTTGAACGCGGCTTCGACGGATCCCTGCTTGAGCTTCTACTTTTAAACTCACTCGGACCCTCCCCCGAATCGAAGGGTCGGTTGAATTGCTGAACATCGGGCAGAGAGGCCGGTTTCACCCTGAGCCTCTCTACGTAGTCGGCGTAACTCGACTCGCTGGCGACTGATTCTGACTCAAACTCAGAAGAGGACATGGTGGAGATAGAAAGCCTCTTCTTCTGCTTCACAGCTTTTTGGAGCGTTGTAAGTTTAGTCCTCACCTCGTTGTGAAGACTCTCCGTGTCACTGAACCTGTCGCTGTACCTGTCGCTGCATCGGTCACTGAACTTGTCACTGAACCTGGCCCCGGTGCGCCGGTCGCAGTAGATATCGCTGAACCGGTCGTTAAAACGCTCAGACCTGTCAAACATCGGGGGAGGAGACGGGGCGCGCTCTGAGGCGGTCTCCAAACGTTTGGACTCTTTCTCTGTTACCTCTTTTTCTTTCGTATGAGAACCAGATTTGAAGTAAACTGTACGCACCAGAGAGTCCACAGAGCGAGAACGCCTCTGATGAACTTTAGACATCTTGTCAAACGGAGACCCAACGCACCTGAGGTCCACCCTGAACTTCCTCTCTTTCCTCTGCTCGGCCATGGTGTCTGCACTTTCATGGGCTTGTGCAGAGCGCTTAACAAAGCCCAGGTAGTTAGCAGACTGCTCTTCCCTCAGCGACACTAGAAGTGATGCTGTGGACTCGGCAGAACCCTCTGAGTTAATCGCCATTACCTTATAACTGCCCGAGTCCTTCTCTCTGATACAATCGATAACCAAACTGGTCGTGTGCAAGTGCATTTTGCTCTCAGTACCGACCCTACGCCTACGATCTTTAGGGATAGATTTATTATTATGAAACCAAAGGATGGTGGGTTGAGGACATGCAACCAGTTTACACCTTAACTCTACTGGTTCTCCCTCTAGGACTGATTGGAATTTAAGTTTTTTGGTGAATGAAGGTTTGATGTTCTCCGTCCAGGAGCTAATGGAGGAGGTTCTGCTGGAGCAGCGGTTGGCCGACACCAGGCCCTGATCGGGGAAGTCTTCGGTGTCGGAGAAGGCTCCTCTCAGCTGCCGGGTGGCGGTGAGTTCGCTGCCGCTCTGCTGGGTTCCCTCTTTGTGATAAAACAGCTCTGCAAATATAAACACACATCGATCAGAACAGCGGCCTCGGGGGGTAAAACGAGAGAAAAGGATTTGAATGAATCAGTAATGGAAATATTAAATGCATGCTGGGAGTCACAATGCCATAAGAAATAATTTCACTCACCATATTTGTTCGAATAAACGCAAGACTTGATTCTTTTTATTAGAAACCTTCAGGAAGTTTTGATCCTTCGTCTGTGGAAATTTCTTCAAAACATAAATTATTTTATTATCATTAAAAAGCATTTTCTTTCCAAGACTGGCTGCTTACATTCGGTTGTTTTTTTACTTTTTGATAGTTGCTTTGGCTTTATACTAGAATGTTCCTTACCTGACTTGCAGACAGGAGAATAAACGCCCTTTCTAATCCTTAAACTTATGAGGAAATAAATGCACAGGTATATGTGAGAGGCAAAGCTCTCACATATCTTATATTCCAAAATCTTAAACAAATGAAGCTGTAAAATTGGGTGAGAAGGCGTTTATTCGAACTAATATAGTTTACTGGTGTTATTTATTGCAAACCACAGGAATCACATCCCACTATCTGCAAGCCAGGCTAAGAAATATTTTGCAGGAGGACGGTGTCAGTTCCAGATGCAGTGAACCTCCATATCTTTTAAAGGGCAAAGTCCGGAAGCCTTAAAAGATACGCGTCTCTGGGAAAAGATCAGAAGAACCTTCATGCCAAAAAGAGAAACGTTTCTTTGGATGCAAAACGCAAAGGACTCAAAAGAAACTGGAACAAGCAAGGGCTCTCCTGAGGGGGGGGGGCATGAAATATGATCAGAACAAGAGCAGGGAGAAGAATACAGAGTTTATATCAAAAACACATGAAGAGGACATGCTACTGTGGAAGACCTTTCAAAAAGGGACAGTTCAACATAAGGACATGTTATAAAACTCTAAAAGCAGTCTGTGGATGCAGGCCAACTATAATCCAAATAACCTTTTAAACATGCATCGGTTTTTATCTCCACTTTTCAACATTTTATTCACTTTAAACGTCACCTGAAAGCTTGGTTTAAAGTTCCCTGCCGACAGACCACTTTTGAAATAAATCTTTATAAAGAGAAATCTAGTCAAACTGTCCCGAATTTGTACACCAAATTCCCAGGTGTGATAACTATCTGGAGCTTTTTATCCAGGAAGGTGAGGAATCTGACGTGGCCTTACCTTTGACTTCTTGCTCGATCTTGGCTTCGATCTGCTCCCTCACGTGAGTCACTGTGGGGGGGAAGAGACGACGTTAGTTCACATGTATCTTAATAACTGCAGTGGGGGTCTGAACAACATTTCCTGTCACGTGTTCATTCCCATAAAGAAGAACCGGATTTACACATTGATTAATTTTTCTTTGGTGGACTCAACAGGATTCTCCTTCTGTGTTTGGGCTCCATGAGTTGAGTCTGATACAACAAACCCTGAAAGTAAAGCTTTATATCTACTGAAAGTACTTCTAAATCCAGGTTACATTATAAAAAATGTATTCTTGGTCATAGAAGTTTACTTTTACAAAATAACGTACAATGTGTTGGAGCGCTAGCCAATAGGAGCGCGAGGGTTCCATAGTGATGTCACTATGTGCCGGAAGTAAACTAATAGACTGGAGCCAAACACATAGAGCAAATACATTTGAGTCCACCAGGTCTGTGACTCTTACTGGGTTTTAACCAGCATGTTTTTGGGGCAAAGTGAGAAATCAAACACTGTAAGAAACACGGTGGAGTATTACGGACAGGAACAGGACGGGGATACAGAAGGGTTTCCTGCAGGCCGGAGGAAGGTTATAATCAAGAGTTTCATGCAGTTTCCCTGAGTGGGAGAGGGAGTGAGGACGGAGGAAGAGGAGGAGTGAGGAGGAAGGTGGAGGAAGGTGGAGAGGTGATCATCCCGGGATTCAAACACACAGTGAGACCTCCGTCAGGGCGGTGGGGTTAGTCAGAGCTGGGGAGGGATGTCCCGACAGATCGCTGGTCACACCGGATGGGATGCAGCCATGGCGTGTTTTTATATCATCGGAGGGGCTTTTGAAGGATATTTGAAGCTCTTTTTAAATACACATTTAAAGTGCTTAGAGTGCTTCGGTTCATTATGGACAATCAGGAGGGCAAACTCATCTCGCAGGAAGAGGATCTTTTTAGGAGGTATAGGTTTAGGAAGTTCATTCGTTACCTTGCACAATTATGTCTTTCTATTAATGAATGTCTATTTTAGAGACTATTTGATGTCTCTTTATCTTAAGTGTATTGTATTTTGCATTGATGGAGGAGCCTGGGACTCCAGCTGTTGTGTATATGACAATAAAGCTTTGAAACTTGAATAGATAGATGTCAATAATGTGCTCTCTGATGCTACAAGGATCTAATCATTTAAAACATATTTAAGTCGCTCTTTATTTGGCAGACGTGTTCAGGACATCCCTGGCAGTGTTGGAGGAACTGGAGGAGGGGCGTTAATCTTAAAGGAAGTGGATTGATTTTACAAAGGAAGTCTGGCTGCATCCATCCCACCGTTACCTTCTTCTTCTTGTGCGGTGGTAACGGTGAGCGTGGCGGTGCAGACGACCTCCCCGGCGGTGTTTGCGGCGCTGCAGGTGTACGCTCCGGCGTGTTCGGGGAAGGCGTCCACGATGAGGAGCATGGCGGTGTGCGTGGCCTCGTCGAAGTGGAACACCACGTTCTTGGTGGGCAGCACCGGGCTCCCGTTGTGGAACCAGCTGATCTCGGGCCGCGGCGTGCCGGAGACGCAGGCGTGGAAACGAGCGACCTCGCCATGCGGCACCGAGCAGCTGCTGATCGGCTGCAGGAACACCGGCTTGTGGCCGACAGTCGGCTTCTTTACGGAGGAGAGGCTGGTGGAGAGGAGGCGCTGAGAGACAGAAGACTCTCGCTGTCGGACGCCTGAAAGAAGACCGCCGAGGAGCATGAGATTATTGCATCTAGATTCATCCCAGTCAGCACAGCTTGAAACCAGTCTGAAACTAGTCTGAAACTAGTCTGAAACCAGTCTGAAACTAGTCTGAAACCAGTCTGAAACCAGCCTGAAACCAGTCTGAAACTAGTCTGAAACCTGTCTGAAACCAGTCTGAAACCTGTCTGAAACCAGTCTGAAACCAGTCTGAAACCTGTCTGAAACCAGTCTGAAACCAGTCTGAAACCAGTCTGAAACTAGTCTGAAACTAGTCTGAAACCTGTCTGAAACCTGTCTGAAACCAGTCTGAAACCAGTCTGAAACTAGTCTGAAACCTGTCTGAAACCAGTCTGAAACCAGTCTGAAACTAGTCTGAAACCAGTCTGAAACCTGTCTGAAACCTGTCTGAAACCAGCCTGAAACCAGTCTGAAACCAGTCTGAAACCTGTCTGAAACTAGTCTGAACCCTGTCTGAAACCAGTCTGAAACCTGTCTGAAACCTGTCTGAAACCTGTCTGAACCCTGTCTGAAACCAGTCTGAAACCTGTCTGAAACCTGTCTGAAACTAGTCTGAAACCAGTCTGAAACCTGTCTGAAACTAGTTTGAACCTGTCTAAAACTAGTCTGAAACCAGTCTGAAACTAGTCTGAAACTAGTCTGAAACCTGTCTGAAACCTGTCTGAAACCAGTCTGAAACCTGTCTGAAACTAGTCTGAAACCAGTCTGAAACTAGTTTGAACCTGTCTGAAACTAGTTTGAACCAGTCTGAAACTAGTCTGAAACCTGTCTGAAACTAGTTTGAACCTGTCTGAAACTAGTCTGAAACCAGTCTGAAACTAGTTTGAACCTGTCTGAAACTAGTTTGAACCAGTCTGAAACTAGTCTGAAACCAGTCTGAAACTAGTCTGAAACTAGTTTGAACCAGTCTGAAACCTGTATGAAACCAGTCTGAAACCAGCCTGAAACCAGCCTGAAACCAGTCTGAAACCAGTCTGAAACCTGTATGAAACCTGTCTGAAACCAGTTTGAACCTGTCTGAAACCTGTCTGAAACCTGTCTGAAACCTGTCTGAAACCTGTATGAAACCAGTCTGAAACCAGTCTGAAACCAGCCTGAAAACAGTCTGAAACCTGTATGAAACCTGTCTGAAACTAGTCTGAAACTAGTCTGAAACCAGTCTGAAACCTGTATGAAACCAGTCTGAAACCTGTCTGAAACCTGTCTGAAACCAGTATGAAACTAGTTTGAACTTGTCTGAAACCAGTCTGAAACTAGTTTGAACTTGTCTGAAACCAGTCTGAAACCAGTCTGAAACCAGTCTGAAACCAGTTTGAACCTGTATGAAACCAGTCTGAAACCTGTCTGAAACCTGTCTGAAACCAGTATGAAACTAGTTTGAACTTGTCTGAAACCAGTCTGAAACTAGTTTGAACTTGTCTGAAACCAGTCTGAAACCAGTCTGAAACCTGTCTGAAACCAGTCTGAAACCAGTTTGAACTTGTCTGAAAACAGTCTGAAACCTGTCTGAAACCAGTCTGAAACTAGTTTGAACTTGTCTGAAACCAGTCTGAAACCAGTCTGAAACCTGTCTGAAACCTGTCTGAAACCAGCCTGAAAACAGTCTGAAAACAGTCATGTCTGGTGGAAGTTACCCAACATGCAACTGAGGGTAGAAACTGAAGCTAACAGCTGATCTGTTTTATATTTGAGTTGCTTCTGGGAATAAAAAAAAGAGGAAGGCAGTTCTGTGACATTGAGAGGAAAGCAACTCAGAGAGGCTGAAAACGGCCTTTTCTGACCCGTTGGCATGAAGTAAATCAACTCTAATGCGTCTTTAAGCCCTTCTTTCTCTAAGTGAACCCCTCCTGGTCCCAGACTCACCGTCCAGGCTGAGCGCGGCGCTGCAGGACACCGTCCCCGCTGCGTTGGTCGCCCGGAGGCTGTACTCGCCCTCGTCCTCGGGGTAAACTCTGGAGATCTCCAGCTGACAGCTGTCGTCAAACTGAGACATCCGGAAGAAGTCCGACTGCTTGATCTCCTTCTGTCCGTGGAACCAGCTGATCTTCACGTCTGCGAAAACCAAAACATTCATGAGGTTATTGTTCATATAATCATTTAAATAATATATATAGATTATGTTTTATACTCTGATTGCCTTTTACTCGCTTAAATCGTATGTTTAGTCTTGTATGTGTTTAACAGAGACATGTGTTCAGGGTTTACATTTCAGGAGGGGGTAAAGGTGGATCTGCAAATAGCTAAGGACTCGGGAGTTTCATAGTTTAATGATGAGATGTGTAGGTGATGCCTCAGAGAATGTAAGGGTGGGACCAGTTGGATATTCTCTCTCTACTATACAGTGTGACTGAAAGCAGAACTTCTCTCTCCTCTGGGATGTTCAACACACAACATTTAGCAATAACACTCTAAGCTTTAAGGTTAGTGACTTTAATCTGGAGAGTTTTGACTCGTGTTCCCCTCACCGTCTCCTCGCACTCGGCACTGGAAGCGCGCCGGCTCTCCCTCGCGGGCAGAGGTGCTGCTGATGGGGCTCATCACCACCGGGGGGGCCACTGTGGCTGCTGAGTCCGGAGACACAACCTCCGACACTGCACACACACACACACACACACACCTGCGTCAACATGTGCTCTGTTTCCTGCACCTAACTTCACCTTCACTACCCGAATATGTTCAATTCATTTCTTACTTTAAAAGTTACTGAACTGTATATCATTTTAATTGTATCTTTAAAGGTGGGGTATGTCATTTTGGAGAAAGCAGCTCGAGATCGCTAGAATTTGAAAATACACAACCGGAGAAAATCTGCCACTTCCTTACAGAGCCCCTCCTCCAACACACACGAACGCGCACATGACCAATGAGGGCACGAGATAAGTTTGTGCACAGATGGAAGGCTGACAGGCAGGTAGGCCATCCAGTTATTTTAGCCGGGCCGGCTCAGATGATTGGTCGTGCTTTTTACAGTACTACAGCTTCCACAGATGATATTTATTTATGGATTTGTTGTCAAAGCACTTCAGATATTCATTGCTATCAGGATGTTAAGAGCATTCCATGGAATATAACAACAAGTGTGTCTGAAGTGAATTACCTACCCCACCTTTAATTATATACAATCATTGTGTTCTTCATTCTCACCCTGTTGCTTTTTAAACTGCTGAATTTCCCCACGGGGATTAATAAAGGTCTTATCTTATCTTACTATGAGGATCCCCGTTAGCATTAGCATTAGCACTGCTAAAATGTCAAAGAATTGCTAAAGATATTCCAGCTACTTGGATCTAACATCAGAGAATGATTATATATGTTTCTCATAACTTAATAAACAGAATCCCTATAATCTGAAATGAGCCCTTTTCCCAGAAAATCACTTATTTGTATTTGTTTTTTGTCTGAAATATACACGACACTCCCCGCCTCACCTTCCACGTGCAGCGCGGCCGTGCTGCTGGCGGCTCCGTACTCGTTCTTGGCCTCACAGTGGTACACGGCGGCGTCCTCTGGGAAAACCTCGATGAGCAGCAACGAGTGTTCGGCTCCGTCGTGCAGGAACTTACACTTGAAGCCTGCGGACAGCGCCTGGGAGTTCTTGAACCAGGACACCTGCGGAGCCGGGACCCCGCTCACCTTCACGGAGAACCGGGCCGGCTTCCCCGCCTCCACAGACTGAGGCTCCATGTGGCGCTGGATCTGAGGAGGCTCCGGGACTACAGGAGGAACACAGAGGGAAGGGTTATTCAAGAGTTCATGAGCCAGGAAGAGAGAGACTTATTTAAACTAATAATCATAAGAATTAATAATATCAGAGGTGGGAAGTATTGGAGTACAAATACTTTGTTTCTGTACTTCAGTACATGTTTCTGGTGTCAGTACTTTACTCCACTACTTATTTTTCTGAGGACTTTTTACTGTGTGTACTTCTCCTTGAGTACAGGATGTGTGTACTTCTCCTTGAGTACAGGATGTGTGTACTTCTACTTGAGTAAAGGATGTGTGTACTTCTCCTTGAGTACAGGATGTGTGTACTTCTCCTTGAGTAAAGGATGTGTGTACTTCTACTTGAGTAAAGGATGTGTGTACTTCTCCTTGAGTACAGGATGTGTGTACTTCTCCTTGAGTAAAGGATGTGTGTACTTCTACTTGAGTACAGGATGTGTGTACTTCTACTTGAGTAAAGGATGTGTGTACTTCTCCTTGAGTACAGGATGTGTGTACTTCTACTTGAGTAAAGGATGTGTGTACTTCTACTTGAGTAAAGGATGTGTGTACTTGTCCTTGAGTAAAGGATGTGTGTACTTCTCCTTGAGTACAGGATGTGTGTACTTCTACTTGAGTAAAGGATGTGTGTACTTCTACTTGAGTAAAGGATGTGTGTACTTCTCCTTGAGTAAAGGATGTGTGTACTTCTACTTGAGTAAAGGATGTGTGTACTTCTCCTTGAGTACAGGATGTGTGTACTTCTCCTTGAGTACAGGATGTGTGTACTTCTACTTGAGTAAAGGATGTGTGTACTTCTACTTGAGTAAAGGATGTGTGTACTTCTACTTGAGTAAAGGATGTGTGTACTTCTACTTGAGTAAAGGATGTGTGTACTTCTACTTGAGTACAGGATGTGTGTACTTCTACTTGAGTAAAGGATGTGTGTACTTCTCCTTGAGTACAGGATGTGTGTACTTCTACTTGAGTAAAGGATGTGTGTACTTCTACTTGAGTAAAGGATGTGTGTACTTGTCCTTGAGTAAAGGATGTGTGTACTTCTCCTTGAGTACAGGATGTGTGTACTTCTACTTGAGTAAAGGATGTGTGTACTTCTACTTGAGTACAGGATGTGTGTACTTCTCCTTGAGTACAGGATGTGTGTACTTCTACTTGAGTACAGGATGTGTGTACTTCTACTTGAGTAAAGGATGTGTGTACTTCTACTTGAGTACAGGATGTGTGTCCTTGAGTACAGGATGTGTGTACTTCTCCTTGAGTACAGGATGTGTGTACTTCTACTTGAGTACAGGATGTGTGTCCTTGAGTACAGGATGTGTGTACTTCTACTTGAGTAAAGGATGTGTGTACTTCTACTTGAGTACAGGATGTGTGTCCTTGAGTACAGGATGTGTGTACTTGGCCTTGAGTACAGGATGTGTGTACTTGGCCTTGAGTACAGGATGTGTGTCCTTGTTCCCTCTCTAAAGTGGTCTAGATGTTCTCGTGCTGGACTCACGGTTGACTCGGAGGTTCATGGTGGTCCGGTTCTTCCCGGCGATGAAGGTGTATTCTCCGGCGTCGCTCCTGAAGGTCTCGGTCACGGTGAGGCGGTGAATCCTCCGGATGCAGACGTAGTTGAAGCGCTGCTCCACAGAGAACTGGATCTCCACTCCGTTCCTCAGCCAGCGGCCCTCCACCTCGTCCTCGTTCACCTCCAGCTCAAAGGTGGCGCGCTGCTTCTCCAGAACCTGTTGGGTTTATCTATTATTTACTGTTTCTTGTTTTGGATCCAAGTAAAGCCATGGTGTTCTTTGCAGGAACATGTTTCTACTTTAAGATGTTCCATGATTACTTTATTCTCAGAGAATTTCCCCGGTTGTTAATTTTGTTATTTTCGCTTATTTATGACTTAGTAATAATGTTTTTATTCTACTTAATTGCTGCTAACATCTCAAAGAAATGCTCAAAATATTCCAGTTAATTGGATCTAATATCAGAGAATAATTATTACATTCTTTTCTCAGAACTTAATGAACAGAATCCCCAAAAACTCATAGATTTTCTCAGGAATTTATCACTTTTTTACTCCTAAACGACTGTAATCTTGTAAATGGTCAGAAAGGATTATCTTGTTGTCACCTACAAAGTCTGTCCTATCTCTGAGACCCCTTTAAGACCCCCTCTCTGTTCCTGAGAGTTTCCTCTTTCTCTTAATGAATAGATGTTATCATGAATGAGTGCCCCCCCCCTCACCGTGATGTCCCTCTCGGGGGGGTCAGAGATCCGGACGTCTCTCCCCTCCACCACCAGCTGGGCTCTGGAGACGCTCGACCCGGCGACCACAGAGAACTCTCCGGCGTCCGACATCCTGACCGACTGGATCATCAGCCGGTGGACAAACTTCTCTGCTGTCACCGAGAACCTGAACGCACCACGGAGACTCAGGTGAACAACACGCTCTGTGTCAGAGGTTAGTATGTATTATATATCTCTATCTCTCACCTGCTCTCCTGCTCCAGCTCCTGGCCGTTCTTCATCCAGACCACCTGCACGTTGGGCTCAGAGATCTCACACTCGAACACGGCCTTCTTCTTCTCCGTGATCTTTATGTCTTTGATCTTCTTCGTGAACTCAATCACTCGAGCTGAGACACAGGAGGTTCACAATGACTTCAACGCTAGACTATTATTATGATGGGTTTTCATCTGCTATTTGATTTATCTAAATATTCTATTGTATATTTGAACATTCTGATCACCTTCCACTTTAGACTTCATTGCTATCTTTTCTCCCTAATTGATCATAAATCAAGAGTTTTGACTAAATAACGCTTAGACCTGTGTCTCCTAACCCTCCCTCTAGCAGCCCTCCCCCCGGACTCACCCTCCACGTAGAGGCTTGCGGAGCAGGAGGAGGACCCGGACACGAAGCTGTACTCTCCTCCGTCTCCAAAGTGCACGTTCCTGATGTTCAGGGAGTGAGAGAGCTGCCGGCTCCTCACAGACACGCGCTCAGACGACTTCACCTCCACGCCGTTCTTCAGCCACTTGTAGCTCACGTTCTCCTGGTTCACCGTCACCTCCAAGGTGATGGAGTCTCTCTCCTGAGCCCTCAGGTCCTTCAGCATGGAGGTGATGAGCACCGCTGCAGGGGGGGGGGGGGGGGGTACACTTAGTACTTCTTGATATATATCTACTGCAGGGGGGGGGGGGGTACACTTAGTACTTCTTGATATATATCTACTGCAGGGGGGGGGGGGTACACTTAGTACTTCTTTATATATATCTACTGCAGGGGGGGGGGGTACACTTAGTACTTCTTTATATATATCTACTGCAGGGGAATACTGTTAGTACTCATTAAGATATCTACTAATGGGGGGGGGGGGCATTCATTAACTCGGGAAGACTTTAAAACATGAGGGGATACAGTCAGTATTAGGGTATGTAAATGAGGGCGCCCCCCATGTGCATTTAGAGGGATGTAGAAAGGCCTTGTGTTGTTATATTTGGCACAGTCTCCTCACTCACAAGAGTTTTGTAAACATGTATTTTGTATTAAATACTTTCTGGTCTTTCTGGTGGTCTCATGAAGAGGGAGTGTTGAGAGGGAGAGAGCTCCACTTCCTGCACTCTTCTACCAGCTGATCTTTTGCTCTCCTGGCTCCAACATGGTGGAATGAGCTCCCCATTGACCTCAGGACAGCAGAAAGCTCACACAGCAGAGCAGACTGAAGACTCATCTCTTTCCACTCCACTTTGAGCGATAGAATTACTAACAAATCACTTATATACTAACAAAGGACTGGCTTATCTAAAGCCTGGTGAGTAGCACTTGAAATGTTCTGGCTCTATGAAACCTGATGTACTTATATGATTCTGTTTTCTTCAAGTTTGTATCTTCCTGGTCGAATGCACTTATTGGAAGTCTCTTTGGAGAAAAGCCTCAGCTAAATGCAATGTCATGATCTGTACTCCGTTATCATCTGTACTGGTGGCTGTGTGTTGTCCTCTCTAGTTACACCATGGGGACGCTGTGACACCATGGTGACACCATGATGTCACCATGGTTTCTTGTGAATGTCAGCACACAGAAACTCTAAGATCAGGATGTTTGGACTCGTCTGTTACGCCCGGTGAGAAAGCACTTCCTGATGTTTTATATGTTGAGTGATTTGAAAGTCTTACGTACGGAAGAGGATGAGGGCCACATGTGGAAACGTTTTGAGATCTGACCAAAAATAAAAAATAATTTGAGTTTTGAGAAAAAAGTCAGAAATCTAAGAAAAAAAAATCAGAATTCAGATTTTTTTCTTAGATTTCTGACTTTTTTCTCAAAACTCAACTTATTTAAAAAAATGTCTTCAGATCTCCAACATTACATGTCTACCTCATCCTCTTCCGTTGTTAAGGGTGACAGTACATTGTGACTGAAATGAACAGAAGATGCATGTAAAGAGTTTCCGTCAGAGAGCTACCAGCCGCTCTCTCCTCAGACTTTATTGATTTCTTTAGATTGAATAAGACTCTTACGGCTGACGGTGAGCTTGGCGGACACTCGGTCGTTCCCACACACGAACGTGTACTCGGCGGCGTCTTCTCGGCTCGTGTTGGTGATCTTCAGCTGGTGGAGTTTCCCCTGGACCACGATCCTGAACTTCTCGCTCATCTCGATGTCCACGCCGTTCTTCAGCCAGGTGGACGGCACGTTGAAGTGAGAGACCTCGCACTCGAAGGACGCCGTGTGCGTCTCTGGCACCGAGACACTCTTCAGAGGCTTGGTGACACGCAGGGCTGCAGGAATAACATAACAAGCAGACGTTAGAGACAATCTGTATCTCTACTAGGGCTGCACGATATTGGAAAAAACTGACATTGTGATATTTTCTTCCCCTGTGACAATTGGTATTTTTTTAACAATATTTAACCGGATGAAGGATTTTAGTCAGGGACTTCTGGATCTGAAGTTATCAGAGCAACAAGCTGAGCTAGCTCGGTTATCCTGCTGTGATCTGATCAAGAATGGTTGTAATCTCTTCTCTATCTTAAAGAGGCCATATACGGCACTGCAGGTGATTCAACTCTGTTACTATAATAATAATAATAATAATAATAATAATAATAATAATAATAATAACAGTTACCCTCCACAGTGAGCGTGGCGCTGCACTGCAGGTGTCCCACCACGGCGCTGTACTCCCCGGCGAGGCTCTGGTCCACGTTCTGCAGAACCAGCTTGTGGGCTTTGCGCTCCGACAGGATCTGGATCTTCTCGCTGGTCTTCAGCTCCGAGCCGTTGAAGGTCCATCGGACCGGGATGTCGTCGTGAGACAGACTGAGCTCGAAGGAGGCGGTGCCGCCCAGAAGAGACGTCACGTCCTTTATCTTCTTCACGATCTTAATCGCTGCAGGACATATTGAAGGTTAAAACAGGTCAATGCTAAACACTGTGACATGCTAACAGGTCAATGCTAAACACTGTGACATGCTAACAGGTCAATGCTAAACACTGTGACATGCTAACAGGTCAGTGCTAAACACTGTGACATGCTAACAGGTCAGTGCTAAACACTGTGACATGCTAACAGGTCAGTGCTAAACACTGTGACATGCTAACAGGTCAATGCTAAACACTGTGACATGCTAACAGGTCAATGCTAAACACTGTGACATGCTAGCAGGTCAGTGCTAAACACTGTGACATGCTAACAGGTCAATGCTAAACACTGTGACATGCTAACAGGTCAATGCTAAACACTGTGACATGCTAGCAGGTCAGTGCTAAACACTGTGACATGCTAACAGGTCAGTGCTAAACACCGTGACATGCTAACAGGTCAGTGCTAAACACTGTGACATGCTAACAGGTCAATGCTAAACACCGTGACATGCTAACAGGTCAATGCTAAACACTGTGACATGCTAGCAGGTCAGTGCTAAACATTGTGACATGCTAACAGGTCAGTGCTAAACACTGTGACATGCTAACAGGTCAATGCTAAACACTGTGACATGCTAACAGGTCAATGCTAAACACCGTGACATGCTAACAGGTCAGTGCTAAACACCGTGACATGCTAACAGGTCAGTGCTAAACACCGTGACATGCTAACAGGTCAGTGCTAAACACTGTGACATGCTAACAGGTCAATGCTAAACACTGTGACATGCTAACAGGTCAATGCTAAACACTGTGACATGCTAACAGGTCAGTGCTAAACACTGTGACATGCTAACAGGTCAATGCTAAACACTGTGACATGCTAACAGGTCAATGCTAAACACTGTGACATGCTAACAGGTCAATGCTAAACACTGTGACATGCTAACAGGTCAATGCTAAACACTGTGACATGCTAACAGGTCAGTGCTAAACACTGTGACATGCTAACAGGTCAATGCTAAACACTGTGACATGCTAACAGGTCAATGCTAAACACTGTGACATGCTAGCGCCTATATGAAGATGTTATTGCCTATTAATGTGTGCTTTATTATTATTAGCAAATCTTATGGACAGTAGATATTATTTTGTATGTCGTAAATTAGAATATTTATATTGTTATTAGCAAATAAATGCATATTGTAATTTTTTTAAATGTTACTCAAAAATATAAAAAAATACAAATAAATAAAAAATAAATAAAAAATAAATTATAATAATAATAATTTAAAATATAAAGTAGTATTAAAATCCCTCATAAGATACCCCGCCCCACTCACTCTCCACATTGAGCCGGGCGTTGGCCGACAGCTTCCCCAGCTTGAAGGAGTAGACCCCCTCGTCCTGCGTGCTGCAGCTCTTCACCCTCAGAGTGTGCACGGTTCCCTCGGAGAACATCTGGAACTTGTCGCTGTTCTGCAGCTCGACTCCGTTCCTGATCCACTGCGAGCCCTTCACCCCGCTGTGCGTCAGCTCCAGAGAGAACAACGAGTCCTGGGTCTCCGTCACCGTCTGGTTCCTCAGGGTCTTCTTCATCTTCACCGCTGCAGGTCAGGAACACAGAGACCATCAGGAACACCACCAGGTGGCGCCGGAGGCACACTACAGTCCCCTCAAAGCAGCATAACACCAGGAACCACACGGCAACGAGAGGCTTCAAATGTTCCTGAAGTCACTCAATGTTTTATTTTGAATCCACTACGCTCCCAAACTGTGGCAAATTCTACCAAGAAAAATGTGTATTATTAATATAATAATAATAATATAAGAAAACAAAGCTCTTAATTAGCAATATCCCGCTTTTACTGTCTTTATATTTTATTAATTTATTGTATCATTGTTTTTTATTTATTTTAATATTTGTTGTTAATTTATTTTTTATTTTATTATATTTATTATTTCTTCCATTTATTAATATGTATTTATTTAATTTGATGTGCAGATGAAGATGTGTCCTGCAGGGGGCACCAGAGGGACACTAAAGACCCTCAAAGTAGTCAAAAGTATCCATCCATCCATCTTCTCCCGCTTCTCCGTGGTCGGGTCTCGGAGGTATCAGTTCCAGCAGAGAGCCCCAAACCTTCCTCTCCCATCATCAACCAGCTCTGACTGGGGGGTCCCAAGGGGCTCCCAGGCCTCATCAACCAGCTCTGACTGGGGGGTCCCAAGGGGCTCCCAGGCCTCATCAACCAGCTCTGACTGGGGGGTCCCAAGGGGCTCCCAGGCCTCATCAACCAGCTCTGACTGGGGGGTCCCAAGGGGCTCCCAGGCCAGAGGAGAGGTATAATCCCTCCACCTGGTCCTAGGTCTACCCCTTGGTCTCCTCCCAGCTGGACGTGCCTGGAACACCTCTCTAGGGAGGCGCCCAGGTGGCATCCTTACTAGGTGCCCGAAGGAGTCAAAAGTATATATTTATATATTTAAAGTAAAGGCATGTCTGGTATGTTTCATAATTTATATAAATAGATCAAATATAATGATAATATTTGCAGGTAAAAACCCTCTATTAAGAGAAAAAAGGGAAGAAAATCTGAATTCGGAGATTTTTGAGAAAAATTGTAAACTCACCCCCCACCCCCTGTTGTTGTTACTCCTCCCCCCCCCCCCCTCTGTTGTTGTTGTAACTCACCCCCCACCTCCTGTTGTTGTTACTCCTCCCCCCCCCCCCCCTCTGTTGTTGTTGTTGTAACTCACCCCCCACCCCCTGTTGTTGTTACTCCTCCCCCCCCCCCTCTGTTGTTGTTGTAACTCACCCTCCACCCTCAGGGTGGCGCTGGTCTTGGAGCTGGACACCTGGTAGCTGTACTCCCCCACGTCCTGCGGCCTGGTGATGAAGATGAGCAGCCGGCGGACGCAGCCCTTCGTCTCGCTCGTCACGTTGTCATTGAAGTCGACCGGCTGACCTTCTCTCAGCCAGCGACCTTCAGCTGAGGCGTTGGCGACCTCGCATTCAAGCACCGCCGTCTGGGACTCTGCCACCGTCACGTCCTGCAGAGGCACCGTGATGGCGCCCCCTGGAGGAGGAACACGGAAACACAGGGTCAGGACTCAGGGGTTTCTCTTATCAGGTAGAAACGCTTTATTATCAAAGACAATTATCAAAGAATATTGTGTCGTAAATGTGTAAAATTACTACCTGGTTCAAAGAGAATAATTCACGCTTTTCTGGTGATTTTCTTCGTTTTTTTTTTACTTTATCCATTTAATATTAGAAATATTCAAGTTTTTTTATTGTGAGAAAAGTGACATTTACCACTTTAATTCAATAACAATCAGATTTCTTATAACGAAAATGCCTACTCTTTAATATCAGAAATATTCAAGTTATTTTCTCGTGAATTTGTATTTTTTTATCGGTTATTATTGGAGTTTTTGTACCTATTTTCCCATTAAATGTACGTTTTTTATAGGAAATCTACCATTTTAATATTAGAAAACATTGAAGTTTTTTAAGTCTGGTAAATGTACTTATTTCATATCAGTGAATAATAAAGTTTTGATCCTAAATTGACCTCAGTAATCCCTCCCTCTAAATCCTAAAAACTGTTTCAGGATTTGTATTTTGAAAAGCATGTAACTTTTTATTTTTTTTATTTTTGTATTATATCATAACTTAGTACTTTTTTCTTAACATATGTAACATGAAGCTGTCTGTGGCTCTTTCCTGCTGTAACGATGCAAATGTCCGCTCTGTGGGACTAATAAAGGGATTCTGATTCTGATTGCTCTCCGTTATATTATATATCATATTGACACGTGTCTCTTGATAAGGTCTAAGAGGTGCAGTTTACCGGAGACGGTGAGTTTGGCACTGCACGTCTTCTCTCCGGCGTGGAAACTGTACGCTCCCTCTTCGTCCTTCATGGTGTTCACGACGGTCAGAGAGTGCTTCTTGCCGCTGGACTCCATCTTGTATTTGGGTCCGGCTTTGAGCTGCTGGTTCCTGAAGGTCCAGAGCGGGTCGATGCCGGCGTGGGAAACCTCCACGCTGAAGGTCACGTTCTGAGACTCGGAGCACACCTTATCCTCCATCTGCTTCACGATGTGCACCTCTGAGGAAACACAGCAGGGGGGGGGGGGGGGGTTACCGTCAATCTGTTACCAAAGTCATTATGCTGATCTTAAATTATAGAATGTTATTTTATCCTACACTATAGTTTCTGGAGTTGTATGATCTAGAGAAAGGCATGCTTTTTTGTTTTTACAGACAACTTTAACACCATTCAAACGTTGCCACATGAGTAATCTTCACATTATTTCTCTAACAGTCTGCTTGTCATTGCTAATGGAGCCAGAATATAAGCCTCTCTGGCTCCATTTGACCAATCCATTGCTGTCAGAGTTGTCCCTCGAGCTTGTCTGGAAGTGCACAACAAGAATTGCTCAATTGCATGTATCAACATTCCTGTTTCCATAATGCTGTCACGTCAATGTTTCCTTATGTTGTCAGGAAGTGTCCTAAAATAGGTTTCAAAGTTAGGCTTGTTCTGTTCAAATCATCCCTCTAGCTAAAGAAGGACACAGATCTGGGATCAGGAGCCAAGAGGAGGATTTCTGGAGGGTGAAATCGTACTTTCTACGGAGAGGCTGCAGCTGGTGTCCACCTTCCCGACCACCAGTTTGTATCGGCCCTCGTCGGAGGCGAAGGTCCGGTTGAAGACGAGCCTCTGCTTGGATCCCTTCGACACCATCTGCAGCCGATCGCTGGCCGTCAGCAGCTTCTCGTTCAGGTACCACTTCACCGAGAGAACGTCCTGCGCTGAGATCTTCGCCTCCAGCACCGCCTTGGTGCCTTCGACGGAGGAAACGTCCTTCAGCGGGTTCACGATGTCGATCGCTGCGAGGAAGGAGACGTAAAGACAATCAATGATCTGACGCCAGAAACCAAAGAGAACCAAAGAGAACCAAAGATAACTAAAGATAACTAAGAGAGAAATCAAAGAAAGACATGATAAATCCAAAGGAAAGCTACAAGTCCAAATGAAAACTAATCAAATCTGCATAACATCAGGACGAATGCAAAGAGAGCCAGGATCAAATCAAGTCCAAAGGAAACTAAATGAAACCAAAGAGAATCCCAATCAAACAGTAATAACAGTCCAAAATGCCCCAGAAACCCCAGCACGCCCCTAAAGCCGTGAGCGCCACTCACTCTGCACGCTGAGCTTTCCGGAGGTGGAGATGTCCTGAGCCGGCACGATGAAACCGTACGAGGCGGCGTCCTCGCGGCTCACGTTCTCCAGCAGCAGCTTGTGGATCTGTTTGTCGATGACGATGTGGACTCGGTCCGAGGCGATGACGGCTGTCCCGTTCTTCATCCAGCTGCCCTCCACGTTCTCCTGGGAGAAGCGGACCTCCAGCTGAGCGATGTCGCCCTCACACACCGTCAGGTCGCTGAGCGGCTGCATCAGGGTGACCGGGCGCACTGCGGGGGAGAAACAGATGTTATAATAACCAAAACTACAGGTAAATACAGACTTTACACAGACGTCATTATCTCAGGGTGCATCACCGTCACCGGGCGCACTGCGGCGGAGAAACACAGCAACATGATATCCAAATGTTATCCAAATGATATCCAAATGATATCTAAATGATATCCAAATGATATCTAAATGTTATCCAAATGATATCCAAATGATATCCAAATGATATCCAAATGTTATCTAAATGATATCCAAATGATATCTAAATGATATCCAAATGATATCCAAATGTTATCTAAATGATATCCAAATGATATCCAAATGTTATCCAAATGTTATCTAAATGATATCCAAATGTTATCCAAATGTTATCCAAATGATATCTAAATGATATCCAAATGTTATCCAAATGATATCCAAATGTTATCCAAATGTTATCTAAATGATATCCAAATGTTATCCAAATGATATCCAAATGATATCTAAATGATATCTAAATGATATCCAAATGTTATCTAAATGTTATCTAAATGATATCCAAATGTTATCTAAATGTTATCTAAATGATATCCAAATGTTATCTAAATGATATCTAAATGATATCCAAATGTTATCTAAATGTTATCTAAATGATATCTAAATGATATCCAAATGTTATCCAAATGTTATCCAAATGTTATCCAAATGTTATCCAAATGATATCCAAATCCAAGTTAGAACAATATTTAGTGTAGGCAAAATATGTGAAAATATCTGAGCTATTGTGGAACTGTAGGGATTACAGATCCTCTTTAAAAAAGATCACATCATGATCATTTGACTCAATGATAATGTGAGTAAGTTATAAATGATCATTCCCAGATGATATCCCAGTTGGTTAAAGGCGTCTTATGCTTACGCTTCATCTTCAGGGAGGCGCTGGTCTTCAGCTCTCCACACACAAAGGTGTATTTCCCCTGGTCTGTCTTCTTCACGTCTTTCACGGACAGGGATTGGCGTCCTCTGCGGGAGGAAATGACGTATTTGCTGCTGGGGGAGATCTCCTTGTCTCCGAAGAACCAGCTGCCCTCAGTGTCTTCACGAGAAAGCTCCACCTCGAAGTCTCCGGAGTAGGTCTCCGGCACCTCGATGTTCTCCAGGTGCTTTTTCAGCTCCAGGGCAGCACCTGGGTACAGAAAGGTATCAGACACCATCACACACCAAGATACAACCAAACTCAACTCAAGAAACAAAGAAACCTGAGATTAAACCAAAGCAAAGATCATAATGAGAAAGTAAGCCATGATAACCCCATGAAGCGACGGGTACCTTCTACGTGGAGCCGGGCGCTGCTCCTGATGCTCTCCTCTTCTATAACCACACACGAGTACTCTGCGGCGTCCTTCATCTGGATCACCAGCACCGACAGGAAGTGGACCTTTCTGTCAGAGTGCATCCTGTACTTGTCTCCGGAGAAGATCTCCATGTTGTTCTTCAGCCATTTGACTTTGACGAAGGGCTCGTTGGTCTCACACTCGAACGTTACTATGGTGTCCTTCTCGTTGGCGCTGGTGTCCTCCAGGTTCTGGATGAAGTTCACCACTGCCTTGGCTGCAACGAGGAGATATCACGTTAGACTTTAATTAGGATTCACGCCTCGTTTGCTCACAAGTTTAGTTTAGTGTCTGCAGTCCCTGATCGTTTAGACGGGGGAACCCCTTCTGTCGTCTTCCATGGGACAAATCAAGTTAGACAACACATTTCTCTGATCCCTGAACTTTGTCAATTTACTCCTGATAACCAATTAAGGTGCTCTTCAATGAAAGAGCAACTAAAACCCCAAACAATGTCCAGTTCACTTTTTATAAAAGCTTGTTTGTCAGAAACATTGGAGGCTCTATGGTCAAAGTAAAAACAGCACAAGAAGATGAACAGCATCTGGGTATAAAGACTAAGAAAGATGGATTTTAAACGTACCACCAGAGTACCTGGGATGTTTGACTGTGGTTTGACTCGGACTCGTACACTGAGCTTTGTGGAAACAAGGCGATAGACAATGAGCTGGAGGTATGTGTTAAAATGTCTTACCTTGCACCAGCAGGAAGGCGTGGCTGGAGGCCTCCCCGGCCACGTTCACGGCTTTGACCATGATGCTGGCGGAGTCCTCTGTGGTCACGTCTCTGATCACCAGTTCACACAGGTGGTCCTCCGGCCAGTACCAGAAGACACGCTCCGTCTTCTCCATCAGGACGCCGTTCTTGAACCACTGGACCTCGGGCTCCGGTCTGCCGACGACTCTCAGTGTGAAGCGAACCTCGTCCATCGGAGCGACGGTCTTGCTCGTGATGCGTTCGAGGATCTTCGGTGCCTCCATGCTCGGGGAGAGCTGGACCCTCTCGGGCTTGAAGGTGGGGATGGTGATTTGTCCCTGTTCCTCCAACAACTTCCTCTCTGCTTCTTCCTTCTCCTTCAGTCTGTGAAGCAGGTCGTCTTTGGTCTTCTTCAGCAGATCCTCGTAGGAGTCGTCCCTCTTGCGGGACTTGAGGTCCACGGCGGAGATGGACTCGTAGAAACCTTCCTCCGTCCTGCGCTTGAACTTGCTCTTCAGTTCGTCTGTCTCCTCCGAAGTCTTTTCGTGAACCACTCTCTGGGTCTTACGCAGTTTAACCACCTCCCGATCCTGCGCTGACTCGCTGGTCTGATCCACTTTCATCACGTCAAACCCGACTCTGCCGGGGTCTTGAGCCGCCTCTGCAGCTTTCTGTTCTGGAGCGCGGCGCAGCACGGATCTGAAGTCCTCCTTCTGTTGGATCTCGATCTTCACAGTGTGCTCAGTCGTGCCGAGAGGATTGTCCGCAACCACCCTGACCTCGCCGGTGTCGTAGGACTTCACGTCGACGATCTCCAGGTAGTAGATACCGTCGTACTTGAGCCTGTATCTCTTGCTTTTGCGGATGAGTTGCCCGTTGAGGTACCAGTTGACCTTTGGTAACGGGTAACCGGTGACTCTGCAGCGGAATCGGGCAATTTCGCCTTCAAAGGCTCTGGCGGCTTCAGGAAGAAGCACGATCTCAGGTTTGCTCTTTTCATATTCGTCATCAGTGGTGACGCCTGCAGGTCCGCCCTCGTGAGCAATGCGCTCAAACTCTTCCATCCGGTGTCCACCCTTCCTGCCTTCAGGGAGCTGAGACTCCTCCACCAGGCCTTTCTCGTCTTTCACGATCAGCGTGGCGGACGTCTGGTCCGCCCCGTACTTGTTTGTGGCTCTGCAGGTGACCACGCCGCTGTCTCTGGCGTACGCCTCTTCGTAGTCCAGACTGCAGTATCCGAACTCGTTGACCATGCGCAGCCTGTTGGCCGCCTCCAGGGGTTTCCCGTCATGCAGCCACTCCACCACCATGGTGGGGTCTCCGATGGGCGTCAGCCGGCACTCGAAGTGAGCCGGGCTTGAGCGCTTCATCCTGATGGAGGTCAGCTTCTTCTTGAACTGGGGCTTCTGCTGCTTCTCCTTGTCGTACAGGTCGCCCTCCTCCCACTGGTCCTGGCCGTAACGCTGGTGCAGGGGCTCCAGCTCGGGCGCTGCGATGTCCTTAGCTTTGTAGGTTCCTTTGGTGATGATGTGCCTCCTCTCGGCTTGAGGAGCGGCGAAGTCCACCTCCACGTTGACCCTGCAGCGGGTGGTGTCTCTGCCGGCCTTGTTGATAGCGGTCGCTGTGTACCAGGCGCTGTCTGTGCCTGAGGACGATGGGATCTGGAATTTGGCCTGTCCTTTAGTTCCCTCAATCCTGAAATGCAGATATATTGATCAGCACAAACTGCTCTCAGGGATCAGAGAATCAAAGACCAAATCAGAGATACTTACTTGATATGTGGGTGCTTCTGTGGGGAGACGATGTCGCTGTTCTTCAGCCAGACGATGTCGGGCAGGGGGTTTCCGATGGCTTTGACAGCCAGCTCCACCAGAGTGCCCTGCTTCACTGTGAGGTTCTTCAGCTTATCAATAAACTGAGGACGTGCCAGACTTTCACGAGCTGTGGAGGGGGAAATAAGAAAGGCAGAGATCATTTAATAACATCGAACTGTGCCATCGCGAGTATTTGTTTATATCTGTTTCTGACATACCTTCCACAGAGAGAGTCAGAGCGATGGAGGTGCGTCCGGCTCGGTTCTGGGCGATCACGGTCCACTCTCCGGAGTCCTGTGGCATGGCGGGGACGATGATCAGGGACTGGATACCGTCCTCTTTAACCACTATCTTGTGTGTGTAGTCATTTCCAACTTGTTGTCCTGGGAAAACAAGGATACAATGGTTTTAGGGTCGGCAGAAGCAACACACATCGAGCCGAGTCTTTCTAGAATAAGTTGTTTCTCTCACCGTTGTGGAACCAGAATGTGTCGGGCATCGGTCTGCCGACGACCTTCAGGTCAAATCTGGCGGTCTGCCCCTCGGAGCATTTGACGGAGGAAGGTTTGAGGACGAACACGGGTTTGTAGAGTCTCTCCAGCTGAGCCTCGTCGGTGTCGTCCAGCCGGCGGGACGGAGAGCGTCCGGGCGAACGGCTGGCAGAGCGTCCAGGAGACCGGCTCATAGAGCGAGGAGACGAGGATCTGAGGAAGCGGAAAAATCAACAAGTTAATGGAGGAGTCTGCTTTGGTCCAGGTCCTGAAGGCAGACATTTCAGATACAATGGAGGCTAGTATTCTTCCATAACATGTGTTCTTTCAGATTAGAGGAAATAAAACACTAACTCAAGGGTTTATTTCACTAACTTTGTCTTTGTCTCTAGATTTCTACCAAATGCTAGCATTAGCCTCAATAGCATACAAAGACATTCAGAAAACTTGGAGAATAAAGGTTTTCTGATTCTGAATATAAAGAAATGATAGTCTGAGTGTCAGTAATGAAGAGGGGAAGTTTAATGGTGATATCTGTTTGTTAAAGTGTTGTACCTGATTCTCTGCATGGCCGGTTGGGGGGTGTATCTCTGGGGGGTCACGGTTCCGGACGGCTCCACGTAGAGCTTCCCGGAGCTGACGGAGTTCCCCTTCATGTTGCTGGCGAAGGCGGTGTAGACGCCCTCGTCCTCCGGCTGCACCACAGGGAGGCGCAGGCTGGCTCGTCCGTCCTGGAGAACCTCCATCTGGTGGCGGCCGCCGGCACGCAGGCGCTGCCCGTCTTTGAACCAGGCGATCTGCAGGAGAATACACAGATATGAGTTTAATAAAGCCAGGGTTCATGTTTTAAAGGTCACCTATTTAAAATCCACTCTTCATGTCTCTTCTACATCAACATGTGTCCCCTCTTCTACATCAACATGTGTCCCCTCTTCTTCATGTCTCTTCTACATCAACATGGAACAAAGATTCTCTCTCTTTTTGATCCATTTCTATAAAAACCTGTCTGAAAATGAGCTGATCAGATTTTGGCCACTTAATGATGTCATAACGATGTTTTGTCTTGTGTAACCATTAGCCAATCAGCAACCAAGGTAACCCCCTGTGTCTCCCGCAGTGTACCTTTGGGAGGGGGGTCCCGCTCATCTTGCAGTGGAAGGTAGCTCCCATGCCGTCGATGATTCTGTAGTTTTTGACGGGCGTCTGGAAGGCGGGCTGCACGGCTTCGTGCTCGGCCACCGTCACCATCAGCTCTCCGTCCTCCGTCACGATCTCTGTGTAGCTGATCCTCAGGATCCGCAGCTGCACCTCCTGGATGATCCGCTCCTCGAAGGAGGAGATCAGGAACTCCTGAGGAGGAGGCAGCGACAAATATTAAATATGAACATGGACTTATTTATTATGAGGATATCTCAGAGTCCTTTTCAACTGAGACATCATTAAATGATAACAACAATAATAAGTCTTTCATATTTCGTAGTTTGTGCTAGGCAAATAAAATCATATTATTTTGTTTAAGTCTTAAATAAATACACAAACAAACTGGTGTTCATTGTTTACACACTATTATCCCTCAGTTTCAGATGTGTTCATATATAAGTACTTTTCTTTGTCCTCACCCCATTCTAAAGCTCACCTTAGTGTCAGGCGACTTTGAGTCTATGAGACGCGCTATAGAAATACCATTTATTACTATCATTATTATTAATATGTTGAAATATTAAGTCTATAAAGACTGTTAAAAGAGCCCTGTTGTACTGGGGAAGGGGTACATGTGTAAATGTGTAAATGTGTAAATGTGTAATGTATTGATGTACACGTAGAGGGTAACGTACCGTTTCTGAGACGAAGCTCATGGGGGTGGTGACCCTCCGCTGCTCCATCTCGTACGCTGTCACCACGACCGCCGGCTCCGGCACCACCGCCGCCGTCACTTCAGTTTTATAGGTCACGTCCTGTTGCATCATGTAGGCTTCATATTCCTCTGCACACACACACACACACACACACACACACACACACACACACACACACACACACACACGTGAGACTCCGACCAATCAAAGCTTTCCTCAGTGAATCTAAATCAGAGGTGTCCAAACTACGGCCCGCGGACCATTTTGAATCGGCCCTCAGCAAATTCAAAAAGTATAATGACTTAAGTATAATACACTTCTGTTTGTACTTCTTAAATATATATGTTCAAATATATTACACAGTAGCATTCATGTGTTAATGAGCCCAATGTTTCAAATAAATTCACTCAATTAAAGCTGAAAACATGTTCTAACAAATCTAACTTGATAAGAAAAAAGCCCAATAACTTGTTAACAAGCGTGAAATAGACCCTCATATTTCCTGTGATTATAATCAATCTGAAGATCCTGCTTTAAGGAATGAGCTGCTGACAGAATAAAGTGAACCCTCTGGAGAGCTGGGAGCTGTTGTTTCTTAAAGCATCTTCAAGTAACAAGCATCCTTTACCTTCATCTGAGGTTTCTGACTTATAACTGAACTCATGAGGCAACATACCTCTAGAGAGCGGCCCAGACCTTTGTATATTTCTGTCTGTGGCCCTCGGGGAAAAGAGTGTGGACCCCCCTGATTTAAAGAGAAGACAGCTGGTTCAATAAGAGAGGAAGAGGAAGATGAAGATGATGGCGTACCTTCCTCCAGCAGGCGGGCGGTGGCAGAGGTTTCTCCATGTTGGTTCTTCAGGAAGACGGAGTAGTCTCCTGCATCGTCAGCGAAGGTCATGGTGATCTCCAGTTTGCACTCTCCGGTGTCCTTCTTGTAGGTCACTTTGTATCTGAAGGAAACATTATGAACACTTTTAGTCACTAACTATTGGCAGCAAGAACAAACACAAAAGATCCTTTGTGGTGGTTTCATCTATATATTAATAAACTTTATATGTGCTTCTTAAATGTGAACAGTAGCTATATCTGTCTATTACAGGCACAGAGTAGATGTAGTGGTATAAAGTATCTCAGAGTATACATGTGATGGTAAATGTGTGTATGTAAAGGTAATGTACATTTCATTTTAAAAATATTGAAAGAAGAAGAATTTTAAATATTTTTCTTAGAATTTGACTTTTTTCTTCAAAATGTCACTTTTTCCAGAATTTGAAATATTTTCTCAAAATGTCACCTTTTTCTTAAAATGTCACCTTTTTCTTAAAATGTCACCTTTTTCTTAAAATGTCACCTTTTTCTGAGAATGTAACTTTTTTTCAGAATGTAACTTTTTCTCAGGATATGACTTATAGTTCAGAATTAGAAATGGTATGATACCTGTATCCGGTGGTGAGGGGCACGCCGCTCTTCTTCCAGATGATGTGAGGTCTGGGGCTTCCTGCCACCTGACACTCGAACACCACGGCTCCTCCTTCCACCAGCTTCTGTACGCTGGGTTCCCTGATGAAGGAGGGAGGGGCGACCTCGCCCGACATCACCTCCGTCACCACGCTCTGCTCCATGGACACACTGAGGGAGGAACAGAAGCATTAATAACACAGGAGTAACACAACGACATCACCTCCGTCACCACGCTCTGCTCCATGGACACACTGAGGGAGGAACAGAAGCATTAATAACACAGGAGTAACACAACGACATCACCTCCGTCACCACGCTCTGCTCCATGGACACACTGAGGGACAAAATGTCAGTTTTTCCACAGAATTTGATATTTTTTTCCAAATTTGAAATATTTTTCTCAAAATTGGGAATATTTTCATAATTTCAAATATTCACAATTTGACTTTTTTCATAATTTAGCTTTCACTAACATGAACTTGCACATGAGGAGAATGGAGCCTCTTTAACAACTCACGTTTTCTCCTGAGTCATTCCCATTTCAGTCACAGTCGTCGTTTCCTCTCTGCTCTCAATCTCCTCTGACACTGCAACAGAAACAGCATGTTATGTGTGTGTGTGTGTGTGTGTGTGTGTGTGTCACAAAACAGCTAGAAAAAAACATGCAGGCAGTATTCAAAATGTATGTATGTTTTATATTTATTTCGCACTAATATATATATTTTTTTATTCACTTTTATTTTGAAGAACAAGCTTTCTGTAAGAATTCAGTTACCTTTTCAGGCATTTATTTTGAAAAACAAGCCTCATCCTAAGCTTCCAGTAAGGATAAAGAGACTTTTGTATGCTTTTATTGTGAAAACCAGCCTCATACTAAGCTTCGAGTTAGCATAAAGAGACTTTTATTTTGAAAACCAGCCTCATACTAAGCTTAGAGTTAGCATAAAGAGACTTTTATTTTGAAAACCAGCCTCATCTTAAGGTTTCTGTAAGAATTCAGTTACTTTTTCAGGCTTTTATTTTGAAAACCAGCCTCATACTAAGCTTCGAGTTAGCATAAAGAGACTTTTATTTTGAAAACCAGCCTCATCTTAACTTTCTGTAAGAATTCAGTAACTTTCGTATGCTTTTATTTTGAAAAACCAGCCTCCTCCCGTTACCTTTGACCAGCAGGTAGCAGGAGGTGCTGACGGTGCCCGCCTCGCTGGTGGCGGTGCAGGTGAAGCGCCCGCTGTCCTCGGCGAAGGCCTCTCTGATCACCATGCGGGCGAAGCCAGCGCTGAAGGTGAGCTGGAAGTCGATGCTGCTCTCGATCTTGTAGTCCTCTCTGAACCACATGATGCTGGGGGCGGGCTGACCTCCGATCTGACACTCCAAGGTCACGCTCTCGCCCTCGGTCACGTTCGTGTTCTTCAGACCCTGCAGAACACAAACATACCGATCAATAACAAGCACTGCAGCATACACACCGATCAATAACAAGCACTGCAGCATACACACCGATCAATAACAAGCATCTGTATCGATGCTCACCAAACTACGGTACGATGCAGCGTTCACTTTTTTCTCAGAATTGGACTTTTTTTCTTCAAAATTTGACTTTTTTTCTCAGAATTTGACTTTTTTTCTTCAAAATTTGACTTTTTTCTCAGAATTTGACTTTTTTTTCTTCAAAATTTGACTTTTTTCTCAGAATTTGACTTTTTTTCTTCAAAATGTGACTTTTTTCTCAGAATTTGCCTTTTTTTCTTCAAAATTTCACTTTTTTCTCAAAATTTCACTTTTTTCTCAGAATTTGACTTTTTTCTCAGAATTTGACTTTTTTTCTTCAAAATTTCACTTTTTTGTCAGAATTTGACTTTTTTTCTTCAAAATTTGACTTTTTTCTCAGAATTTGACTTTTTTTCTTCAAAATTTGACTTTTTTCTCAAAATTTGACTTTTTTCTCAGAATTTGACTTTTTTTCTTCAAAATTTGACTTTTTTCTCAGAATTTGCCTTTTTTTCTTCAAAATTTGACTTTTTTCTCAGAATTTGACTTTTTTTCTTCAAAATGTGACTTTTTTCTCAGAATTTGACTTTTTTTCTTCAAAATGTGACTTTTTTCTCAGAATTTGCCTTTTTTTCTTCAAAATTTCACTTTTTTCTCAAAATTTCACTTTTTTCTCAGAATTTGACTTTTTTCGCCCTCGGTCACGTTCGTGTTCTTCAGACCCTGCAGAACACAAACATACCGATCAATAACAAGCACTGCAGCATACACACCGATCAATAACAAGCACTGCAGCATACACACCGATCAATAACAAGCATCTGTATCGATGCTCACCAAACTACGGTACGATGCAGCGTTCACTTTTTTCTCAGAATTGGACTTTTTTTCTTCAAAATTTGACTTTTTTTTCAGAATTTGACTTTTTTTCTTCAAAATTTGACTTTTTTCTCAGAATTTGACTTTTTTTCTTCAAAATTTGACTTTTTTCTCAGAATTTGACTTTTTTTCTTCAAAATGTGACTTTTTTCTCAGAATTTGCCTTTTTTTCTTCAAAATTTCACTTTTTTCTCAAAATTTCACTTTTTTCTCAGAATTTGACTTTTTTCTCAGAATTTGACTTTTTTTCTTCAAAATTTCACTTTTTTGTCAGAATTTGACTTTTTTTCTTCAAAATTTGACTTTTTTCTCAGAATTTGACTTTTTTTCTTCAAAATTTGACTTTTTTCTCAAAATTTGACTTTTTTCTCAGAATTTGACTTTTTTTCTTCAAAATTTGACTTTTTTCTCAGAATTTGCCTTTTTTTTCTTCAAAATTTGACTTTTTTTCTCAGAATTTGACTTTTTTTCTTCAAAATGTGACTTTTTTCTCAGAATTTGACTTTTTTTCTTCAAAATGTGACTTTTTTCTCAGAATTTGCCTTTTTTTCTTCAAAATTTCACTTTTTTCTCAAAATTTCTCTTTTTTTCTCAGAATTTGCCTTTTTTCTCAGAATTTGACTTTTTTTCTTCAAAATTTCACTTTTTTGTCAGAATTTGACTTTTTTTCTTCAAAATTTGACTTTTTTCTCAGAATTTGACTTTTTTTCTTCAAAATTTGACTTTTTTCTCAAAATTTGACTTTTTTCTCAGAATTTGACTTTTTTTCTTCAAAATTTGACTTTTCTCAGAATTTGACTTTTTTTCTTCAAAATTTCACTTTTTTCTCAAAATTTGACTTTTTTTCTTCAAAATTTCACTTTATTTCAGAATTTGACCATTTTTTTCAAATTCCACTTTTTTCCTTCAAAATGTGACTTTATTTTACAAATGTTGACTTTTGAAAAAAGAAATGTAGAATTCAGAATGTTGTGACACTGAAGACTAGCAATGATTTCCCCCCTGAGTTATACAGTCTGTCTGCAGCTCAGAGAGTCCTGCTGTGAACCCGGAGATGTTGAGACCCCAAAGTGATACGATAGAAATGTTTAGTCGGGTCTCATAGAAGCTGCCCGATGCTAACCGGCATGTGTTGGGACATTAGCACAATTAGCATAAATTAGCATGTACAGACAATAGCTAAACAATGGCTTGGCCGACTAGGACAGTTTTGGAGTGGTTTTGGGGGTTATTGAGGATGCTGAGTCCATTTCTGACACTTTCAGGATCATAAAGAGCAGTTTTAACCAGAAACCGGCAATATCTGTACTCTCTGTGTGCTGATTTAATGCATGTTGTACTCACAGCAATAATAGTGGGAGGAACGACGGGCTCCTGGGCTATGGAGGGAACTGCAGCCGCCTCCTGAGGAACAACAACAACAACAACAGTTACACACAGGAGACTACAGGTGGGGATGGGGGGGGGGAGGGTCTGTGAGAGGGTGGAGGTCTGTGGAAATGGAGGTCTATAAGGATGGGGAGAAAGAAGTGGTTAAAACAGATAAACTCTGCAGAGACAGAGGGATGGAGGTGAACACAGGAAGTGGAGGTGAAGACAGGAAGTGGAAAGTGCCAATGGAGACAGGAAGTGGAAAGTGCCAATGGAGACAGGAAGTGGAAAGTGCCAATGGAGACAGGAAGTGGTGATGAAGACAGGAAGTGCTAAATCAATGAGGTGATGATTGAACTCCCAAGGGGGTTAGTTGAAGGCTGTGATTGGATCCCACCAACCTGTGGCTCCCAGTCTTCAAACTCCTCCTCACTAGCGCCCCCCGTCTGATATCTGGGGTCTCTGAAGGGGGGCGGCAGGGGCTCGGGGGGCACGCTCGCCCCCCGCCTGCGGGACGGGCTGGGAGACTTCACTGGTTTGATGATCCTTCGGGGGGAGAGGGGGGAGACGGGGGAGGAGAACTCTCTGTGGAGAGCCGCCATGGCCGAGCCTGCGATGGAGACCTGGCCGAGCCAATGAGAGGGAGGCATGAGAACGATAATGGTACGGGGAGAAAACAGTGAGAAAACGATAATGGTACGGTGAGAAAACGATAATGGTACGGTGAGAAAACGAAAATGGTACGGTGAGTTTATTTTGTATGTACTTTATATTCTTTGTCTTCAATTGCTCCTAAAATGTTGGCATATTAGTAATTAGTTAATTGATAACGTGTGTTTGTGAGGGTTGTGTGTTGTTGTTGTTGTTGTGCATCGTATAGCATGCTGTTTGTGAAGCCAGGAGAAAGGCAAGTATATGTTTGTATTAGGGCTGTCAGTCGATTTAAATAGTTAATCGCGATTAATCGCAAATTAATCGCACATTTTGTATCTGTTCTAAATGTACCTCTAGAGCATAGAGGAAGAACGTGATGTCTGTTTGTTTGTTTGTTTGTTTGTTTGTTTGTTTGTTTATGAAGGTCACAGTGAATCGCACGCCTGTACGTTGTTTAGGTGTCTCTGTTAGAGGTGAGATGGAGGGTTTTGAGGTGATGATGATGATGATGATGATGAAGGCCTCCTCTTACCTCCAGGCTCGCTTCAGGTTTAGGAACAGAGACTTTAGAAACTGTGAAGTGAGGAACCGGAGACGGTTCTGCAGAGATCTGGATCTGAGACGGGATCTGGATCTGAGACGGGATCTGAGACGGGATCTGGATCTGAGACGGGATCTGAGATGGGATCTGGATCTGAGACGGGATCTGAGACGGGATCTGGATCTGAGATGGGATCTGGATCTGAGACGGGATCTGAGACGGGATCTGGATCTGAGACGGGATCTGAGACGGGATCTGAGACGGGATCTGAGACGGGATCTGGATCTGAGACGGGATCTGAGACGGGATCTGAGACGGGATCTGAGACGGGATCTGGATCTGGGACGGAATCTGAGACGGGATCTGGATCTGAGACGGAATCTGAGACGGGATCTGGATCTGAGACGGGATCTGAGACGGGATCTGAGACGGGATCTGGATCTGGGACGGAATCTGAGACGGGATCTGGATCTGAGACGGGATCTGAGACGGGATCTGAGACGGGATCTGAGACAGGATCTGGATCTGAGACGATTCTTCAGAGATCTGGATCTGAGAAACTGCTCTGACGTTTGTCTCCGTAGCTTCAGTAGAAAGACTTTTCTCCACAACAACAACTTCCTGTTTCTCCTCCGTTGTTGTCTCCACTTCCTGTTGTTGTTGTTGTTGTTGTTGTATCTCCACCTCTACCTCTTCTTCTGCAGCTCCACTGACGGGCTGACGGACGCGAGCGAGGTCGACAGCGGCGACAACCGTGGCCACTGCCGTCGCTTTACCCCCCCCTTCAGCCTGGAGACAAAACACACAGCTCAGGACCTCCAGAGCAGCTGAAAACACACTTTAAATATACACCACAGAAGAAGAAGAAAGAAACAGGACCCCCAGAGCAGGACATCTGAAAACACACTTTAAATACACCACAGAAGAAGAAACAGGGCCATGCATCGTGCAGCTTAAAAAATATATATTAATAATATGCATTTATTCCATTTGTTTATTTACGTTTATTTATAAATATTTTTAAATAATATTTCCCCTTCAAGTAGTTGCAAGAAATTGGGGAAAATAATTTAATCAATGAATAAAAATAAATATATAATAAAGAAATGTATAAAAAATGGTGCATAATTGTTGAATTAGTGGCGAAATGAATCCAAACCTCTCTGCTCAGCTCCATCATCATGGAGGAGCTGCTCTGCTCCATCATCATGGAGGAGCTGCTCTGCTCCATCATCATGTGGGAGGAGGAGGAGGAGGTGCTGACGGAGGTGAAGCTGCTCTCAGCCTGCAGGCCGGAGTGCTTCCATGGGGGGGGAACCTCCGCAGGGGAGGACAGCTGCAGGGGGGGAGGGGGGGGGGGGCGTTAGTTTCACTTTACAACACTAGGGTCCTAAAATAACACATTCCTGCAGAGAGAGAGAGCTGACTCTCTGGGCCTAGAGAGGGTAACAGATACATGGAGGGGGTCGTTTCCTGTGTGGTCCACAAGAGGGAGCCACTACCATGTGTGTGTGTGTGTGTGTGTGTGTGTGTGTGTGTGTGTGTGTGTGTGTGTGTGTGTGTGTGTGTGTGTGTGTGTGTGTGTGTGTGTGTGTGTGTGTGTGTGTGTGTGTGTGTGTGTGTGTGTGTGTGTGTGTGTGTGCAGCATAAAAGAAAACAAGGTATTGCACATAATTAGAAATTAAAAGAGTTGAAATAAACAATTCTAAAATAGAAACATCTTAAAATAGAAATAGAAAAGAAACCAGCGTTAGAGAGCAAGACAAATATACAGATGACCGTGAAGATAACAAATCTATAAACTGTCTGACAAATAAAAACACTGTTGAAGGGCTGCTAGGTGCTAAGTGCTAGATGCTAGCTGCTAGGTGCTAGGTGTTAAGTGCTAGGTGCTAAGTGCTAAGTGCTAGGTGCTAGCTGCTAGGTGTTAAGTGCTAGGTGCTAAGTGCTAGCTGCTAGGTGTTAAGTGCTAGGTGCTAGGTGCTAGCTGCTAGGTGCTAAGTGCTAGGTGCTAGCTGCTAAGTGCTAGGTGCTAAGTGCTAGGTGCTAGCTGCTAGGTGCTAGCTGCTAGGTGCTAAGTGCTAGCTGCTAGGTGCTAGCTGATAGGTGCTAAGTGCTAGGTGCTAGCTGCTAAGTGCTAGGTGCTAGCTGCTAGGTGCTAGCTGCTAAGTGCTAGGTTCTAGCTGCTAGGTGCTAGCTGCTAAGTGCTAGGTGTTAGGTGCTAAGTGCTAGGTGCTAAGTACTAGCTGCTAGGTGCTAGCTGCTAAGTGCTAGCTGCTAGGTGCTAGGTGTTAGGTGCTAGGTGCTAGGTGCTAAGTACTAGCTGCTAAGTGCTAGGTGCTAAGTACTAGCTGCTAGGTGCTAGGTGGCAGCAACTCCCTGTGTCTTATATAAATCATTCAATAAACCCATAGCCGCAGGGTGTGTGCTGGACGTTAATGAGGATAAACTGAGATAAACGTCCTCACCTGTTTGCGGGATATGACGGGAGACTTCACAGGTCTGATGGAGGGGACAGAGGCTCTGGAGGAGGGGGACACGGGTCTGCAGGACACAGGGAACAGAGACATTAAAGAACCACTGAGCAAAGAGACGTTTCTGCAGAGGTGGGAAGTAGTGGAGTACAAATACTTTGTTATTGTATTTAAGTACATGTTTCTGGTATCAGTACTTTACTTCACTACTTATTTTTCTGACCACTTTTTACTTTGACTTCTTACATGTTGAACACAAATACCTGTACTTTCTACTTCTTACATTTTGAACACAAATACCTGTACTTTCTACTTCTTACATGTTGAACACAAATACCTGTACTTTCTACTTCTTACATGTTGAACACAAATACCTGTACTTTCTACTTCTTACATGTTGAACACAAATACCTGTACTTTCTACTTCTTACATGTTGAACACAAATACCTGTACTTTCTACTTCTTACATGTTGAACACAAATACCTGTACTTTCTACTTCTTACATGTTGAACACAAATACCTGTACTTTCTACTTCTTACATTTTGAACACAAATACCTGTACTTATCTACTTCTTACATTTTGAACACAAATACCTGTACTTTCTACTTCTTACATGTTGAACACAAATACCTGTACTTTCTACTTCTTACATGTTGAACACAAATACCTGTACTTTCTACTTCTTACATGTTGAACACAAATACCTGTACTTTCTACTTCTTACATGTTGAACACAAATACCTGTACTTTCTACTTCTTACACTTTGAACACACAAATATCCTTGAGTAAAGGATGTGTGTACTTCTACTTGAGTTAAGGATGTGTGTACTTCTACTTGAGTAAAGGATGTGTGTACTTCTACTTGAGTAAAGGATGTGTGTACTTCTACTTGAGTTAAGGATGTGTGTACTTCTACTTGAGTAAAGGATGTGTGTACTTCTACTTGAGTAAAGGATGTGTGTACTTCTACTTGAGTAAAGGATGTGTGTACTTCTACTTGAGTTAAGGATGTGTGTACTTCTACTTGAGTAAAGGATGTGTGTACTTCTACTTGAGTAAAGGATGTGTGTACTTCTACTTGAGTAAACGATGTGTGTACTTCTACTTGAGTTAAGGATGTGTGTACTTCTATTTGAGTTAAGGATGTGTGTACTTCTATTTGAGTTAAGGATGTGTGTACTTTTGCCATCTCTGCTTATAAGTAAAAGTATATAAAGTATAATTAGTATATAAAGTGTGTTTGTGTCACCTGACGGGGGCGGGCTGTGGGCCCTTCACGTGACGGACAGGTGAAGGAGACTGGTGCCGGCCCCCTCCCACCTTAGAGACGTAGGACTGAGGGGAGCGGGAGGTGGGTTTGGGGGGAACCCTCGGGGGGGTTTTGTGAGACAGGTGCTGGGTCATCATTCCTGATTCCACATGCATCTCCATCATGGAGGAGGACTGGAAGCTGGCCTCCATCTTCTGCGGAGAAACAGGGACAGCGTTCAGCTTTAGTGGAACCTTATTATAACATGTGCTACAGGGGGCTGCGACTGAGGACAGGTCTGCAGATTCACTAAGATGATAGAAAATATGAGAAAAACGCCCGTTCCAGTTCCTCAAAGTCTATTCTGCAGAGAAACAGTGACACCTTTCAGCTTTAGTGGATGTTACGTGCCAGGCAGGCTGTACTTGTGTGATTCTCCTTCCCTCCTGTTTTTCTCTTCTCCCTGTCTTCTGCACAGCTAATCAGCAGTTGATGAGGACCTGCCTGTGCACCAGAGTCTGATGGCTGATTGGATCCTCTCACCCTCAGCTGGCCTATCAGCAGCCAGGGCCGACCATAAAGGAGGCACCCAGGAAGTCTTCTCGCTCTCTCACTCTGGGTAGATTGCTGCTGGAGGAGCCTGCAATTGACTGCCTTGTAGAGAAAACATTTCTCTTTATTTTGTATAATCTTTGTTGAAAGTGTGTGTGTTGAGAGGTGGAGTAGTTAGGTAAGTCTGGGGTACCCTGTACACTTCTCATCACGTAGATAACTAATGTTAAGACACACTAGGTTAGCGGATTGTTGCCACCCCTGTATTCTGTTTTTGTCCAATTCTGAGTAGTTTAGTTAGTGAGGGTTTTTGTTTGAGTTTTGGTTTCAAAGGATAGACGTAGAGATAGGCTTGGTTTTGTTATGCTTGTTTCTTTTGTTTGGCACAATCCTTCAACTCCTCCTCCTCCTCACACACAGAGTATTTCTGTAAGGTTCTGTTCAGTTTAAAAGGTTTACAAGAATAAACCTTTTGTCAAACCTTTACGCTGACTCTCATTTTATTGGTTGTTGTGTGTTATTGTCTCCAGGTCCCCTAGACCTTAGTGGGGACGTAACAGTGGATCATTATGGATCTGTTTTATTTATTTACTTGTATTACTGCTTACTGATTTCTATTCCTTTCCATTTCTATGTATATACTGTTATATTTCACTATATTTCTAGTTCTCTATCTGTTAGTTTTACTTTGATGTATGCACCATGACATCAAGTCAAATTCCTCGTATGTGCCGACCTACCTGGTGATAAACCTGATTCTGAAACTAATGATAGGTCTGCAGATTCACTTATAAATTAATAGTTTGGGGTATAAGATGTTAGAAAATATTGAAAAACGTTCCTCCCAGTTCGTCTAAATCTAAGGGGATTACTTGAACTCCTCCAGGTTGCAGATTGTATAGGTATTTAACGGGTTAGAGAGGATGAGAGTGGTTCTGATATCAGGTGTGTTGTCTCTCAGGTGTGTTGTCTCTCAGGTGTGTTGTCTCTCAGGTGTGTTCTCTCTCACCCTCTGCACGGTGCTTTGGGAGGAGGCGGCCATCTGAGACGTCACGATCGTCTTGGTTTTCTTCACCGGCACGGCTTCCTCACCTGCAGCGGGAAACAGAGAAAGACTTTCATTAGATTTCTGACGCAGGGGAAGTCGACTCAGAAACATAGCTGGTTATCTTCGACCAAAAACACATTTAAACTCTCTGAGATAAAAGTTTTAAATTAAAGGAAGTAAACTTTAATTTTGTTGATAACATTCAGAAATGTAGAATTTATAGAAATTGTTGGTAATAAATATATAAACTTGTATTTGTATCTAGGCTAACAGTGTCCCTGCTTCATGTCTTTATGCTAAGCTAGGCTAACAGTGTCCCTGCTTCATGTCTTTATGCTAAGCTAGGCTAACAGTGTCCCTGCTTCATGTCTTTATGCTAAGCTAGGCTAACAGTGTCCCTGCTTCATGTCTTTATGCTAAGCTAGGCTACTGTTACAGTTTCCACCTGCTTTCCATCTTTATGCTAAGCTAGGCTAACAGTTTCTCTGCTTCGTAACTTAATGATAAGCTAGGCTAACAGTCTCCCCCTGTGGTGTCTTTATGCTATGCTAGGCTAACCTTTCCCCCTGCTTCCCGTCTTTATGCTATGCTAGGCTAACCTTTCCCCCTGCTTCCCGTCTATATGCTAAGCTAGGCTAACCATTTTCTCCTGCTTCCCATCTTTATGCTAAGCTAGTCTAACCTTTCCCCCTGCTTTCCATCTTTATGCTAAGCTAGTCTAACCTTTCCCCCTGTTTTCTATCTTTATGCTAAGCTAGGCTAACAGTTTCCCTGCTTCGTCACTTAATGATAAGCTAGGCTAACAGTCTCCCCCTGTGGTGTCTTTATGCTATGCTAGGCTAACCTTTCCCCCTGCTTCCCTTCTTTATGCTAAGCTAGGCTAACCATTTCATCCTGCTTCCCGTCTTTATGCTAAGCTAGGCTAACCTTTCCCCCTGCTTCCCATCTTTATGCTAAGCTAGGCTAACCATGTTCTCCTGCTTCCCGTCTTTATGCTAAGCTAGTCTAACCTTTCCCCTTGCTTCATGTCTTTATGCTAAGCTAGGCTAACCTTTCCCCTGGCTTCATGTCTTTATGCTAAGCTAGTCTAACCTTTCCCCTGGCTTCATGTCTTTATGCTAAGCTAGTCTAACCTTTCCCCTTGCTTCATGTCTTTATGCTAAGCTAGGCTAACCGTTTTCTCCTGCTTCCCATCTTTATGCTAAGCTAGGCTAACAGTTTCCCCTTGTAGTGTCTTTATGCTATGCTAGGCTAACCTTTCCCCCTGCTTCCCTTCTTTATGCTAAGCTAGGCTAACCATTTCACCCTGCTTCCCGTCTTTATGCTAAGCTAGGCTAATCTTTCCCCCTGCTTCCCGTCTTTATGCTAAGCTAGGCTAACCTTTCCCCTTGCTTCATGTCTTTATGCTAAGCTAGGCTAACCATTCCCTTGCTTCATGTCTTTATGCTAAGCTAACCTTTCCCCCTGCTTCCCGTCTTTATGCTAAGCTAGGCTAACCTTTCCCCTTGCTTCATGTCTTTATGCTAAGCTAGGCTAACCTTTCCCCTGGCTTCATGTCTTTATGCTAAGCTAGGCTAATCTTTCCCCCTGCTTCCCGTCTTTATGCTAAGCTAGGCTAACCTTTCCCCTGGCTTCATGTCTTTATGCTAAGCTAGGCTAACCATTCCCTTGCTTCATGTCTTTATGCTAAGCTAACCTTTCCCCCTGCTTCCTGTCTTTATGCTAAGCTAGGCTAACCTTTCCCCTTGCTTCATGTCTTTATGCTAAGCTAGGCTAACCATTCCCCTTGCTTCATGTCTTTATGCTAAGCTAGGCTAACCTTTCCCCCTGCTTCATGTCTTTATGCTAAGCTAGGCTAACCATTCCCCTTGCTTCATATCTTTATGCTAAACTAGTCTAACCTTTCCCCCTGCTTCCCGTCTTTATGCTAAGCTAGGCTAACCATTCCCCCTGCTTCCCGTCTTTATGCTAAGCTAGGCTAATCCTGTCCTGGATGCTCAGAGATTAATCTAAAACACCAGGCTGCTGCTATAGTTGTATATCTATAGATCTACAGTTCTCTAAATGTCTGTGTCCTGTTGCCGGGCAGACTCCCTCACCTTGCACCAGCAGCTCGCAGGTGGAGGTTGCTCTTCCGCTGCTGTTGGTGGCGGTGGCAGAATAGTTCCCAGAATCCTCGGGGAAGGCCTCAGCGATCAGCAGGCTGTGCGTCTCGCCCTCCGTCAGGATCCTGAAGTCTGGCGAGCTCTGGATCTCCGCCCCCTCCCTGAAGAACCTCACCTGGGGGAGGGGGATACCTGAGACTCTGACGTCCAGCCTCACCTGGCTGCCCTGGAGCACCGTGGAGCTCTGGAGGCGGAGCAGGAAGCTGGGAGGGGCTGTCTCCGCTGGGGGGGGGAGAGAGGTAATTAATTAAACTGAGAGGGGCTGTCTCCGCGGGGGGGGACATTACGACCGTTATTTTTATTTATTTTATTCAAATTCGTCTTGAATTTTCCATTCAGAACAAAGAAACATTAGCGGTACACTTCATAAACAAATCCCTCTCCGGTCCTGGCATTGACATTAAAAGACATGGCGTGGAAAAAGTAAAATAACAATAATCACAAAATAGAAAATTAGGTATATCAGCAATGGAAAAAAAAAAAAAAGTCTCTGTCGGCCATTATGTGTCCAGAAACGCTCTCAAGGATTATCCTCAGCGTTTTCAATGCCTTTCATCCTAGTGAGCATACCGTAGCCTCATAGCAATAACCCGTTCCTCATCAACCCGTTCCTCATCAACCCGTTCCTCATCAACCCGTTCCTCATCAACCCGTTCCTCATCAACCCGTTCCTCAGTAACCCGTTCCTCATCAACCCGTTCCTCATCAACCCGTTCCTCATCAACCCGTTCCTCATCAACCCGTTCCTCATCAACCCGTTCCTCATCAACCCGTTCCTCATCAACCCGTCCCTCATCAACCCGTTCCTCATCAACCCGTTCCTCATCACCCCGTCCCTCATCAACCCGTCCCTCATCAACCCGTCCCTCATCAACCCCGTCCCTCATCACAACCCGTCCCATCAGTCACAGTACAACCCGTCCTCAGTAACCCGTTCCTCAGTAACCCGTTCCTCATCAACCCGTCCCTCATCAACCCGTTCCTCATCAACCCGTCCCTCATCAACCCGTTCCTCATCAACCCGTTCCTCATCAACCCGTTCCTCAGTAACCCGTCCCTCATCAACCCGTCCCTCATCAACCCGTCCCTCATCAACCCGTCCCTCATCAACCCGTCCCTCATCAACCCGTCCCTCATCAACCCGTCCCTCATCAACCCGTCCCTCATCAACCCGTCCCTCATCAACCCGTCCCTCATCAACCCGTCCCTCAGTAACCCGTCCCTCATCAACCCGTCCCTCATCAAACCCGTCCCTCATCAACCCGTTCCCTCATCAACCCGTTCCTCATCAACCCGTTCCCTCATCAACCCGTTCCTCATCAACCCGTTCCTCATCAACCCGTTCCTCATTAACCCGTTCCCATCAACCTATTCCCCATTCCTCATTAACCCGTTCCTTCATATGCTTGTCTATTCTCCAATGCCTCAATATAATCCTTGAAGCTGTAATCAGAGCAACCTTCATAACAGAGAAAGCTCTTTTTGAAACACGTGGCATCTGAGATCTGATATCTGAGCTCAGAGATCTGAGATCTGAGATCTGAGCTCTGAGATCTGAGCTCTGAGATCTGAGCTCTGAGCTCAGAGATCTGATATCTGAGATCTGAGCTCAGATCTCTGAGCTCAGATCTCAGATCTCTGAGCTCAGATCTCTGAGATCTGAGCTCAGATCTCTGAGATCTGAGCTCAGATCTCAGAGATCTGAGATCTGAGCTCTGAGCTCAGATCTCTGTCCCCAGCACAACACAGACCAGATACTCAGCACTTCTGCTACTTTAACCCAAAGAGGTCTACAGGACCGTTATTTGACGTATAGAGATCTCACACATGGGTCTCTTGCTGGAACACACTGCAAAGTGAAGCAGTTGATCTGTGACTGAGCGTGTTCCTGTTAAGGAAAGCTATGCCGCAGCAGCTGCTTCTATATCTGTTTTATCACAGGATGAAGTGCCAGCTCTCAGAGAGGACACATTTAGACTGACACTCACCAACACAATGCATCACTTCACTTCTCTGTGTGGCTCTGTGGTTGATGATGTCTTTTTTGTAATCTTTGTGTCTCTGTGTCGTTGTTTTGTGTCTTTGTGGTTTTTATTTGTTGTCTTTCCTCTTTGTAAGTTCCTTTCTTGTGTCTTTAAGGTCTTATTTGTGTGTCTCTGAAGTTGTTTCATGTCTCTCCGTGGTCAATTCCTGTCTGTTTGCAGTCATGTTGTGTCTCTTTGTAGTGATTTTGTGTCTCTTTGAGGTTATGTGTCTCTTTCTGGTCATTATTTGTCTCTAAGTCATCATTTCCTGTCTCTCTGAGGTTCTTTTGGATCGTTAATGTCTTGTTAAGTGTCTCTCTGCAGTAGTCTCCTGTCTCTCAGGGGATCCAGCCTCACCTGTGACGAGCAGTTCTGCGGTGCTGGTGGCCTGTCCGGCTCCGTTGGTCGCTCTGACGGAGAACCTCCCACTGTGTGCGGCGGTCACAGCAGGGATCCTCAGAACAGCACGGCCATCGCTGAACGAGATCTGAATGCCGGGCAGAACGGCGGAGGAGAGAACCTGGCCATCACGAAACCAGCTCACCTCAGGAACAGGAGAACCTGCAGAGAACCAGAACCAGGTCATATAATGCATCACTGTTACAGAACATCGTTAGCCTAGCTTAGCACAATCCCTGGAAACAGTAGGGAACGCTAATATATCAAAATAAAAAAAGGATTAATAAACTCTACGTTTCAGCTTGTGTATCCAAATAGAAACCTGCTGTACCCTGAAGAGACTGAGAAGCAACACCGCCATGACTGATTATTATTTAAAGCGTATTTGTCAACGATTTTAAAAAGCTAACACTAGCTAGCATGAAATCTGAATTATGAATCAAGTCTTGCTCTTCTTGCTTTTTCCCAGAACAATGTTTGGAGAGCCTTCAGTCCCTCAGTGAGCAGCGCTACAGACGGTTCACCTGTGATATCTTTGTATTGTTTCTGTTCTGATGTAAAGCATCTTTCAGCATTAGGAAAAGCGCTATCAAAATCCAATGTGTTATTATGATGATGATGATATGTGAAGGTTCCTCACCGCTGACTTCAGCCTGGAACGTCGCGGCACTACCCTCTAGTGCCACGACGCTCTGCAGCGGCTGCAGGAACGTCGGCGCCTGTGTTGTCATGTTGGTCGGCACCCTGCAACACAAACAAACAAACAAACGGTCAGAGGGAAGTATAAACAGGGCAAGAACTCAGATCAGAAACAAACATCAAACAACCAATGTAGCTTCATACTGGCTTTAAACCTCATTTAATACACCTATATAATAATAAAACTATTATTAAAAGGATTTTTGTCTTCAACTTTTATAGTTTAATTTTAAAATAGGGCAACTGTGACAATCAATTTTTTGTAATTGTATTCTGATAATAATACATGTAGTATTAGCTATTTATACACACATGTTTATACATGCTGTACATCACACTAGCCAATTAAAAAGTCACACTAGCAAATTACATTTATATATTTTTAAACAATTCTAGTAAATGTTTTTTTGCAGTACACAAAAACGAACACAGGGGGAGCTCTATTACTTAACACTGTTAACAGGAGCATGCTTGGAAATAAACAAATCACCATGGAGGAAGTCATTATTTCAGTTAGCAGAGTTTATTTTGTGATGCTGATAAAATGACAGAAACAAGTGAAAACTACATTTCTATAAATCCAACATTAACGACTTCAAACCAGCTTCATTTCCCCCAAAAGACCATCTGCTCCAAACAGAGCATATAATCACCAGTGGTTCCACATGTTTAGCCCAATAACAAACTCTGCTCTCACCGGCATCTCACCATGATCATTTACCAACAGATACAAAGAATACATGACATTAAAGCTTCACGACACAGATTAAGATAAGCAGCGCATTAATTATCCACATATTCGTCCCCTTGTTTAATACCTGCTGCCTACATTACCCACAATGCAACTCCACCTCCAGGAGTCATTCACCGATACAAGCTCTATACAAACTTTTTCCACACTAATGGCGCGTTTCCACTACACGGCCTCGCTCTGCCTCGCTCGGTATGGCTAGGCCTCGTTAGGACTGGCTCACTTTATGGCGCATTTCCATTACAGTTTAGGAACTGGGGTAGTATCTATAGTAACGCAGTGTAGGCGGAGCCGTGACGTCATCTTCAATGCGAAACACAAAACCAACATCAGCCGTTAGCTGTTAGCACTCAGAGCTCACAGCTCCTCATATCTGTTCAGAAACTAGACAAAAGTTAAACAAGTACAAACCACAGACTGCCTGTGTCATGGTGAATACAGTCGCATGCTTTATTTATGTCTGTATAGGCCGTTGTTTGTGAGTGTGGACGGTCGGAGCATATACTGCGTTAGCTTAGCCAATCTCCATTTAGAAAACAAGCATTTAAAAGGTTTTTCGCCTGCCGTCTGTCTGCAGACTTGTCAAAGCATTAATTCATGGTTTTTACTAACTGGTATCAGTATGTTGTTACTTCATCATTTAGAAACGTGTATTACAATTAAATCACGGTCAAATATGTCCATCTTGTTGTAGTTGTAGCCCCCTTGCCAGCGATTCTCTCTCTAGTTTAGCATACTCGGCCCGACTCAGCCTCGTTGTTGGCCCGGAAAGAACCTCGATTTTATGGGGCCAGAAAAACTGTGAAATAGTACCCGCTAGCCGGAACTACGCTAAGTGGAAACGCAACCAAAAACGGGCCCCGCACGGCTCGGCACGCTTAAAGCGAGCTCCGCGCTGTAGTGGAAATGCGCCATAACTCTCCATAATAGTAAATGAAACGCACTTAAATATATCTATAAATCCATTACATCAGGCAAGACAGGACGTCTCTGCTGACGAACAAAACAGCAATCACATACTGGGAACTGGATTTTATAGGAAATAAACTGAACGTCATGGAAAGCTAATGTTATATATTCAGCACCAAACAAGAAGTAAAGACTGTTTTCAGTTTGGTGAACAAGGGAACATTTCCTGTGATGGTGAGGCTTTAACTCTTTATCTGCTTTTAGTGCTTTACAAATAAAATAAATAAAATGTATTATTATTATCTTCTATACATGAGAGTAACACATGCGTCACTTCCGGGCAAAAAGTATGGCTCCGCCCACTTTTGGGGGAAAACAAAGCTGTCATCTGAATGGCGGTCAATACACATTCAGAAGTTTTTGCCAATCCGATCAGAAATGTAAGAAAACGGTGGATTTGTGGATCTTCAAAGAGCCCGATTACGATGGCCAGACAGGTAAACAATTACATTAAATCAAATCGACGATCGGGCTCGATATAGGCGATCGATGTCCATACATGAGAGTAACATCTACGTCACTTTACGGCCCGCCCACTTTTGGGGGAAACCAACGTTGTCATTTGAATGGCGATCGAGCCTGAAGCCACAGAGCTCTTCTTTGTCCTTTGTTCTTAGAGGAAGTTCAGAAACACGTAACTCTGGATTTGTTTTAATGTTTGAGGTGCAATAAACAACACAGCAGCTTGTTGGCATGATACAACTATTATTTTCTGCCTCGCTCATGAGAGTAACAGCTGGAGAAATGACGGCCTCGCCTACTGATTTTAATTTAACCATATATCGAGCCCGATCGTCGATTTCCAATGACTGAATGTAACTGTTTGCCTGTCTGGCCATCGTAATCGCGCTCTTTGAAGATCCATAAATCCACGGTTTTCAAAAATGTCTGATCGGATTGGCAAAAACTTCAGAATGTGTATTGACCGCCATTCAAATCACAGCGTTGTTTTCCCCCAAAAGTGGGCGGGGCCGTAATTTTCGCCCGGAAGAGACGTAGGTGTTACTCTCATCTATAGGACTTAAACTGGGAAAGCTCCACCAACAGTGAATCAGACTGTAATATCTCTGACGTGCAGTAACACTGTCTGTTAATATAAAACCGTGTGCAATAAACGCTCTTTCTTTTAATATATTTATAATCTGTAAACAGTACCAGTTTATTCTATACTTTAAAATATCCTACTTGTGTTTGTCCCATGGTGAACTTATCTGTTTTTATTATTCATAATGTCTGCATACTTGTTATTATAATATCTAAGTCTCTCTACTGTACTCTGAACTCTTGCTGCTGTAAAGCTGTAGATTCCCAGTTTGGGACCAATTAAGAAATTCTGATTATCAACAACCTGTTGGTTGATGGTTTGGTTAATCCCATTGGTTCAAAGTAACTAGAATAGTGTCTTTAAAATATCCAAAGATGTTCAATTTAATGAAAATTAGATCTTTCGAGATAGATCTTTATCTCACAGATCTACTGTAGTCAGACAACGGTTTAATTCAAGTCATATATTTTGAGTTTTGGGAGATGTCTTCCTCTAAAGACAGAGTTAATGCAGGTCAGGTTGTGAAGCACTTTGGATAAATGTGTATATAAATAACATAAGTATTTCATTTTAAGCCTCATTTAATGTTATTTTCACGGGGTAGTAATCCTTTCGGGCAATTCATGCTAACATTAGATAGCAAGAAATACTAATATTGTTTTGTCTCCAGAGCTTTTATCAATGTTGGTCGGATTTAGCAGATTTGTTAATAAAGTCATATTTAATGTTAACGCTGCCCTCTGATTGGGATCCACTCCTTAATGAAATGGTTTGAACATAAGGCCGTGATAAACCAGGTCAGCAGGTCTAATCAGGATGTGGGTACTAGCGGTACTTTAATGCTGCTGACAGACAGACTGAACTGGGAATAAGACCTTGTTGGTTAGAACCCCTGCTGTGAGTGGAAACAGCTGATCTGCAGACCCCCTGCTGTGAGGGGAAACAGCTGATCTGCAGACAGACACACCGTCAGGTCTGATGGGGGGGGGGGGGCTCCACAGGGTCTGACCCCCCTGAGCTCAGGGCAGATTAAACACCTGTTTAACCCTGGAGCGGGGGGGGTCACTTATAGGCTGCTTTAAGAGGGGCCTACGGTTCGTATTGAGTGTATTAGCTGGAGCTTTGTGCTAAGTCTGTACTCTGGAAACAACAACAACAAGTTCAACTGTAAAGACAACGAAAAGCCACATTTTCTCTGTTGAAACGGACAAAAACTAACTTGTTTCTGGAAAAGACACAGCAAACTAAATCTGATCTGTTAAAATCCAACTACAAACTAACTTTGTTCCATAAAAACAACAAAATACTAACTTTATTCTATGAAAACTGACAAATACTAACTTTTGTCTATAAAAAAACCCATAAAAACCTAACTTCGTTTGGTAAAAAATAACAATTCTGTTAAACCAACCATAAAACAAACCTTGTCCTTTAGAAACTACATCATGTAATCCAAAGTCACAGTAGAGACAGAAAGGAAGTGGACAAACCAAAGCATGTCAAATGTATTGGCTCTGATTAACTGGTTGAGTCCGGTTTTGAACCATTTGGCCTCGACTCGACTCGACTTGATAGTCCAAAGAATCACCATTATTTTGGTCAAAAATGCAGAATCAGCACAATTCATATTTTTATAATCGTTGAAAACAACATTTATAACTTCTGAAGCTGCTTTCAGACCCGCTCGTCTCCGCTCCGCCCTGGATTTGGTAAATATTCAAACTAATTGTTCCTGGTTGGCCCAAAGCTGCGGACAAAGCGTCCATAAAATGAGGTAATCGTCACTTTAAATGTTTCCGCTGCAAGGAATTGTGGGACCTTTCAATGGTGTTTTAATTGTCAGACAGTTCATAGATTTGTTATCTTCACGGTCAACTTGTAATGCTGTTTTATTTCTATTTCTATTTTGAGATGTTTACATTTTAGAATTGTTTATTACTCTTTGAATTTCTACTTATGTGCAATGCCTTGTTTTTTTTATGCTGCTGAAACGCGAAAAAATCCCAAATTGTGGATCAATAAAGTACTTCTTACCTTATCTTTATTATTATTATTATTATTGTGGGACGGCATTGCCTCCTTTCCTTCGTGAAGGATGCTCCAGTGTTTCCTTTTCTAACGGAGGTAAAAAAGGAAGCATTGTAGCAGATTTTCTCCACAAGTTCCTATCATTGTTTTTACCTAAATGAATGTTATATATACACACGTATATTTATACACACACATAATTAAATTAATTATCTTGTTTGTTATACTTCGTGGAGCTGTAGCGTGTCTTTGTAGTGCAAGTTACGAAACTCATAGCAAATGAGAGGCAGGTAGCCTTCTACAAACACACAGCAGGTGAAGAGAAGACATGCTAACGTGCTAACGTATTCTGTGTTATTAGCAAGTCCAGATGATGCTCTGAAGTTTGCTGGAGATAATATAACGATGCGTTTTAGGTGAAGTGAGCACTGCTCCAGAATACCTTTAAAACACTGGTTTCTAAAAGCTACATTGTGTTGAGGAAGCGTTACTTTTAGGAATGGAGTTTGTTTGGTGGTAGTGAGGGTTATATGAGCGCCATCTTTATCCCGTTCTTTCCAATAAGAAGAGAGAAAGCGTCGCCATGAGACCTTTCCTACTGACCATCCTTTCCAAGCAATTATCACCATCTAAAAGCAGCTGGTTAGCTCTTACTTACTAGCTCTGATTGTATTTCGTTAGCTCTGGTTGTATTTCGTTAGCTCTGGTTAGCTCTTACTGTATTTAGTTAGCTCTGGTTGTATTTAGTTAGCTCTGATTGTATTTCGTTAGCTGTAGTTGTATTTTGTTAGCTCTGGCTGTATTTCGGTATTTCGTTAGCTCTGGTTGTATTTCGTTAGCTCTGGTTGTATTTCGTTAGCTCTGGTTGTATTTCGTTAGCTCTGGTTGTATTTCGTTAGCTCTGATTGTATTTAGTTAGCTCTGATTGTATTTCGTTAGCTCTGGTTGTATTTCGTTAGCTCTGGTTGTATTTCGTTAGCTCTGGTTGTATTTCGTTAGCTCTGATTGTATTTCGTTAGCTCTGGTTGTATTTCGTTAGCTCTGACTGTATTTCGTTAGCTCTGGTTGTATTTCGTTAGCTCTGATTGTATTTCGTTAGCTCTGATTGTATTTCGTTAGCTCTGATTGTATTTCGTTAGCTCTGGTTGTATTTAATTACCTCTGGTTAGCTCTTACTGTATTTAGTTAGCTCTTACTGTATTTCGTTAGCTCTGATTGTATTTCGTTAGCTCTGGTTGTATTTCGTTAGCTCTGGTTGTATTTCGTTAGCTCTGGTTGTATTTCGTTAGCTCTGGTTGTATTTCGTTAGCTCTGGTTGTATTTCGTTAGCTCTGGTTGTATTTAGTTAGCTCTGGTTGTATCTAGTAAACTCTGTATATAGTGAGTTCCTGTCACCTGTTGAACCAGCTGAACCTACATCCTGGATATCAGAGGTAGTAAAACCCTCTGAGGTGTGAACGCCCTGCAGAGACTCAAACTCTCTTCAGCTGAAATTAAACTGACTTTAGGAAGAATTAACAAAGTGCTTCATTGCAACATCCCTCTTTAGCTCTCTCCAGAATATAATCACTAATAATAATGGAGGGAAGGAAACTGGGTTGGTAGGTTATACATCTTATTAATATTGATAATAGGCATTTCTTTAATTGAGTTTTTTTAAGGATAGTTTAGAGGGTTTTTAAGGTGGAAATGCCTTAACCTGTGCAGGTAGAAACAACCTCACATGATATAATGATCTGTTAGTGAACTCAGTAATTAACCCCAACAGGTCAGGTGATGCTAAAGTTTGAGTGAGTAAATAAGTCAATTAAAAGCAGGTCAAAAAACTTGATAAAAAGGATGTTTTTAAAGAGTTTTGATGAAGGGTCTGATCCATTACGGGGATTTTAAAGGAATATTAGCGTACTTCATAACGACAGAAAGCACAAACAGTCCAGAAACAGCACGACATGTTCTCAAGTTCAACAGCAGACAACATTTAAACAGTTTTTAAGTCACACATCTGATCATCCCCATGTCTGATTGGATCCACCTCTCAGTGTAATTTGAAAAGCTGAGAAACTCAGAGTTCACAGGATGGTTACAGTTTCAGAGCACAGGATTCTTCTGCAGCCGTTAAATCTGTGAGTCCCTGAACGCCTCATCACACCGACCTGGTTATAATCTGCAGGAGTTAAATCTGTGAGTCCCTGAACGCCTCATCACACCGATCTGGTTATAATCTACAGCCATTAAATCTGTGAGTCCCTGAATGCCTCATCAGACCGACCTGGTTATAATCTGCAGCCGTTAAATCTGTGAGTCCCTGAATGCCTCATCAAACCGATCTGGTTACAGCTACATTTAATCTGATGACTCCACCGCCTGAACACATCACAGTTTATTAATACTGCGTTATTAAAAATATATCACAGGGTGAGGATTCACTCAAGTTTAAGGTCCTTTTACTTATATATTTAATGTTTGAATACTTTGTAGGTTATGAATAATATATTCTGAACTAGAAAATATGTAATTTTCTTAAATGTTGAACCAGATCAGTGTAAATAGAGTAGTTATAATTAGGATATCTAATAATACTCAGCATTGTCAGTACTTTGAATTGCCTTAAAGTACTTTCTATACGCTGTGGTACCAATACCTTTATTCTTAATACCTTTCTCTTGGTTTGAGGGTTTTACTTTTAGACTTTGTGGTTCTTCTATGTTCCTGTTTCTCTCTTAGTTTCCAAATAAATGATATGGATGTTTGCTCGTGGTTCACATAACGAGATGCACTCTCACCTCTCCTTTTGAGCTTTCCTTATGTACATTTGAACACATGGAAACATTGAATAATGTAATGCACAGATTTCATGGTAAATCTGTGTTTCTCAGTTCAAGAATGTGTTTCTAGTGAAAGATTCTCCCGAGCTGTATTCTGATCTGTTATCTATCACACAGTAACTCTGCTGGTCCACATGAAGCAAAGACCTTAAGATAATACATTAAGAAGCTCTTAATCCAGTCATTTAAATACTAAACACCATGTTTAATAAAGGCATTTACATTCTGCACAGACCGTGTCCATTGGATTCTTTTGAAAGGAGACTTTATTAGGAGAATTAAAGCAGAGAGCCGTTAAATGGAAAGACGAATAAATGACTTTATATCAACACTGCTTAAAATCTAGATCAGGAAACTCTCTAAAAATAACTTCAGACTAAATAAAAGCATCAAACTCATCACACATTTCAGTTTTCACTTAAGCGTAAAAGTAATAAATCCTAACGACAGGCCAACAGCTGTTCAAGCCCCTCCAAAATAAAAGCTTCAGTGAAGAATCCCCCCTGTCTGACACTTCCTGGGGGGGGGGGTGATCTAACACAGGACACCAAACTCTAAAAATAACACCCGCCCCCCCCCCAACCACACCTCAGTTTGATTGACAGCCAGCATGTGGCAGCAGGAGAACTGATAGCCCTGCTGCTGATTCCCTTAAAAAGCCATCAGAGGAGCCGATGCTATCAGCGGCTATTCTGGGACGTCCCGTTATAACCTTCAGCTGGAGCCCAATGGAGACCCCTGAAGTCCTCAAAGTGTCTGAAAGGGCTCCTAAATGTGTGTGAGAGGAACTCTGGAGGACTTTTAAAAAAAAAAAAAATCTCACTTACTTGTCTGCACAAGGATGCCTGGGGGGGCCCGGCGGGGGGGCTGCTCTTCAGGAAAGCAAAACTCTCTTTATCCAGAAAATGTAGTTTCACACAATCCGAATGGGAGAAAGGTTGAGCCGTGAAGACGCCCGGTTACTAAAGACAGCAGTTCTACCAGCCGAGGCGTCCAGGCTGGGAACGCTGACTCTGCTCAGGCCGGGCAGCGGGGGGCCGGGGGCTTTATAGCGCAGTGACATCACAGCGGGCGGGGCCTCCCATTGGTCAGCCTGCAGCAGGGACTCATGGGAGCACAGGGGGACGGTTTATGCAACTCATCACACAGCGTATACATAATGCCACATTTACCGTTACAAAACCAGCATTTTCATTATTTCATTGATATTTATTTATGTCCCTTGTTTACCTAGTTGGGTCTAGGGAGTCAAACTGGGATTAAAATAGTTGTATGAATATATTACAGCGTGTGTGAGTCCTCTAACAATATAATATTAATAATTGGATATTTATATACAAGTTAAGACATTTTACTTTCTCTAAACGAAGCTGAAAGAACTCGTGTACGTTAACCACTGAACCCTGACTACAGTTTTAGAACATTTTAAAGCACTTTCAAAACAAAAGATTGTCATGAAGTAACATGTAGAAAAGAGGATGTTCATTCAGAGATATTAAAGCTAAGTGTTAACCAGAGGTTTAAAGCAACTAAGTACATTTATTCAAGTATTATGTACTTTTTTGACATATTTGTACTTTACTTAAGTATTTCTTCATACTTCTACTGCACTACATGAGTACAACTTTAAAATAAATATGAAAAATAACATAAAACTGATCATTTAAGTACTGATAGCTTCAATACATTTATTAAAAAAACGTTTTTAGCACTAATTAAGATTTTAACTGAGAAAATATTAACAAAAGTATGGGAACATTAATTAATAAAACCCACATCAGTGTCCCTAATATGCTGAGTGAACTATTGTCGAGGTTTGATGGATAAAAACATTTTAAAGACAGAAAACTGAAGATAAATACTGTATATGTACCGTTTCCGTTATACAGGTGGACCTAACCTCATTGAAAGACTTTTAAAATATTAATTATATTTGAATGGAGAAAGAGATTGCTTACAGTATCATTGAGTCCACAGACAGAGGGTCAATAGAGGGCTCTCGGTGTAAAACACGACATAAATGGCATTAATAACATTTTTTAGCTTAGCATTGATCAGTCTGTTATCATGTATTAACTACCTCTGAAATGTCAAGATTGACCAATCAGAATCGAGTATTCAACTACGTGTAAATAAGTAACTTTAATGTAAATGTATAATGATAGTTTTCAAACGTTTTTCTTAATAAAAGACAAGACGTTTTACTTTATCTAAATGAAGCTAAAAAAACATGTGTACTTTAACCACTAATCCCTGACTACAGTTTTAGTAGCAGCAACGGTCATTATTTAGCTTAGCATCGGTCTGTTATCAAGTATTAACACAATCTGAAATGTCCAAATTAACCAATCAGAATTGTGTATTAAACTAAACCGTGTAATAACTATCTTTAATGAATAAATCGTCTTACCTGTCAGTTTGTAGGTCTGATAATCAGCCGTTGTTTTCCGAGCTAACTCCATCTGTTAGCTCAGGATTCACTACCTCCAACTTTATATAAAACAGGGGGTTAAAATGTGTTTTAATCCTCCCGTAAAGTTCTTCTGTCGGCCCGGAGGATGAAGCCCTTTCCAACATCCAGCCTGCTCACCTGACAGAAAGCTGTAGGATCCGGAACATATCCTCACATGTAGAATATAATGTTTGATTCTTCCCAAACTTGTCCCCATCGACAGCTCCGTGAAAAATATATATATTTAGAGATTAAACTCTTCATCCATTACAACTGTTACTTTATCCATTAGCTGCTTTACCTGTTGATCCCTTTCAGGTTCAGCCATCTACCCATCACTCTGAGAGCTCGTGAAGTTAGAAAATAACATTGACGGATCAATAAGTCAAACACAAAGCGATCTGAAAACACGAACGGTGTCTCCTCACCTCCACAGTAAGGTAGACAAGGAGCTAGGGACCGTCTGCAAAGTGCAACCCCGAAACATGAGGAAACACACATTAAATCCCAGGTGTTACTGCCGTGTTTGTGTCTCAGGTGTTCCCAAAGAGGAGCTGCAGCCCCACCTCTGTGTGAGACTGTTAACTAGTTTTAACTACTACAATATTTAGGTACTTGAACTTCTACTCCTCTACAGTTCAGAGGTAAATGGTGTACTTTTCCTCCACTACATGTATTTAATACCTTTAGTTACTCTACAGATCTGGATGAATGATGTGAAATATAATCAAGTGTTAAATCAGACTTTAGTTCCACCTGGAGTAAATTCACAAGCTACCCTGCAGTATACAAAGTCATTCAAACTAGCTGCACCTTTAACAGCTTCTTTTTTTTCACAATATGTTTATTGGTATTTTCTTATTGAACAACAAAGTACATCACAAACACATACACACATACACGCATACACACACCCTCACATTGCACCAGTATTAAAAGCATAGGCCTACCTGTACAAATAAAATAAATAAAACAGAAATCATTTCACAGTTTCTTTTCAGAGGCAGTCCACATTCCCGTCCCTCACAATGTGCATACGGCTCCCAGAGCTGAACAAAGCCCTTAGCGATGTAAGTCAGTCTTTCTAGACCAACACTTCCAGAAAGTTCCTTCAACCAAATCCGAAGCGATAGCCCTCCTGGCTTGAAGAAGGCCAAAATCCAGAAGCTTGGTTTGTTTTGAAGTCTGTTTGAAGTCCTTTGGAAATATTCCAAGTACACAAAGTTTGACGTTCAAAGGGACATTAATGTTAAACATCTCTGACAGACACCTAATAACATCCTTCCAGAAGATTTGAATTTGTGGACATTCCCAAAGACAATGAAATCAAGTTCCTTTCTCATCCAAACACTTAGAGCAGACATCTGGAATATTGTCAGACATATGATGAAGTTTGACAGGAGTTATGTACATTCTCATTAACCATTTATACTGAAGTCATTTGAACCTAGTATTTATTGTCTGACTTTGTGCTTGTAGGCAAGCAGCATTCTTCCTCATCAATATCCTCTTTTATATCCGTTTTCCATGCACTTCATTTATTTAATGCTGATTCAGTGTCAAATGCAACCATCATGTTGTAGAATTTAGATACTAGGCCCTTTCCTTACAAATGTGCAAGTGTTATTTCCTCAAGTTTCGATAAAGGTGGTACAGACATTATCTGTTTATGTTTTGATGACATGTAACTTTTTAACTGTAAATATTTAAAAAAGAGCTTTTAGGGATTTGATCATAGGTGCTCATTGCCCCAAACAGGAGTACATTGAGACAGCGTAGGTGTGTCGCCTACGTGTTTGTGTGCAGCATACCAAACTGAGATCGTGTTCTTAAGAAAAGGGTTTTTTGTACGTTTCTTCAATGTCTTAATATCTGAAGAGTAAAGATACTTTTGTGATGTCAGATCTGGATATGGAGTTGATGTCTGCTCTATGTTTACCCAAGTCGGGGGTGTTGTACAAAAAGAATATGAAGCTGAGTTTAGTTGGGCAGCCATATAATACCATTTAAGATTAGGGAATTGAAGACCCCCCCTCTCATAAGGTAGGTATAATAGTTTAAGACGGAGTCTGGCTTTTCTGCTGTTCCAGATGAATTGACTAAATAATTTGTTAAGCTTTTCGTAGAACATATTTGGTAGTGGCAATGGAAGCGTTGGAAAATAATATAAAAATGGAGGTAGGATGGTGATTTTTATGATATTTATTCATCCGATCATAGATATAGGCAAGTTGGACCAGCGGCTTAGTTTTTCAGTCACTCCATCTACCAGGGGATCATAATCAGCTGAAACTATGTCTCTGAGTGATTTTAACACCCAAATATCTGAAACCGTCAGTTGTTGTCATAAATGGAGTATCTACTCTGGGACTGTGTCTCTCTTTGTCATTCAGAAACATCAACACTGATTTAGAGTTATTCATTTTGTATCCAGAAAATTCACCAAATTCCTTTATTACGCTCATTAAATTGGGAATACTATGTTTTATATTTATCAAGAAAAATATTATATCATCTGCGTATAAAGAAATGCGATGTTCTATCCCCCCAAGAGTAATGCCTGATCATTCTGTATGTGCTCTAACGGCCATAGCTAAAGGTTCGATTGCTAATGTAAATAGCAGTGGAGACCCTGTCGGGTAGATCTCTCTAAATGAAAGGGGGCCGAGATAGTGTTGTTAGTTAGGATCTCAACGGTTGGGTTTGTGTATAGCAGCTGAATCCATTTCAGAAGGGTTTCACCAAACCCGAATCTTGGAAGTACTTCAAAAAGATAAATCCATTCCATCCTATCAAATGCTTGACACGCATCCACTGAAAGCATTGCTGTGTCCTTCGCGTTATGTTTCTCATGTAGTATATTTAAAACTCTTCTGATGTTGTGAAATCCCCCTCGTTGATCATTGAGGGAGATATTTATCCAATCGTCCAGAAAGAGCTTTGCAAAGTATTTTTGTATCACATCCCATGAAGCTAATTGGTCTGTAAGATGAGCATTCTGCTGGTGGCTTGTTTCATAGCTAATCTCAATGAATCTGGGAGCGTTCCTTTGACAAAAGATTCTTCAAACATATCGAGAAGCGGCTTTACAAGTTGTTTTTTAAATGTTTTATAAAACTCTATGGGAAACCCGTCCTGTTGATATTCCCTATAGCTTCACAAAGGTCGGCTATTGTCAATGGACTATCTAGTTTTGCTTTTCATCATCTGACAGAGTATGAAACTGTAGCCTATCAAGGACATTGCTCTGAGCTTCCCTGTTTTCTGTGTATTCTGATTTGTATACTGATTTATAAAAGTCTCTAAAATGATTATTTATCTCTTTTGGGTCTACAGTTAAGTTTCCAGATACTGATTTTATACCATTCATTATTCTTTCTGCTTGCATTTTCTTTACTCTCCTGGCCAGTAGTCTACCCGCTTGTTCCCCTCGATCGTAGCACGTTTGTTTAGTCCAGGCTTTTTGCCACTCTGTCACTTGTTAACTTCTCGTAACTCTCATGACGGATAGATCACGTCATTGTTCAGGGTCATTGTGACAGTACATTTCAGTCTCTG